CCCTATTCAAACATGACTCGACAATGATCAACATTTCTTCTATTCTAACGTGATCCAATCGCATTTATATAACAGGAAATACAGACCACTAAAGCCGTCTATTGTAGTCAATCATCTTTTGATAAGACAAGGTATAAAATATCAGCTTATAGTATGTTCCGATTTATAGGCGGTCTTTCCTTTGTCAGCGAGTCAACAGCAAACAGACAGCTCACCAGCATTATCTGGTATTATTAAATCAATCACAATACATCGAAAACTATTGAAATCAATATGCAGATAAACAGCGGCATATAAATATTAATTTTGTAATATATTAAAGCACTAAAGTTATTCATATACATGTTCATATTTAACGGTCTTTTACCGATTCATAGCGTTATATATAATTTTTTTGCGAAATCCGAATAAATAAATATAAATAAATTTGCTATTTTTTAGTGAATCAGTTTTGTTTTATTGTTCTGTTGCTTGTGAGTAGACATCCGGCTGACGTATTATTGAGATGTTTAACGGAAGTTTTTAAGTTGTGCTGTGGTTTCTTTTCTAAAAATAAAATATTTTGAGAAATGATTAATTGCTATCAGCTCTTATTCGGCTTAAGATACATACGTGTATGTATGTACGATTGGAACCTAAAAGAGCTTTGCATAATTTATAAGCACGGAGACCGCAAAGTTTAAAGCCTACCCAATATCACATATATTTGGTGCTTTCGAGCGTACTTTCGGAAATTCTAAAGCCCACCTTCATTAAACTGAGCGGACCTTATCGATATGGATTTAGATATTCTTCCTTTTCATTCAATTTATAACAGCTGTTGATCAAATATGCAGCTGTTCAGTGTAAGAGGTAAGTTTAACCACTACCTACCGCAATTATCCTTAAAGAGCACCCCTTAATCGGTTGAATAGGAGGTAGAAAACACTGTGTTCGTCTTTTCATTAAATTGATTAAATATCAACGACCTCAACAACCGAGGATCTGGTAGGAAACGGTGCTAAAATGGAATATCTCATCAAACAAACACTCCCATCTTGGCTTTAACGTCAGCATTGACAGTAATAAATTTGAAGTCACAAATACAATAATTGCAGAATCGCATTTTTCAACCGGTGCTAGTTTGGACTGAATAAGCAATTGAAAAATGGTGTTATTTTCCAAAGATTAAAAGTCAAACTCTTCCGGTCCCTCATCATTTTCATTCTGCTATATGCATCAGAGGTTTGAACTATGATAATACCGAAGAATCGGAATTAGGCAAGAGTAAAGACGCTACAGCGTTGAAAATAATTGATGTGATAGCTGCAGACCAAAACAGAGGAAAAAGAAGGTGTCCGCTTGGTTGTAAATATCAGAGGAATGACGATCTGGTTTCAAATGGAAAAAGTGAACGCGCTATTGTTTATTCGACTATAAACGCGTAAGCAGTGCCCAAGTCAACCAAAAACTAAAAAGAAGCGAAGTATAGGCTAAGAGCGGCAGCGCTTGGCCGCATAAAATCCGGGTCAAATCTGATGCGTGGAACTGGCTGTCTTGAGAGTCAAGGCTTCATGATGTGGCTTCAAAAGTATTCGGTGCAGTATCTGCTAGTGGATGCAGAGTAAGAGGTAGCTCTCCACTACATTCAGAAGGCTCAGGTGCAGAGCAAAGAGTGTTCATTTGCCATTTGCGATTGCTGCCGAACAGCTAAAAGAGGAAACCGCTGGCGCGCTGTTGATGGCGGAAGCAGGAGCATATATTTTGGGCACCTTAAATTTTCTTACGCAAAAAAAAAGCTAAATATTTTTTATTTTTATTTTTATTTTTATTTATATTTTTATTATTAGTTTACATTAAGCAATACAATATATTAATAAGATTTGTTTTACTTTCAAACATTTGTTTTTGTTTTCTGTTTAATACAATTCGTTTCGCTTTAATAATTAAAATTTAACTATTGTTTTTAACAATTTACATATAAACTTTATTATTGTCAATATTTTATTTTTGTTTTTATTTTTCATGCTTTATTTGCTGCCAGTGCAAAAAGTTTTGATTATTTTTTTTATGGCAAAATGTTGCCAATTTAAATTGATTTAATAATTTATTTGAGACGTTAAAGAAAAATAAAAGTTGTTTGTGTGTGAAATGTCAATGTAAATATGGCGATCAAAATTTTTTAATGGTTATGAAAAAAATTTCAACAAATATAAAATAACAAAAAAAAAAAAAATATTTAAATGTTAAAAAATAAATCAGTTAAAATAAAAAAAAAATAAAAATTTGATTTATATTTACTGCTAATGGTCTGTTTTACCTTCCTTCCTAACGGTTGATCTTGTTCTTATATACATATTTGCCTGGCAATGGCTGTCTGAACAAAAAAGGAAAAATAAAAAGGAAAATTCCTATACAATGCAAAAATTCTATTTACAGTTTTCTAACCTTAAATTATTTATTATTTTCGTTCAACGCTAGTTAAAGCATTGTTCATTTATTTATTTACTGTTTCTTTTTTGTGTCTTTCGGTGTGTGTGTATGTAGTTTTATTTCTCACTTTAAATTATTATTATTATTTTTTGTAACTTTTAAGCTTGAAAGTAAAATTTTAACTTAAAGTAGTGACTATACATTTCGATTTTTTGTATGCTTCGTTTTTACATTTATTTAATATATTTATTATTTTTGTATGCATTTAACCCTCGGTAAGAGCGCACGCCCGACGCAACTGCGCAAATTCGCCGCAAGCTGCGCACAACGTAAAATTTCGCTGCTTAGTTGTTTGCATTTGCGGCGCATAAGCCAGTGTTGTTGTAAGCAGGCAGAGTTTTTGAAAGTTCAACATATTCTCTTAAGTTTTTTTTTTTTAATTTTTAGTTGTCGTTTTTTTTTGTTTTAGTAATATATATTTTCGTTACTTTGTATTATTAATAATTAATTATTTTTTTTATAATTAATTTACTTAAAATTTGCTTCTCACTGCCTACTATACGCTTACGCAATCACAACAAGCATACAAATATTATATAAACTAAAATAATAATCATTAAGGTTTACTAAAAATATCAAACAAAAAAAAAAACGGGTTAAGGAACAGCAAAAATCGTCTTTGAATTAAAAGAAAAAAATTATATAAAAATAATAATTATTATTACATACATCTCTTTGACGCACTTGACTAACACGCATTTGCTTAATATATAAAAAATTGTTAATTTAAATATTATTTAATAGTTTAATAAAAAAAAATTGTTAATAATACGCGTTAAATACATATACATAGTTATAAACGTAAATTTATAATTTAAGTAAGGTAAAATAAAATTATTTATAAGCAAATCCTCCATTAGTCGCTTATTTTTCTACAGAGAGACAGATAGAGAGAGGGAGAGTGGAGTGTTTGGATATTATGAAGGCACAAAATATATTTTGTTTTTTTTTTTTCGTTTGTTTTTTAATATAATTTTTCGTACAACTTTTGCTCGGCAGTTGTTTGTTGTTGCTTTCTAGCTTACTCATGCAGTTTATGTTTTACAGCCGCAGTGCGGTGCAGGCGCGCAAGCAAATATCCTAAATGTTTCTACGCCTGCTAAAGTCATTTTTCGCGCTTTCTCCATGTGCTTGTGTGTGTGTGTTTTTTTTTTTAACAATTTGTTCTATTTATTTTATTACAAAAATAAATAAACATTTTTGAATGCTTGATTTGTCGCCCAAAATTTCTCTATTTTCGTTTCGAAAATGCTTTAACCTGCTTATAATCATTGAATGAATTTCACTGCTTTCTTCTGCTTTTAAAGTTGCTCGCCAATTAACGCCTGCACTGCGCTGCGCTAACTAAGGAGTATTTTACTCTCGTTTTCAACGTCTCTTTAAGGCAGTTTCTTGGTTTCTTCATCAAAAGGAAATTATTTATAAATTATAGGAAGCATCTCTATATATACTAAATGTATGCGTGGCTGTGCTGTTTCTTCTATAATACAAGTGCTTAACTAATTGTTTATGCATATATAGAGAGATTTGAGAGTGAGAGTGAGAGAGAGAGAGAGTTTTAGCGTTGTTTTAACCCACCACCTAGTTAGACAACAAATTCGTCTATATATATATATATATATTCAGCTATACATTTACGGGAAGACAAGTCCTTACTTTAATTGCTTATATGTATAAGGATTGGTAGGTAGATACAAACATACATAGCTGGGTAGGTGGTTATAGGTAGAGGTAAGTTGTAGCGCATAATTGCGTAATATGTTTATATATATTTGTTTGTGTGTGTGTTTTTTTGACTAATGAAGAAGTTGTCTTTTGAGTTGAGAATTCTTTCGTAGCTTCCTCTTCTTATTTTCTCAAGTCTGCAAAAATCTTGCACCCATATTACTTCACTGTCTTTATTTGTTTTGCTTGCTTTCATGCTTTTTCTTCAAAAAATAATACATAATGCCGTTTTTTGTTGTTTAGGTATCTAAGCAGTGTTATAGCTTTGGCAGTTGGTCGTAGTATTTTTTTGCTAACTATAAATTCCTACTTAAAAAATATGTAAATAAATTAAAAAAAAATGTACATTATTAAAAAAAATTGGAAATTTAAAAAAGAATAGAATATTAAAAAATATAATATAAATATAAAACAAAAAATAAAAAAATTAAATATTTGAAAATAAAATGAATTAAAAAATATAAATAAAATAAAAAAAACCCCTGTACAAAATTTATTATAAATATTTTATTTTTTAAACGCATATACGTATATACCCTTTTGAAGAAAAATTGAAAAAGCTACTTGAAATTCTCATTTTAGTTAAATATTTAATACAATGCGTAGCGATTACTCTTAACTAAAGCCTAAGCTCTACTACGCTCTTTAGGAATGTCATGGTGAGTTGAGAAATATTTAGCTTATACATATATATTACAAGTAAATGTGTTTAATTTCACATTTTTAATTTTTTTTTTTTTAATTTTCACACATGCTGTAATTGAAATTATTATTTTTCTTTACTAGTGTTCTTTACACTTTTGTTTTTCTTTGCACGTTTTCAAATTATTCTTTTTCCTATACTCTCTCTCGCGCAACCTAGTAAAAAATAGTTGCTCGCTCTTTCAATTCAAACTTTTTGCACATGCTTCTCAAATATTCTTTTTCTTTTCGCTTTACAATTTACTTTACATATTTCTTTTCTTTTTACTATATTCTAATATATTCTTTCTTCTTTGTGTTTTGCTTTTTTTTTGTTTGTTTGTTTTCAATTTCTTAACTAAACTATTTTCTAGTATATTTATTCATCATTTGTTCTTTATGACAAATAGTCTGGTGTTGGTTCTGGCACAGCTTCGGGATTCGCGAATAGAGGATTTGGGAATTCTGGTGGATGTGGTAGCGGCGCTAAGGTTTTCGGCCGCCGTCTGTAGGCCATAAGCCAGCAGGAGACTGCAACTGCTACTGCTACCAAAGCTAGCAGCGCAGTTATTACTAGCGCGATTATGAGACCCACCATAGAGACGCAAATGTCCTCGACGCGTTGTGCCGCGGGTTTGACTGTAAGAAAAAAAAGTTAATGTATTTTAAAACTTGCATAAACTCTCTCTCTCTCTCTATGTCTGCTTACTATTCGCATCATTGATGCCTGGGCCGCTACGTTTTTCGAATGTCAATATCGCATTCGAGGAAATTGTGATCTCCTCACGCAATTGTCCCTCCATGCCGGTGTTCGTCGCTACCGCTGTTGCTGCGTCTGTGGAATTGTCGGCGATCGCGCGACGTCTACGACGCCCGAAGGCGTTATAGCCGCGACAATTAACCGGTTGACATTTACCAAAGCAGACACGTATGTTACATTGGAAGCGTATATTATCGCTTGATGGGAATTTGAATGCGTTGAAGTTGGCCATAAGGCTGTTCGTGTCTGGATTATACTCCCATTCGCCAAAGATTGAGGCGTCTGTTGCGCAACCATTCTCATCCGTTACGATATACTCATTCTCGACATTATCCTCCATTGTTTTGGCGATGCAAGAGCGTGCGAAACCGCCGTAGATTGCTGAAAAGAAAAATAGAAGAATAATGTATTTATGACTTCCTTCCATACTTGCAATTCTCTTCAATACTTACTTGATGGCTCTACGTCTACTTGTAATTTCAGATTGTCACCAATCTCTGCCGAGTTAATCTCTTCGCCTTCGTGTGTTATGATGCGCATCTGGCAGATTGGTGGCGGTCCCGTGTTGGCGATTGTGCCGGCAGTCGTTAACATAGAGACATTAAAGCCCAACGTTACATTCTTCTCACCTGTCTGGTAGACACATTTAATATTGTACGCTTGCGCTTTGTAAGTAACCAATTTCGGATGTTTCTGTATGACGAGCACAAAGCTGGCGATGTCCTTAACCGCTTGCATGCCACAGCTGCCGAAGTGTACACGGAAGATTTCTGTACGGGGCACACTTTCTCCTGCCAGATTCACGACACGTCGGCATTCTTCATCTTTACTGTGTCCCTTGACATAGAGTACGCCATTGAAGCCGGGTTCGGTGATGTGTATTTCAACTTGTACACCATCGGCTAGACAACTGACTAACATGTCGGGACGTGGGAAGTCTGTGCGGAAATTTGTGTGATTACAGATAATTTCGGGATTGCCGGTATAGCCAGTGATACATTGGCATTGTGCCCGATGGTTGATGGCATTACAGAAGGCGTTTACGCCGCAAACCTTTTGAAGACAGGGGTCTTCACAAGTGTTGGTGCGCGTGTTGCAGAAGCGATTATCTGCGCAGTCATCGTTCGTTTCGCAGCCAGGTTGATCTTCGGCGATACATTCGCCGGCCGGCGTTAGGCGATACCCGTGATCGGTCGGACAGATACAGCGTCCACGTTCATCAATGACCATACCGCGCTCTAGCGCACATACACAGCGTCCATTTTCATCAATCTTGTAACCTTGTTGAGGCAAGCAGGGCGTGCAGTATTCATAAACATCTAAAGCGGTGCCAGGCGGGCAGACACATTGCCCGTCCACGTCACGCACGAAACCTTTCTCGATCACGCACAATGAGCGCTTGTCGCACTGCACGGCTGCATTGCCAGTGTAACCTTCCAAACATTCGCAGATCATGGTGCGCACAGGCACAGTATCCAGCACACGACAGTCCGCATTGACGCCGCATGGATGTGTTGCATTACACGGGTTAACGCATTCGCCACGTATACAAGCGGTTTGACTTGGGCAGTCGCCATCGTAACGACATATTGGTATTTCACGTAATGGCTCACAGCCGTTGCGGCGCGCGATTGTGCCAGGTGGGCAGCCACATTCCGGTCGGTGTTGGTAAACCTTACAAATTTCATCGTACGCGCAGACCGCCTTTGTTTCACATGGGTCCTCACATTTACCATTGACACAAGCCTTATCCGATGGACATTCGTTATCGGCGCGACAGCCGAGTGGTGTACAGGAGATGCGTGCATTGCCATGGAACCCGGGCGCGCACTCACAGATGGCGCGATGATCGACAGCTAAGCATTGGGCATTTGTGCCACATTGCTCGCCTTGGCAAGCAGGCACACATAGTTGATTGCGACAAGCATGCGTTGCCGGACAATCAGAGTTGATGGCGCACTCCACTTTAGAGCATTCAAATTCTGGATTGCCTTCGTAGCCTTGACGACAAGTGCATACGGGTTTATGATCTTTAATTCGGCATTCAGCGTTCAGACCGCAGTTGCAAGGATCCCTGCAGATGCCATTCACGCACGCTTTGTCTTTAGCGCAGTCTGAGTCGGCTATACAACCACCTACTTCCACCACGGTCTTCGTTGGTTTACAAGTACCGCTACCGCTGCTAATGTAGCCGTCGGGGCAGACGCAAATCATGGTGCGTACAGGTGAAGTTGGTGTGACTTCGCATTGTGCAGGTCGATTACATGGTTCTAATGTTAAGCAGGGATTGACACACTCATCGTTGATGCAAGCCAAGCGCGCTGGACAGTCCGTATCTACTTTGCATACAGGCTGTGGTTCTGGGCGGCAGTCCACGTATGGATTACCAAGGAAGCCAGCGGGGCAGCGACAGACGGCCAAGTGGTTTTGAGCGCGACATTCAGCATGCGGTGAGCAGGGGTTTTGATAGATGCAAGGATTAACGCATTGTTCGTTCTGGCACATCTTGTCCGTGGGGCAATCATTGTTCGTGAGACATCCAATAACGCGACAACGCTCGTACGCATTGCCACGATAACCACTCTTGCAGCGACACATCGCTTGATTCGACTGTACATAGCACTCGGCGTTGATGCCACAAGGATCATTGACCAAACATGGGTTGATACAGTTTCCGTTAATGCAAGCTTTACCAGAGTCACATTCACTATCGATGCGACAGCCAATGGTGCGGCAGTATGAGTAGGGATTGCCTTCGAAGCCGTCCTGACACGAGCAGGTGGCGCGATGGTTCTGTACACGGCAAATAGCGTTGGTACCACAATTACATGGGTTGCGACATTGGCGGTTGATGCACGCCTCCTGGTCCGGGCAATCAGCATCGGTGCTACATCCTGGTGGGCTCTGCAGTATGATTTGTTTGCACTCACCGCGCGCATCGGGCACATAAGACTCTGGGCATTCGCAGACCATAGTACGTACGGGCACGCTATCCAGCACACTACACTGGGCAGAACTAGCGCAAGGAGAGAGTATGGTGCATGGATTCTGACATTTGTTGTCGATACAAGCTAAACGACTGGGACAGTCGCCATCGTCGCGGCAAACAGGTTCTACAGGACGACGTTCACAATAGGCATAGGGATTTCCCAATGGCATAGTCTCTGGACAGCGGCAGACGGCACGATGTTGCAATGGTTGGCAAATGGCATTCTGTGCACATGGACTATCCTGGCAAGGATTGACGCATTGATTGCGTACGCATGCTTGATTCGTAGCGCAGTCGTAGTCTGAGTGGCACTCAACGCGTACACAACGTTGGAATGGATTGCCCTCCAAGCCGGCAGGGCAACGACAGTTAGCGCGATGATTGCGACCAAAGCATTCGGCATTGAGCGCACATGGATCACTAATCAGGCAAGGATTAACACATTCGCGATTTACGCACTGCTGATCCGTTGAACATTCATCGTCCGATTGACATCCGATTTGTACACAGCCAAATTGCGCATTTCCAGAGTAGCCTGGCTGACAGTAGCAGACGGGATGATGATTGCGCACAATGCAATCTGCGTTCGGACCGCAATTGCAAGGATTTACACAGCGTTCGTTGACACAGGATTCGCTGAGCGCGCAGTCAGAGTTCGATTTGCACCCAATTGTGGAGACATCTGGTGCTGTGGATTGAGAAAATTTGTAAACTTATTAGTATTTGTCTATGAAAAGAGAAAGAAAGACGCTAAAAAGGTGTACTTACGTGGTATACAAGCAACGCGTGCATCACCGCTAAAACCGGGAGGGCAACGACAAACTGCTTCTCTGTTTTGCACGTGACAGTAAGCACCGCGTCCGCAAGCGTCTTCCACACATGGATTGACACAGCGTTCATTTGCACAATTCTTATCATACGGACAGTCATCGTTCTTCGTGCATTCTGCATTCGGTGTTTTCGGCTGTTCATGCACAATCAGACGGCACTCCATGCGCGGATTGCCTTCATAGCCGCGTGCGCATGTGCATTCAGCATAGTGATCACGTGAGCGACATTGTGCATTCACACCGCAACGTTCCAGACGACAAGCGTCGATGCATACCCCTCGCTGGCAGACCTCCGTATTACCACATTCGTCATTGCTCTGACAACCGCTGACCACCTCATGTTTAATCGGCACACAATTGCCCGAATTGTCAGTGATCGTATCGCTAGGGCACTTGCAGATCATTGTACGCAACGGTAGTGTATCAAGTACATGACAGGTCTGTTGTGGCGTGCAAACGTGTGGGGTGGCACATGGGTTCGAACAGTGCTGGTTAATGCAAGCCAGTTGTGTTGGACAATCAGCATCTTGGGTACATTCGGGTTGCACTTTCGTCGGTGGCTCGCGTGGCAGATCGCATTGAACGAATGGATTGCCAATGTAACCTGTGCGGCAAGCACACTGCGGTTGATGACGTCTGCCAGTGCAAACGGCATTCAGCGCGCAGGTATCCTCATCACAAACCGGACGGCAAACACGATTCAAGCGATCGCAAGCTTCATGATCCGCGCAATCCTCATTGTATTGACAGTGTCCAGTGATACAAGAGACAAATGGATTGCCTTGTGTGCCCGGTGGACATATGCAGACAGCTTGGTGATTTTGTGGAGCGCACTGAGCACCAATGCCGCAACGTACTTCACCATAATTGCAAGGATTAACACAATTCTCGCTGATGCAAGCCTTATCGTATGGACAGTCTGCATTAATCTTACACTCCGCTGTGTGAAAGAAAATAAATGGCGTATTAAAGAGCGGCCGCACAAAGAGAGAGAGGTTGTTTAAAGCTATTGAAACTTACGTTTGTAACACTGCACTTGCGGATCACCACCCCATCCGGCGGGGCAAGAGCATATTGGGCGCGAATTTCGCACACGACACTCTGCATTGCCTGCGCATGGATTTGCCTCGGCGCAGGGGTCTTGACAGCGTTGATTGATGCAAGCCGTGGTTGGCGTGCACTCCGAGTCGTGTTTACAGCCGGCTGTGATTTCAGCTGCAGGCGAGAGATATTATATTGTTAGTTAAACCGTAATGTGCTGAGGTGTTCAGTGAGTTTCTAATCGAGCAGCTTCTTTCAACTTACGTGGTTGGTAGCAATTTGTGAAGGGATCGCCCTGTGTGCCGAGTGGGCAACTGCAGACCGCGCGATGACGCTGAGCCAAGCACTCCGCAGTACGTGCGCAAGGTGAGACATCTATGCAAGGATTTACACAGACGCCATTACGGCAAGCTTCCGTGTCCTGGCACTCGCTATTCGATTGACAGCCATGATCGCGTGCGGGTTCTAGGATGAACAAAACTAATTAGTAAACTGTAGCAAAGGGTTGAGGGCATTCGAAAGAATACATATGAAGCGAAAGTGAAGTACATTTGTGGTTGCGAAATTGCAATTGACTGTACAAGAGTTTGATGTGTAAATATGAACAGAGCGTAGGTAAATATATTTACAATATAAGAAACAAGTAAAAACATTTTAAAATTTGTTAAATAAAATATAAAGCTGGAATGAGAAATAGACTCAAAAAGATATGTGTTTAAAAATTTCACAGTTTTCTCCGGCCAAAAATTTGCAAGCAACCTACCTTTACGACAACCTACATCCGCATCACCCACATAACCGGATTCACATTGACAGATCATGGTACGTAGCGGTAATGTGTCCACTACCGAACAAATAGCGTTCGCGCCACACGGTTGCGTCACGAAGCACGGGTTCTTGCATTCACCTCCGAAGCAGGCCAACTTGCTGGTACAGTCCGCGTCCATAGTACATTGTGGCGCAAACTTGGGTTCTTCAAGTACACAGCTCACGAGTGGATTACCAGTGTAACCCGGAGGGCAGCGACATTGTGCACGATGATTGTCAACGCGACACTGTGCACCAATACCACAATTACATGGATCTTCGCAACGTTCATTTCGGCAGGCCAAATTGAAGGCACACTCTTCGTCGCGTGTACATTCGGGTCGTTCGCAATGCACCAGTGGATTGCCGCGATAACCGTCAGGACAATGGCAACGTGCTTTATGATTGTAGTCTGCTCGACAAATGGCGTTCGTGCCGCACTGTGTGTACGGGCAGGGATCGGTACATTGTTTGTTGATGCATGCTTCCGTGGCAGGGCACTCCTCGTCCGAACGACAGCCGATGAGGTGACAGTAGCTGAAAGCGTTGCCGGTGTAACCTGGATGTAGTAGAAAAAACATTTACTATGAGTACTTGGAAAACTTTGAAATAAAACTATGATTAAAATAGGCTTTCATTTCATATTTCGCATTAAATAAAAAAGAACTAATATCAGAAGCTCTGTAGGTGAACTAAGTATTGCCTAGATATTAGGTGATCCTCACCTACAATGTTTACCACAAAAAAAAAGAAAGCAAATTAAATCTTACTTTAACTGATCTAACTATAAAGAATAGAGCTTTTAAGTAGGTAAAAGCCAGACTTAAGCGGAACACTGCTTTTGAAGACTTCTTCAGAAGATTTCTAATGACTGATATAATTGTCAATGCTTTTTGGAGTAGCTCTGCTTAGAACAAATATAGACTCTCTTCTTTCTCTGAGAAATAGATATATTATAATAATACCCTCCCTTACCACCTGTACTCACCTTCATTACACACACAGAGAGGTCGGTGCAGCTGCACATGACAGCGCGCATTTGTGCCGCAAATATTCGACAGTTCGCACGGATTCTTGCAGACTTGATTGACACACGCCTTATCGTTGGAGCATTCCGCATCAGTGGTGCATTCAGGACGGGGTTCTGGTATATCTTCTATTTGTGGCAGACATTGGTTGAATGGTGAACCATAGTATCCCTGTGGACATGTACATACGGCTTTGTGATTAATGGCATTACAGATTGCATTAAGACCGCAGGCATTAATACATGGATCGCGACATTTCTGATTAATGCAAGCACGATTACGCAAACAGTCCTCATTGGTCACACACTCCGGATACGTGCATGTGGCAGCGCCATTGAGAACCTGACAAATGCCATTGCTACGACATGGTGATGGATTGCAGGGATCAACTGGTTTCGGTGGTGCGTGACATTCAACGAACGGATTACCCACCATCGGGCTGGGGCAACTACAAATCGGATTGTGATTAACTGTCTGACATTGAGCACCGAAGCCGCAAACGCCTGGGCAGGGATCAACACATTTGGAATTAACACAAGCCTTATCCTTAGCACAGTCCGAGCTAAGCGTACATTCGGGGCGACAGCCTTGGCCCTGTGGGTTGCCGAAGAAGCCGGGCAGACATTCACAAACTGCCTGGTCGCGTTGAACCTTGCAGGCGGTGTTGATACCGCACGGTGTCGGGTAGCATGGATCACGTCGTTCTTGTGGTATGTGCTCGATTACTATAGGTGAACATTGTACGAAAGCATTGCCGCTGTAACCCGTTGGGCACGAGCAAATTGGTATGTGATTGTGTATGGTGCAAAGTGCTTCTACACCGCAAGTACCTGGGCAAGGATCTACACATTTGTTGCGTATACAAGCGCGATTCGAGGCGCATTCAGAATTGCCAACACATTCTGGACGGCAACCTTCATAGGGATTACCAATGTAGTCGTTGATACAAGCACAAGTGTAACTATCGCCGCGGCCTCGACATTCACTGTTCGGACCACAAGGTGACGGTCGGCAAGGGTCACGTGGTTCCTGTTGTGGTGGCGGTGGTAGAGCTGAAAGAAAGTTAAGAAATATATGTACACGTTATAAAGATTGCTGTTGTCAAATAGATCTGAGTGGGGACAACTTGCTAACGCCTTACTTTTTGGTGCCTCATAACACACGCGGAAGGGATCACCGGTCATGTCGGCGGGGCAATGACAGTTTGGTATATGCAAAGCCACAATACAGTTGGCATTCGAGCCACATGCGCCAGGGCAAGGATCGCGACAACGCTGGTTGATACAAGCCAAATTGTTTGGACATTCCCCACTGATAGTACACTCAGGGCGGCAGTTGGGCGGTGCACCTATATATTCTGCCAGACAACTGCAACTAGCGGCTTTATTTACTTCACGACACTCTGAGTAAGGGCCGCATGGCGATGGTGTACAAGGATTTACATCGGCTTGTGGTGGTTCAGGGGTGCGGGGCGCTAGGGGTTTATAAAAAAGCTTGGGGTAATGTCATTTCAAGTAAAGAAGATATCGAGTCGTTGCTTACGTGGTATTGGTTGACAGCTAGTGAAGGCTTCACCAGTATAACCCGTTTTACAAGCGCACAACGGGCTATGGTTACGTACATGACATTCCGCGTTCAATCCACAAGCGCCAGGACAAGGATCCTTGCATTTTTGGTTGATACAAGCTTTATCAGATGGACATTCAGAGCTAACTATACATTCTGCACGGCAGCTGGGTGGGTTACCCAAGAAGCCAGGCACACATTCACACACAGCCTGATCACGTCGTACTTTGCAGATGGAATTGAGGCCGCACGGTGTTGGGTAGCAAGGATCACGATGTTCTATTGGCGTTTTCTCGATTACGATGGGTGAGCATTGGACGAAAGCATTACCGGTGTAGCCAGTTGGGCATGAGCAAATCGGTATGTGATTGTGTATGGTGCACAGTGCCTCTACACCGCAAGTGCCAGGACAAGGATCAACGCATTTGTTGCGTATACAGGCGAGACTTGGTGAACACTCAGAGTTGCTAATACATTCAGGACGGCAACCTTCGTAAGGATTGCCATTGTAGTCTTTGACACAAGCGCAAACATAACTATCTTCAGGGCGACGGCATTTACTGTTGGGTCCACATGACGACGGGTTGCAGAGCGCATTTGCGCCACATGGTGAAGGTATGCAAGGATCCACGGGTTCATTTGGTTCTGTAAAGTGGCAAATGTTAGTATTATGGTTTCGGGTTATGAGTTTTCGACATTTACTCGGCGCAGGTGGCGGCGGTGGTAGTGGACGACAATTGGTGAATGGATCGCCAGTATAGCCAATAGGACAGGAACAGCTTGGTATATGCTTGATGACGCTACATAATGCTGAGAAGCCGCAAGAGCCAGGACAAGGATCGCGACAGCGCTGGTTGAGGCAAGCCGTGTTGCCAGGACATTCCGCATTGATGGTACATTCTGGACGGCAGTTGGGCGGTGCACCTATATACTCTGTTAAGCAGCTGCAACTAGCGGCGTTGTTCACTTCACGACATTGTGAGTACGGACCACATGGTGATGGTATGCACGGGTTAATATCGGCTTGTGGCGGCTCAGGAGTTCGAGGGGCTAGGAGAATAATAATAAAGAGGCGAGACAGTCAGTTTACGCGTTGTTTCACTTGCGGCGAGTTGGTTTCAAAGTCGTTGCTTACGTGGTATGGGTTGACAGCTAGTGAATGCTTCACCGGTATAACCCGTCCTGCAAGCGCACAATGGGCTATGGTTACGCACATGACATTCCGCATTCAAGCCACACGCGCCAGGACAAGGATCTTTACATTTCTGATTGATACACGCCTTGTCCAGCGGACACTCGGAGCTGACAACACATTCCGGGCGGCAGCTGGGTGGTGTGCCAACAAATTCCGGTATACAGGAGCAGACTGCTTGACCGTTAGAGTCACGGCATTGGGAGTTAGGGCCACACGGTGATGGTTGGCAAGGACTTACGTTGACTGGTGGGTCGGCTACAGAATTCGGAATTATATAACGATAGATTAGTGGCGGATAAGAGATATCGCGGTAAGAGGGTTAAGCCAATGCTTCAAGCAAACTAGTAAAGCTGCGCTACGTTTAACTTAACTTTATTACTTATTTTAGTGCTTAGTCTACGGGTTAGCTTATAAGTAGTTATGTGTGCATGATAACCGATGAGTGCGATGAGTTTTTTTTACAAATGAGTAAGCTGAAAATATCAGTATTTTAGTGCTAGCATGAGATCGGTTTCTCTAGTGAGATTTTTACTGCTAAGTAGTCGGGTAAGATTTGCTGACGTAAGCTTTGAGGGTAATGCATATTTTAGGGGGTTGTTCGTAGCGTCGTTTGAAAGGACAAGTTTATAGGGTTGCCAAGAAGGTCAGCAAGGGTCATTGGCAACATTTAACCTAAAAGATATGTTATAGGACATATACGGGTATTAGCCAGCTTTAGCAGGCATTAGACTGGGGTTAGTTTAATTAGGTTAGGTAGTTCTGCGTTGTTTTCAGCTGTGGAGGCTTTTAGGTTAACAGATAATTAAAAATGTTCAAAGCTTCTTACGTTCTGCTTGCATTATTACGCAGCGCGTGTAAGGATCACCCCGATAACCTGGCAGGCACGCACAATTCGGTATATGATTGACGACTTGACAAGTGGCTTGTGTGCCACAAGTGCCGGGACATGGATCACGGCACTTTTGGTTCAGGCATGCCTTGTCTGCTGCGCAGTCGGAGTTCCTAACACATTCCGGACGACAAACTTCATAAGGATTACCGAAATAGTTGGGTAAACATTGACAAACACTTAGGCCATTGCGTGGCTGACAGATCGCATTCGGGCCACAAGGACTGGGACTGCAAGGTAAAGCCACCTCGGTAGGTGGGTCTTGTTGTTTCACACAAGCGTTGAATGGGTCACCAGTATAGCCGCTGGGACAGAAACACATAGCGCTATGCGCCAGCACGCGACACTCGGCTACGGCACCACAGGAGCCCGGACATGGATCGACGCATTTATGATTAATACAAGCCTTGTCCGAGGTGCATTCAGCGCTCGTCACGCATTCCGGTCGACAGTGTGGTGCGGAGCCGATGAAATCACGTAAGCAGGCACATTGTGCGCCATTCGGTGTCACTGTACATTCGGAGTTGGGTCCACAAGGTGATGGCTTGCAAGGATCTTCATCCTTCTGTGGTGGAGGTGGTCGTTGAACTGTAAAATCGTTTAAGGCATTTAATTGGTGTTGTTCGGATTTATGAAACACGAGAAAGTTACTACTTGGTTGGCAGGCGATGAATGGATCACCGGTGAAACGTGTTGGACAAGTACAGATTGGGCTGTGGTTATGCACCTGGCAGTTGGCGCGTAAACCGCAAACGCCAGCGCAGGCATCTTGACAACGTTGATTCACACAATACTTATCGAGCTGACACTCCGAATTAGATACGCACTCGGGTCGGCAAGAAGGTGGTACGCCTATATAGCCTGGCAAGCAGGAGCACATGGCCTGTTGATTTGTCGCTCGACATTGTGCATTCGGACCACAAGGGGAAGGATGACAGGGATTCACGGGCGCTGGTGGTTCGACGACTGAAATTGAGAAAGTGTGAGTTCGCGCAATTCCAACAAATGCCTTCAAATCGTTTTTACTTGGTACGGGATCACAGCGCATGAACGCATTACCGGTCATGCCCGTGGGGCACGAACACATTGGAACATGATTGATGACATTACACATTGCCTGTAAACCGCATGTTCCCGGACAGGGATCCGCACATTTCTGGTTGATACAAGCACGATCACGCGCACAATCACTACTGAGCACGCACTCCGGACGGCAGCCAATATATGGATCGCCATGATACTCCGGCTGACACGTGCATACACCGTCGCCGCTGCAAGCTGCATTCGCGCTACAAGGTGATGGTATGCAAGGATCCTGCTTGATGGGTTCACGATACACTATTGGTTTCGGTGGTTGCGGCGTGCAGCTGTTAAATGGATCGCCTACATATCCGGTTGGACACACGCAGTTGGGTACATGATTGAGCACATTACATAACGCGTTGAAGCCACAAGAGCCGGGGCATGGATCGCGACACTTCTCGTTGATGCAGGCATGACTTGGTGGACAATCGGAATGCACCACACATTCGGGACGACAATTTGGTGGACTACCAATGTAATTTGGCAGGCAAGAACAAACTGCGCCTCCGTTACGGTTATGACATTGCGTGTATGGGCCACAAGGTGAGGGACTGCAAGGATTACTTGGCGGCAATGGTGATGGTACTAATGTTACATCAGCGATCGGTTGTGATGGTGGTGCTACATTTACGAAAACGAAAAAAGGTTTGATGGATTCTTGAGAATCTGTGAAAGTTTTGGATCTTACAAGGTATTGGGTAACAGCGCGTAAAGGCATCACCGGTGTATCTTGCCCTGCAACTACAGATTGGATTGTGGTTGTAAACGCGACATTCCGCATTCTGGCCACAAGTGCCCGGGCAAGGATCAGCGCATTTGCGGTTTATGCAAGCTTGCGTAAGTGGACATTCCGAGTTAACGGTACATTCAGGGCGACATGCTGGTGGTGATCCGACGAATTCGGGCAGACAAGAGCAGACGGCCTGTTTGTTCACTTCGTGGCATTGCGCGTTCGGTCCGCACGGCGATGGCTGACATGGATCAACGTAAACGGGTTCCACTAGTAATAGAACAAAAATGTTTATACCGAGGCTTCAACGAAAAATTGAAATTGTTGAGCTTACATTGCTTCACAGGCGAGCATAAACTAAACGGATTGCCCGTGTAGCCACTCAAACAGTGACAAACTGGCAAATGGTTTACAATTTGGCACTCGGCATTACGGCCGCAACTGCCGGGACATGGATCGCGACATTTGCGCTGTACACAAGCACGGTTCGACTGACAATCACTATTTATGACACACTCTGGACGACAACCCTGGTAGGGATTGCCAAAGTATTCGGGCAGACAGACACAAGAGCCGACATTGCCTTGACGTCGGCACTCTGCATTATTTCCACAAGGACTTGGCACGCACGGGTCTACGTAGTCTGGTACAGGTGGTGGCGTTGCTGCTGGTAGAGGAAGACGGCAGATGGTGAACGGATCTCCTACATAACCCTCTTCACAAACACAATTTGGTATGTGATTCAAAGTGTGACATTCTGCATTCGAGCCACATAGTCCAGGGCATGGGTCACGACATTTCTGAATGATGCAGGCCTTATCCGAGGGGCATTCCGAATTAGATATACATTCTGGACGACAATTTGGCGGTACGCCGATGAACTCCGAGAGGCAAGTGCAAGATGGTGCGCCATTAATATTGCTACATTGGGCGTTTGGACCGCATGGCGATGGACGACAGGGGTCACGCGGCTCTTCGTAAGTTGGTGGATCTGTGGAGAGTCGAGTTGAGAGGGAGATTTCATTTTCATTTCATCGATAATCCGAATATCGTTATATGGAAAATACATACTGATAATGGGTTGACAGGCAACAAATGGACTGCCGGTGTAGCCAGTGGGACACGAGCACATCGGATTGTGATTAACAACGTTGCATAGTGAGTTGTGACCACAAGCACCTGGGCAAGGATCTGTACATTTCTGGGTAATACACGCGCGATTCATTGGACACTCAGAGTTGCTGACGCATTCGGGCCGGCAAGCAGGTGGTGTGCCAATCATATTTTGAACACAAGAGCAAATGGCAATGCCATTCCTATCCTGACATAGTGCATTGGGACCACACGGCGACGGTTGACATGGATGAGCTGGTTCGGGCGGTCGTTCCGGTGTAGGTTGACAAAGAACGAATGCATTGCCTTGCATACCCGCTGGACAATGGCACATCGGAACATGACTGTGGACCTCGCAGATAGCGTTCGAAGCACAGGTGCCTGGACAAGGATCCTGACATTTCTGATTGATACAAGCCTTATCGCGCGCGCATTCGCTGTTGAGAATGCACTCTGGGCGACAGCCGGTATATGGATCACCTTGATATTCGCCGATGCAAGTGCAAATGCCGTCACTACACTGGGCGTTAGTGCCACAAGGTGATGGTGTGCAAGGATCGTCGGCAGGTGCGGCTGTTTTTGAATAAAGATAATACGTATGTGAGATTTGGATGGGAAGGGGAGAGAGTTTGAGATTTATATTACATGGTGGCGGTGGTGCTGGTTGCGGATGGCAGCTGGTGAATGGATCACCGATATAACCAGCGGGACACACACAAACTGGTGTGTGGTTAAGTACATTACAGATAGCATTTACACCACAAGAGCCAGGACAAGGGTCACGACATTTCTCGTTCATGCATGCGCGATTACTGGCACAATCCGAATTCACTACACACTCCGGACGACAGTTGGGCGGTCTGCCCACATAAGTTGGTAGGCAAGAGCAGGTGGGTTGTTCATTCGTTACACGACAAACAGCATACTGGCCGCATGGCGAAGGTAGGCACGGATCGCGATAGGGTTCACGTGCTGGCGGTGGTGGAGGCGGTAAGGGATAACAACGGACGAATGCATCTCCAGTGTATCCCGGACGACAGCTACAGTATGGGCTATGAGTGCGCACGCGACACTCCGCGTTCGAGCCGCAAGTACCGGGGCAAGGATCTTGACACTTCCTATTAACGCAGGCCTTGTCCGCTGAGCATTCAGCGTTCGTTGTACATTCGGGACGACAAGATGGTGGACTGCCAATATACTCGGGTAGACACGAGCAAACGGCTTGTTCGTTCACCTCCCGACATTGTGAATTGGGGCCACAAGGTGATGGTACACAGGGGTTAACATATTCTCTAACGGCTGTTGATAAACGGTAAATGTAAAAAATAAATTCTTTAAAGTGCTATGAATGCGGTGCGGTGCTTTGTCTTTTTTGGTTTCTAAGACCAACCAAATACTAAAGGCGAATGTGTTTGATAAACTAGTAGGATGCTTACGTTCTTTCACAATATTACAATAGCTATACGGGTCACCGGTATAACCCGAAAGACAACTGCAAGTTGGCAAGTGATTAATGGCGTCACAACGAGCATTTTGCCCACAAACCCCAGGGCAAGGATCTTGACACTTCTGGTTGCGGCACGCCTTGTTCGAGGGACAGTCTGAGTTCGCAACACACTCGGGTCGACAACCCTGATAGGGATTACCGAAGTATTCTGGTAGACATTTACAGGAGCCGGCATTGTTTTGAGTTGTACAGATAGCATTACTGCCACATGGGCTCGGTACACACGGATTCACCTGTTCGAGTTCCACAATCGGTTGAGGATAACATTGTGTGAATGGATCGCCCACATAACCGGTGACACAGATACAAGATGGCGTGTGACTAACCACATGGCAAGTAGCTGATGTACCGCATACGCCAGGACACGGGTCGCGACATTTCATATTTATGCAGGCTTTATTGTTAGCACACTCAGAAGATGAAAGACACTCTGGTCGACAGTGTGGTGCTGCTCCGATGTAATCTGGAAGGCAGCTGCAGGATGGAGAGCCATTGGTATCCACGCATTGAGAGTTCGGGCCGCAAGGTGATGGTAGGCAAGGGCTAGTGGGTTCTCGTTGAGGTTCCGGTGGTGGTAGCAGCTGACATAAGTTGTGAGCATTGCCTGTATAACCGCTGGGGCAACTACAGAACGGTGCATGATTAATAACTGAGCAGAGGGCGCGTAAACCACAGCTGCCCGGACAGGGATCTCGGCATTTCTGATTCACACAAGCCAAGCTCGGTGGACAGTCTGAATTAATGGTGCATTCCGGTCGACAGTTAGGTGGCGAGCCGAGGTAGTTGGGCAAGCAGGCGCAAACAGATTGCTGGTTAACTTCGTTGCATTGCGAGTTCGGACCGCAAGGCGATGGCTGGCATGGGTTGATGATGGTTGGCGGTGCTAAGAAAGGAAGAAGTGAGTTCCACGTATCGTCTAATGCTAAGTAAAAGGGTTGAAACCTACTTTGTTGTACCGAACATTGGATAAATGCATTTCCCGACATGCCCTCAGGACAACGACACATTGGTATATGGTTAAAGACATCACAAATGGCGCCCACACCACAAGTACCTGGGCAAGGATCAACACATTTGTTACGTATACATGCTTTATCTCGCGAACACTCTGTATTGAGTACACATTCAGGACGACAACCGAAGTAAGCGTTTCCTTGGTATTCCGGAAGGCACGAGCATAAACCGTTATCACAAACGGCATTACTTCCACAGGGTGATGGGTTGCAAGGGTCTTTTAGAGGCACTACGAAAATTATAATTAATTCGGCGTTCTCAATAGAAAAAAACCTAAAACCTACATTTCGGTTCTGGTGGCTTGGGTGTACAGCTAGTGAACGGATCGCCAGTAAAGTCAGCGGGACAAGTACAAATTGGCGTATGATTTATGACGTTGCAAATCGCAGAGAAACCACAGGAGCCGGGACATGGATCGCGGCACTTCTCATTTATGCACGCTAGATGAGCTGGACATTCGGCGTTAATGGAACATTCTGGGCGACAGTTGGGTGGTGCACCCAAGTATTTGGGCAGACAAGAGCAAGAAGCTTGGCCGTTGACGTTGCGGCAGACAGCGTTAGCACCGCATGGTGATGGCACGCATGGATCCCGATATTCCTCTCTAATAACAGATGGTGGTGGTGCTGTGAAAATCACGTTATTAATTATTGCTTTTCCTTCATTATAGATATTTATCTTACGCGGTATCGGGTAACACCTTGTAAAAGCGTCGCCAGTAAAACCATTTCGACAACTACAAAGTGGGCTGTGATTGCGTACATTGCACTCGGCATTGAGACCACACACGCCTGGGCATGGATCGACGCATTTCTGGTTAACACAAGCCTTATCAAGAGAGCACTCACTAGAAGAGGTACACTCTGGACGACATTCGGGCGGGCTACCGATAAATGTTGGCAAGCAAGAGCAGACGGCTTGCTGCTTCACCTCGCGACATTGCGAGTTTGGTCCACATGGCGAAGGTTGGCAGGGGTTTACCACATCGAATTTGGCTAAATGATCAGAGAAAACTGTTTTTGAAACACTTTACCGAAACACTTCATTAATATTTAGCTTACGTTCTGTCACCACTGTGCAGTAACTATATGGATCGCCTGTGTAGCCGGTTAAGCAGTGGCAGGTTGGCAAATGATTGCGTACATAGCAAAGTGCGTTCTGTCCACAAGTACCCGGGCATGGGTCTTTGCATTTGCTTTGCACGCAAGCTTTGGTTGTTGGACAGTCGGAGTTCACAACACATTCGGGACGACAACCCTCATAAGGATTGCCTTGATATTCAGGCAGACATTGACAAGCGCCAGCCCCATTACGTACTGTGCACTCGGTGTTAGGACCACAAGGGCTCGGTTGACAGGGATTTAACACCTCTTGGGGCACATCGCGTACGACATCACAAAAGCTGAAGGGATCGCCGGTATAACCGCTCACACACACGCACATGGGCGTATGATTAATGACATGGCAAGCGGCATTGGTTCCACAAACTCCTGGGCAAGGATCCTGGCAACGTTGATTGATGCATGCCTGTGAAAGTGGGCACTCGGAATTCGTAACACACTCTGGACGGCAGTTTGGCGGTGAACCAATAAAATTATTGAGACATGAACACGATGGGCTATCGCCTACAGCTCGACACTCCGCGTTCGGTCCACAGGGTGATGGACGGCAAGGATCTTTTGGCTGAATATCTAATGTTGGCGCAACTGTAAGAAGATATGATGATTGAAAGTTCGGTTCGATGCGAAGGTTTTGAAAAATATTACTTCGTATAGGACTGCATGCAACAAATGGATTGCCGGTGTACGAGTTGGCACAGCGACATATCGGAGAATGATTTATGACACTACATTCAGTGTTGACGCCACAAACTCCAGGACAGGGATCACGACATTTCTGCTGCAAACACGCACGATTTAGGGCACATTCCGCATTGCTGGTGCACTCCGGTCGGCAAGATGGTGGTGCGCCTAAGAACTCAGGTAAGCACGAGCAAACAGCTTGTTGATTTACAACACGACATTGCGAGTTCGGGCCACACGGCGAGGGTTGACATGGATTCACTTGCACAGGCGTCGATTGGAGTTGGCATAGTGCGAACGCATTACCCGTCATACCATCTGGACAATGACACATTGGAATGTGATTATGTACCTCACAAATGGCGTTTTTGGCACATGTGCCTGGACAAGGATCTATACATTTTTGACGAATGCAAGCCTTGTCCGACGGACAGTCTGTATTCAAAACACATTCCGGACGACACCCAATTAATGGATTACCTAAGTATTCGGGTAAGCACTCGCACTGACCATCGTGACACACAGTATTTGCCCCACATGGTGAAGGATTGCACGGATCTTCCGCTAGTTTAGGTGGTGGTGGTGGTGGCATGTGGCAAGCGGTGAACGGATCGCCACTTAAGCCTGGTGCACATTCACAGATAGGTGTATGATTGACGACATGACAATTCGCATTGAAACCACATGCGCCCGGACAAGGATCGCGACATTTCTGATTGATACAAGCTTGGGTGCTCGCGCAGTCTGAGTTTCTAGTACACTCCGGGCGGCAGCTTGGTGGACTGCCTATGTAGGTGGATAGACATGAGCAAGATGGACTGCCGTTGATGTCGCGACATTCTGCAAATTGTCCACAAGGCGAAGGTACGCACGGATTCCGCATTGGCTCTGGTAGTTCAGCAACTGGTGGTGGTGCTACAGGTTAAAATACATTATTATACTGCATTACGCATACGTTGGTGTTGAGCTTACGTGGTATGCGATAACAACGCGTGAAGGCATCTCCAGTATAGCCGTTAAGGCAGATACATATCGGCGAATGGTTTCGTACGCGACACTCCGCATTTGAGCCACAAGTGCCTGGACATGGGTCCTGACACTTTTGGTTAATACACGCCTTATCTAAAGCGCATTCGGCACTTGTCGTACACTCGGGTCTGCAGGCTGGTGGTGTACCCACAAAAGTTGCTAGACAAGAGCAAACGGCTTGGCCGTTCACTTCGCGACACTGTGAATTGGGCCCGCAAGGCGATGGCTGACAGGGGTTGACGTATTCTTTTATGATTGCTACAACAAGAAACAAAAAGGCTACTTTCCTGTATTTTCACGGGTGCATAAGGTACAAGTTAACTCACGTTTCTCTGGCAACTGACAATAACTGTATGGATCTCCTACAAAGCCATCAAGACAATTGCACGAGGGCAAATGATTGATAACGCGACATTGAGCATTTAGCGCACACACGCCGGGGCAAGGATCGCGACATTTTTGATTTTGACAAGACTTATCCAGTGGGCAGTCTGAATTTGTTACACACTCTGGACGGCAGCCCTCGTAGGGATTGCCAAAGTATTCGGGCAAGCACTGACATGAGCCCGCATTATTACCCTGGCGACACTCGGCGTTCACACCGCAAGGATTCGGTTCACACGGTCTGATGACTTCTTCTTGTTGTGCTGGCGTTGCTGAGCAGAATGTAAATGGATCACCAGTATAGCCTGGCACGCACAGACACATTGCTGTGTGGCTAATAACGCGACACTGCGCATTTTGTCCGCACAAACCGGGGCAGGGATCAACGCATTTCTGGTTAATACAAGCTTTTTCATGACTACATTCACTATTGGTAACACATTCAGGACGGCAATTCGGTGGTGATCCTGTAAATTGTGGTAAGCATGAGCAGGACGGTGCATCGCCGACAGCGCGACATGCCGAGTTCGGACCGCAAGGAGATGGGTAGCATGGATCTTTTGGCTCCTCCAAACGTGGTGGTGGTTCAACTGGTAAAAGGGGAGATTTGTAACAACTGACTGTGACGTGTGAAGAATTTTGTGAATATTTACTTATAGGTTGGCATGCGACGAAGGGATTTCCAGTATGACGTGTTGGACACGTGCAGATTGGTGCATGATTTACGACGTTGCAAATGGCATTAAAACCGCAAGCACCTGGACAAGGATCAACGCATTTCTGATTCTGGCAAGCTTTCTGCGGACCGCAATCTGAATTGCGTACACACTCTGGACGACAAGTCGGTGGATTTCCGATGAAACCTTCAATGCAAGAGCAAACAGCGTTTTGATTGAAGACACGACAGCGGCTGTTTGGACCGCAAGGTGATGGTTGGCATGGGTCAGATACGAGTTTCGCTGTAGTAGATTGAGTGAAAGGAAAGAGAGAAAGAGGTGGAGATAATGGAAACAAAGTTTAGTCGAGGAGTAAGTAAAAGTTTCGCTCGGAAATATTTACGTGGCAAGACATCACATTGGTAGAATGCGTTTCCGGACATGCCTTCGGGACAACGACACATTGGCACGTGATTGAGTACTTCACATATGGCATTAATGCCACAAGTTCCTGGACACGGATCAACACATTTATTTTTGATACACGCCTTGTCGTGTGGACATTCGGAGTTAAGCACACACTCAGGGCGACAACCAATGAAGGGGTCGCCTTGATATTCAGATATACAAGTACATTGTCCGTCGTTACATATAGCGTTGGGGCCGCAAGGTGACGGATTGCATGGATCATCCTTTACTGGCGGTTTTGCTGTTGGCACAGAGAGAGAGAGATGGTAAATTTAGAAATCTATTTCGGAGTTTTATCCTTTATTATTTGTCTTGCTTACGTGGAGGCGCTGGCTGGCAACTGGTAAATGGATTACCTACATAATCCTGGGGACACGAGCAAATTGGAATGTGATTTATCACTCTGCACAAAGCATTATACGCGCAGGAACCCGGGCAAGGATCGGTGCAGCGATTATTCATGCAAGCAAAATTTGACGAGCATTCTGAATTAGTAACGCATTCTGGCCGACAGTTCGGCGGTACACCAAAAAAGTTGGCCAAACAAGAGCAGGAGGCTTGACCGTTTACATTTCTGCATTGCGAGTTAGGACCACAAGGCGAAGGCAAGCAAGGATCGCGTATTGGTTCGGCAACAACTGTTGGTGGTGGCGCTATTTTTTTTTTTTTTAGGTAATATAAATATCAAATAAAGTTATATTTTCATCTAAGTAAGCGAACTCACGAGGTATCGGATAGCAACGAGTAAATGGATCGCCGGTGTAGCCACGCTGACAAGAGCAAAGTGGCGCATGATTGCGTACTAGACACTTGGCTCCTGTACCGCACACACCCGGACATGGATCCACGCATTTTTGATTGATACAAGCCTTGTCAAAACTACACTCAGCACTGATGGTACATTCGGGTCGGCAGGCGGGTGGCATACCAATAAATTCTGGAAGACATGAGCAGACGGCTTGATTGTTCACTTCGCGACACTGACTATTTGGTCCACAAGGAGATGGTTGGCACGGATTAACGTACTCTTGTAGTTGAGCTAAAGAGGAATCGTTGTATGAACTAATTTGCGAGTTGAAACCAAATAAATTTCCTTACGTTTCTCTTCTACAGCACAATAACGGTACGGATCGCCGACATACCCGAATAAACACGTGCAGGTGGGCAAATGATTTCTTGTGTGGCACTCAGCGTTTAAGCCGCAAGTACCTGGACAGGGATCGCGGCATTTTTGGTTGATACACGCCTTATTCGATGGGCAATCTGAGTTGAGCACACATTCAGGACGACAACCCTCGTAGGGATTACCGAAATATTCAGGCAAACATTTACAAGAACCTACTCCATTTTGTTGCAGACATTCGGCAAATGAACCACATGGATTGGGGTTGCAGGGATCGATAACTTCAGTTGGTGCACGCATAATCGGTGTGCACTGCACGAATGGATCACCGGCGTACTCATTTTCACAATAACACATTGCTGAATGACTTATTACACGACATAGGGCATTGTTGCCGCACAGACCAGGACATGGATCTATACAGCGATTATTTCGACAGACATTATTAGATGAACACTCTGAGTTCGTTACACATTCCGGGCGACAGTTCGGAGGTTGACCAAAGAAGTTCTCAAGACACGAACATGATGGAGAATCACCCACTGGTTGACAGCGACTGTTTGGACCACACGGTGAAGGCTGACATGGATTAACAGGCGTTACGTCGTGTACTGGCTCAACTGTGTTGTAAAAAACGTGAAAATTCAGAAGTGGAATAGTAATTGAAAAGTTTTGGACTCACTTATCGGACGACATTGTACGAAAGGATTGCCCGTGTAACGTTCACTGCATGCGCAGAACGGATTATGATTAACTACCGAGCATTTCGCGTATAAACCACATGTGCCTGGGCAAGGATTTACGCAGCGTTGATTTTGACATGCGCGATTCGGTGCACAATCAGAGTTGCTCGTACATTCTGGACGACATGATGGTGGGCTACCCAGATATGTAGGCAGACAACTACAAACGGGTTGGGAGTTAATTTCGCGACACTGTGAGTTTGGACCGCAAGGTGATGGTTGACAAGGATTTCGGTAAATGTCAGCTATTTTAAAAGGACATAAAAGGTAAAGAATATTGCTAAAAACACTATTTTGTATGAGAACCTACTTTGTACAGGCAAGCATTGTACGAATGCATTGCCGGTCATACGTTCAGGACAACGACACATGGGCACATGATTATAAACTTCGCATATGGCCTCCGTGCCACAAGTGCCTGGACAGGGGTCTACGCACTTCTGACGTATACAAGCACGATCACGTGGACACTCTGCATTTAATATACATTCTGGCTTACAGGTGACATACGGATCACCCTGATAATCAGCGATACAAGCACACTGCCCATCTCCAGAGCAGACCGCGTTGGGTCCACATGGGCTTGGATTGCAAGGATCGATGGTTTCTTGTTGTGGTGGTGCTAAAAAAACAAGTTGATTTTAAGCCTGTGATGCGATATATATGTATATGGAATAAGCTCTGCTTACAAGTTGGTGGCGCTGGATGACAAGCAACAAAAGCATCGCCTATATAACCGGGTGCACAAGCACAGTTCGGTGTGTGATTTATAACGTTACACACAGTGTTCACTCCGCATGCGCCCGGGCAGGGATCGCGACAACGTTCATTTATACACGCCTGACTGCTGGCGCAATCAGAGTTTACAGTACACTCCGGACGACAGTTTGGCGGGGAGCCTATGTAATTTATTTGGCACGTGCAAGATGGCACATTATTTTGATTGCGACAAGTGGCGTATGGACCACACGGCGATGGCACACAAGGATCACGATATATATCGGCGGGTTGAGGAGGCGTCGGCACTAAGTTAAGATGTAACGGCTTTAATAAATCATATTTAGCTTAAAAAAATATCACTTTTTCTTACGTGGTAGCGGATAACAACGTACGAACGGATCACCCGTTAAGCCACTACGGCAGGAACATATTGGACTATGATTGCGCACTTCACATATGGCGCTTTGGCCGCACACACCGGGGCAAGGGTCGACACATTTACGATTTATACACGCCTTATCCGCGGTACACTCAGAACTTGAAGTACACTCGGGTCTACAAGAAGGTGGAACGCCTATAAAGTCACTAAGGCAAGAGCATACGGCTTGACCGTTTACTTCGCGACATTGTGAATTTGGTCCACATGGGCTGGGTTGACATGGGTTTATGTACTCTTGTACTATGGCTACATGTTGATTTTGAGTTATGTAAGACAAGATACAAAGTTAACCAAATTTTTACAAAGTTAGTGACTACATACATATGAACTAGAATATTAAGAACAAACTACATGTACGATTGGAGTGAATGAACTGGAATCTAAGAAAATACACGCACGAAGAACTAAAGACGGGATGCTTAAGTTCCTTGTGCTTTACCTCTTCATAGACCTCGCTCAGTCAATCCCCTTTTCAGTAATATTTTGTTAAAAACAAATTGAAATGCTTTAGCTTACGTTCTGTTGGTCTTGTGCAATAACTGTACGGATCTCCGGTATAACCGACAAAGCAGTTACACGTTGGTATATGATTGACGACATTACATTCAGCATTTTGACCGCAGGTTCCCGGGCAGGGGTCTACACATTTCTGATTCTGGCAAGCTTTGTTTGATGGGCAGTCTGAATTGAGTACACATTCCGGTCGGCAACCTTCATAAGGATTGCCAAAGTATTCAGGCAAGCATTGACAGGCGCCCGCGCCATTACGTTCGATACAATTAGCGTTAGCGCCACAAGGGGATGGCGAACAGGGTCTGACCACCTCTATCGGTGCTAAAACACGTATGGGTTCGCAAGCGGTGAACGGATCACCAGTATAACCTGGTAAGCAGTTGCAGTGTGGTGTATGCGATAGGACGTGACATTCGGCGCCTACACCACATAATCCTGGGCATGGGCCTATACATTTCTGATTAATACAAGCTTTGTTGGACGCGCATTCTGAGTTCGAAACACATTCTGGTTTACAATATGGCGGCGATCCTATGAAGTTCGCTAAACACGTGCATGATGGCGTATCTCCGATGGCGCGACATTCTGAATTTGGACCACATGGTGAGGGGCGACAAGGATCACTGGGTATGACATCCTGTTTCGGTGGTTCGATAATGCGCTGGCAGGCGACGAATGGGTTACCGGTATATTGTGGTATACAAGTGCAGAATGGATTGTGATTCACGACACTGCATTGCGCGTTGCGTCCACATGTGCCAGGGCATGGATCGACGCATTTCTGGTTGATGCAAGCCAAGTTAGCTGCACATTCCTGGTTTGCTGTACACTCTGGACGGCAAGTTGGTGGCGCGCCAATGAATCCTGGAATGCATGAACAAACTGCTTGTTCATTGACTTCACGGCACTGTGAATTCGGACCACAAGGTGATGATTGACAAGGATTAACCTTAACGGGCGCTGCAAGTTCAAGTGGTGAGTATAAAAGGAAAGAACGTTTAAGGGCAAGTGGATAATTTTTAGATATTTACGTGGTATTGGCGAGCACTGTATGAAAGCGTTGCCGGACATGCCAGTTGGGCACGAACAGATCGGTATGTGGTTTACAGTGCTGCAGAGCGCGTTGGATGCGCAAGTACCGGGGCAGGGGTCAACGCATTTATTTCGTATGCAGGCGCGATCGCGTAGACAGTCTGTGTTAAGTATGCATTCTGGACGACAACCGGTGTAAGGATCACCCTGATATTCTGGAAGACAGGTACAAACTCCATCAATGCAACGAGCATTTGAGCCACAAGGAGAAGGATTGCAGGGATCGTCTTTGACAACAACTAAATGAAGGAGAATAATTTAGGATGGGTACAAAATTAAAATTCGCAGACGTCTTACGTTTTGGTGGTGGCTCTGGTGTGCAATAAGTAAATGGATCGCCGGTATAACCAGACTGACAAACACAGGTGGGCGTGTGATTGATAACATTACATACGGCACCCAAACCGCAAGAGCCGGGACAAGGATCACGACATTTCTCATTTATACAAGCCTGACTGCTAGGACACTCAGCGTTTATAGTACATTCCGGTCGACAAGCGGGTGGTGCGCCAATATAGCTGGGTAAACAGGAACACGAAGGTGAGTCGCCGACGAGACGACATTGAGAATTCGGGCCACACGGTGAAGGCACGCAGGGATCGACAGGTTGACGCTGTACGGGCGCTGGTGGTGCAGCTATAATGACAAATGTAGTTGCATAAATGCTCCCAAACTAGAAATGCGACATGAGCTTACGTGGTATGGCGAAACAACGAGAAAAAGCATCCCCTGTAAAGCCGGGACGACAAGAGCAGATAGGGCTGTGATTGTGTACGCGACAATTGGCATTTTGTCCACAAGTCCCAGGACAGGGATCAGCACATTTCTGGTTGATACATGCCTTGTTGAAAGCGCATTCACTGGAGATAGTGCATTCGGGGCGACAGAGTGGTGGACTGCCTATGTATTCTGGCAGACAAGAGCATACAGCCTGCTCATTGACTTCGCGACACTGTGAGTTGGGGCCACATGGTGTAGGCTGACAAGGGTTGACATATTCCTTAATAGCTGTGGGAGACATTTTCTGGTTTATTAAGATTCTGTGATCAATTTTTACTGGTATCTTACGTTGTTTCTCGACTTGACACCCTCTATATGGATCACCGTTATAGCCAGGTATACAATTACATGTTGGCACATGATTCAACACTGCGCAAATGGCATTCTGCCCACAGGTGCCAGGGCATGGATCGCGACACTTCATATTCTGACAAGCCTTGTCCGAGGCGCAATCGGAATTCAACATACATTCGGGTGTGCAACCTTCGTAAGGATTGCCGTAGTATTCGGGTAAGCACTGGCAAGAACCAGCATCATTACGTTGTGTACAACGGGCATTCGGACCGCACGGACTGGGATTGCAGGGATCTATGTGATCCAGTAGTGGAATTTTGATCTCAACACATTGTACGAATGGATCGCCTTCAAAGCCCGCAGGACAATAACAGCTTGGAGTGTGCGAGAGCACACGACATAAAGCATTATTACCACACAAGCCTGGACAGGGATCTTTGCATTTCTGATTGATGCACGCCAAGTTTGTAGCGCACTCTGAGCTGGTCACGCATTCGGGACGACAATTGGGTGGTGCCCCAATATAGTCGGGCAAGCAAGAGCAGGATGGGGTTTCACCAACAACGCGACACTCAGAGAACGCACCACAAGGCGATGGTACGCATGGTTGACTTGGCGGTCGTGGCTCTGGTGATTCTAAGATCGGTTGACAACTCACAAATGGATTACCGGAATATCTGTCGGGACAACGACAGTATGGACTATGATTGGCGACATGACATAAAGCGTTGTTGCCACAAACGCCTGGACAAGGATCGTTACATTTCTGGTTGAGACACGCTTGATTAAGCGGGCACTCCGAATTCGTTGTACATTCCGGCCGACAGAAGGGTGGACTACCGATGTAGGAAGCGATGCAAGAGCAAACAGCTTGTTGATTTACCTCTCGACATTGGCTATTCGGACCGCATGGCGTTGGTTGACAGGGATTTGTAGGCACGTCTAACTCTGCGAAATGGGAATTTTTTTTAGAAAATAACGCTTGTTTATAAGCCTTTCATCTTACTCGGTATGGGCGTGCATTGTACGAAGGCATTACCTTCCATACCATCTGCGCAGCGACAAATCGGTATGTGATTCATAACTTCGCAGATAGCATTAGAAGCACATGTCCCCGGACATGGATCAACGCATTTATGGCGTACGCAGGAACGATCTCTGGCGCAGTCGGTGTGTAGCACGCATTCCGGGCGACAACCAGAATAGGGGTCACCATGGTATTCAGGTATGCAAGTGCACTGCCCTTTGTTGCACAGTGCGTTCGAGCCACATGGCGATGGTACACACGGATCGTCTTGTGTCACGATTTCAGCTGGATAAAACATGTAAACTTTACTAACCATCTCTTTGGAAATAACAAAAACACTTACTTCGTGGCGGTGGTAGGGGATTACAGACGGTGAAGGGATTACCCGTGAAACCAGTTTCACAAGTACAGATCGGCGTGTGGTTGATAACATTGCATATAGCGCTAATGCCACATGAACCCGGACAAGGATCACGACATTTCTGATTAATACACGCCTGATGACTGGGGCACTCGGAGTTGAGACTACATTCTGGACGACAGGCTGGTGGTGTACCAATGAAATTTGGCAAACAAGAGCAGGACGGTGTGCCGCGTACATCGCGACACTGTGAGTTTGGCCCACATGGTGATGGTACGCATGGGTCTTGTGGTTGGCGCTGCGGCGGTGGAATTGAAACCGGTGCTAGTATAAAAAAAAGATGCGATTTTCAAATCATTTCGTTGTTTAGGAGCCGAAGAGGAGGAATCTTACTTATAACACGGAAGCAGCGTACGAAAGCGTCACCGGTGAAGCCGTTACTGCATGTGCATATGGGGCTGTGATTTCTAACGCGACATTCAGAATTCTCTCCACACACGCCTGGACAGGGATCGACGCATTTTCGGTTAATACAAGCCTTGTCAGCGGCACACTCGGAACTGGACGTGCACTCTGGTCGACAAGCGGGAGGACTACCGATATATTCGGGCAAGCACGAGCAAACACCTTGACCGTTAACTTCACGACATTGGGAGTTGGGACCGCAAGGCGATGGTTGACATGGATTAACATATACTTTTGGCGCTAAAATGATGATATTCGGTGAAACAACCACCGTTACTGAGGTTAACTTCAAATTAAGCTTACGTTCTTCCTGCACAACTTGACACAGTCGATATGGATCACCGACGTAGCCCGTAAAACATTCGCAGGACGGCAGATGATTGATGACTTGACATATTGCATTTGTGCCACAAGTACCCGGGCAGGGGTCGACGCATTTCTGATTTTGGCAAGCCTTATTAGACGGACAATCTGAGTTGAGTACACATTCTGGACGACACCCTTCGTACGGATTACCAAAGTACTCTGGCAGACACTGGCAAGAGCCTGCGTTGTCACGTTCTTCACACCTGGCATTGATGCCGCATGGACTGGGACTGCATGGTCGCAAAACCTCAATCGGTGCCGCACGTATAGGACTACATTGCGAGAATGGGTCGCCGGTGTAGCCATCATGACAAAGGCACATCGGTGTGTGACTTAAGACTCGACAATTCGCATTGAGACCGCACAGTCCAGGGCATGGATCTCTGCATTTCTGGTTTATGCACGCCTGTGTGGACGGACATTCTGAGTTTGAAACGCATTCAGGACGGCAGTTTGGAGGTGCGCCTGTAAAGTCAGGCAGACATGAGCACGATGCTGAGTCACCAGACGGGCGACACTCGGAGTTTGGACCACAAGGTGAGGGTATGCACGGGTTGGCCGGTGAGATGTCTCGTATGGGTGCAACTGTTTTATGGAAAAGTGGGTTTTGATTACAAAAATATACTTTCTTAAGAAAACGTCGAACTCTTACTTATTTCCTGGCAACGCACAAAAGGATCACCTGTCATTTGCCCTTGACAAGTGCAGAATGGGTTATGGTTAACAACGTTGCATACGGCATTGAAGCCACATGTACCGGGACATGGGTCACGGCACTTGGAATTCTGACATGCTTGATCGGGTGGACAGTCGGAGTTCATTGTACATTCCGGTCGGCACAGCGGTGGACTACCGATGAAGTCGGGCAAACAGGAGCATACGCCTACATTTTGCAGTTCACGGCACTGACTGTTCGGGCCGCATGGCGAGGGTTGACAAGGATTATGAACAACAGGTTCTAAAACAGAAGGTGAAAAAGGTGTTTGTAAAATGCTAACAGAGATAATCAGTTCCGAATTACTTTCAATGACGCGACATTCGAAGAACGCATTGCCCGACATATTGTCCGGACAGTGGCACATGGGCACGTGGTTGTTAACTATACAAATAGCGTTTGTGCCGCAAGTGCCGGGGCACGGATCGATGCATTTATTGCGCACGCAAGCACGGTCACGTACACAGTCAGAGTTCAAGACACATTCCGGACGACATCCGACTAACGGATTACCTTGGTATTCGGCGATACAGCTACATTGACCGTTGTTACACAGAGCATTCGAGCCGCATGGTGAGGGATTGCAAGGATCATCGTTTACTGGTGGTTGCGTAGCTGTTACGAGGGAAGAAAAATACATTTTAGGTGCAGGATTGAGAATATGAACTTCGCGGTTATCTTACGCTCTGGTGCCTTAGGATTACAATTGATGAATGGATTTCCTACATAACCATCGACGCACAGGCAAGTCGGTGTATGGTTGATTACGCGACAGACGGTATTTAAACCACAAGCACCAGGGCATGGATCGCGACATTTCTGGTTGATGCAAGCCTGTTGGCTCGGACACTCAGAGTTGATGGTACATTCAGGACGACAGTTAGGTGGTTGGCCGATGAACTCAGCTAAACAAGAACATGAGGGAACATCATTTACGTTGCGACATTCGGCATTTGGGCCACACGGTGATGGTAGGCAAGGGTCACGATATTCCTCGCGCTCAACTTCGATGGCTGGTGCTAAATAGAGAATCGGCAATTGATCAGCATAATTAAATACAGACGGCGAGATATCTATAAGCTCACGTGGTATAGGGTAACATCTTGTGAAAGCGTCGCCGGTAAAACCATTATTGCAGCTACAGATGGGACTATGATTCCTGACGCGGCATTGAGCATTGTTGCCACAAGGGTTAGCCGCACATGGGTCAACACACTTCTGGTTGATGCAAGCCTTGTCGGTGGTGCACTCCGAAGAGATGGTGCACTCGGGCCGACAAGCTGGTGGTGTGCCAATAAACTCAGGTAGACAAGAGCACACGGCTTGGTCGTTAGATTCCCGACATTGTGAGTTCGGGCCACAGGGTGATGGTTGACATGGATTAACGTATTCCATGCGTACGGCTGTGATAGCAAATTGAGTTAGAAACGCTAGTTATAAGTATATTCCATGAGGGATGCTTACGTTCAATAGGACGCGTACAGATACGGTATGGATCGCCAGTGTAGCCAGTGATACATGTACACGAAGGCAAGTGATTCACCACTTGACAGTCGGCGTTCTGACCACAGGCACCTGGACAAGGATCCTGGCATTTCTGTTGTTGGCACGCCTTGTTTGATGGACAGTCCGAATTCATTACGCACTCTGGCCGACAACCTTCGTAGGGATTGCCGAAATATTCAGGCAAACAAGCGCATGAGCCAGCGCCATTACGTTCTCGACATACTGCATTGGGGCCACATGGATTCGGACTGCAGGGTGTGCGCACTTCGATTTCGTCACGCTCTGGTAATAGATGACATTGCACGAACGGATCACCAGTGTAGCCGACTACACAATGACATTGCACTGTATGACTGACTACACGACATTCCGCGTTTACGCCGCAACGACCTGGGCAAGGATCAACACATTTTTGATTAATACAAGCCAAGGCAGTCGGACAATCAGAGCTCGTAACGCATTCTGGTCGACAGTTGGGTGGGCGACCTATATATGATTCAAGACATGAACAGGATGGTGCTTCACCGATGGGACGACATTGTGAGTAAGGCCCGCAAGGCGACGGGCGACATGGATCCATTTGTACAACGTCACGTGTTGGTTCAACTATGCAAAATGTAATATAATATGAGGTTGAGCTTTATCCAAATTTTTACTGATTGTGTAGATCTTCTTACTTATCGGTTGACAGCGTATGAACGGATTCCCACTGAAGCGCGGCGGACACGTACAGAAAGGACTGTGATTGACCACGGTGCACTTAGCTCCAATACCACACGTGCCCGGACATGGATCGCCACATTTCTGGTTCAAACAAGCTTGCGTAGGCGCACAGTCGGAATTCGAAACACACTCGGGGCGGCAAGATGGAGGACTACCCATGTAGTTTGGCAGACAAGAGCATACTGCTTGTTGGTTGACTTCGCGACACTGAGAGTTAGGCCCGCATGGTGAGGGGTGGCATGGGTTTGTGACAACGATATCTTGCATAAACAACGAGGGTAATAAGTACTTCTGAAAGGATTGTGATTTATATGCATGAGCTTACTTGGCGCAGGACTACAGCGGATGAAAGCACTGCCTACCGTACCGTCTGGGCACCTACACATGGGTATATGATTTATCACATCGCATATGGCATTCTCACCACAAGTGCCAGGACATGGGTTGATACATTTGCTGCGTCTGCAAGCCCTATCGCGGGAGCAATCAGTATTCAATACACATTCGGGACGACAACCTGTGTACGGATCTCCTTGGTACTCCGGCAAGCAACTACAGACGCCATTATTACATTGCGCATTAGCGCCACATGGGGAGGGATGGCAGCGATCAACAGGTTCATCTATGAAAATATTTGTGAGTTTGTTAAGATTGGGCTTGTGTGAATTCGTTGCAAAAGTACGCGCTTACTCTTGATCGGTTCTGGCGGTAGTGGACGGCAATTGCTGAAGGGATCACCTGTGTAGCCTGCGGGGCATACACAAATTGGCGTATGATTGATAACACTGCACTCTGCGGCAAAGCCGCACAAGCCTGGGCAGGGGTCGATGCATTTCTCATTTATGCAGGCCTTATTCGAAGAACACTCAGCGCTGATTGTACATTCCGGATGACAGTTTGGTGGCGCGCCAATATAGCTCTGTAGACAGGAACAAGAGGGTACGCCGTTAATGTTGCGACACTCACTTTGTGGACCGCAAGGTGAGGGTACGCAAGGATCACGTTCGATGTGCGTAATAGCTGGTAGTGGCGCTGAGATAGAAGAGGAAAGAAAATTGGTGGATGTATTTCTTTGGTGAATTTCTGTGTTGTGCTTACGTGGTATGGGGTAGCAACGGGTGAAAGCGTCGCCGGTAAAACCATTGCGACACAAGCATAAAGGACTATGATTACGCACCCGGCACTCAGCATTTGTGCCACACGTGCCCGGACAAGGATCCTGACAACGTTGATTTATGCAAGCCCTATCAGCTGAACACTCCGTGCTCAGTACACACTCCGGCCGACAATTATGTGGTACGCCGATATAACGTTCAAGACATGAACACACGGCTTGACCGTTGAGTTCACGACACTGTGAGTTGGGTCCACAGGGTGAGGGTTGACAGGGATTGGTGGGTGGCTCCTGACGTATCGCTGATTAAACGAGGAGAAGGAGGGGATAGAGAGTGTAGAAAAAAATGTATAACTATAGTATAATTTTGGTATGCAGATGCTGCTACTAAATATTGCTTACGTGCTGGTGGCTCCACATGACAATAACGATAGGGATCACCCGTATAACCGATGCGACACATGCAAGTCGGCACATGATTAGTGACGCTGCATTCAGCGTTAGTGCCACATGTGCCTGGACATGGATCGCGACATTTCTGCTGAGTACATGCCTGTACAATGGGGCAATCCGAATTGCGTACACATTCGGGACGACACGATTGATAGGGATCGCCGAAATAATCTGGCAGACACTGACACGAGCCAATGCTATTCTGTTCGCGACAAACAGCATTCGTACCGCAAGGATTCGGTATACACGGTGTAATTTGCTCGTATACAATACGCTCTGTGTTGAGGAGAAATAGAAGAAAGAGAGAGAGAGAGTTGGAGAGAAAGTTTATATTAACAAGGGTTTAACAAGTGTTTCCTCGTAAAATATTTCATTAGTAAAGTCAACACACCTTTTGCGTTTGAGTTGATCAGCTTTTTGTGTGCTTTGGCCATTTTAAGGGTTATTATGTTTTATTTTTCCAATTTGTGTGGTTTTATTTGATTATTACGGTTCTTTTTTTTTTTTGCATTTTCCAACAACAGCGGTGAGATATTAGAGCACATTAGTTATAATTGCTTACAAACACTGTTACAATAGTGCCAACAATAAATCGTACGTGATGGTTGTAAATACTGTTACACTGTTACGGTTACGTTTACGATTGCGATTGTTACGTTTAACGGTTAACTTAACTTTAATTTGTAATTTGCGCAAGATACGACTGTTAGACAACATTTGGCGGTGCATTTGAATTTTATAGGAACATGTGTATGTATGTATGTTCGAGTACGTTTAATGGTTAAACACAATATGCAATAACGGTTATACGTGTGTATTAGTGCAGTACTGCAATCCTTTTTGTATTTTTTTTTTTATATAATTCCAATTATTTTATTATTAATATTTGTGTGATATTTTGTTAAATATTTAGTTTGCTTTTGTGTGTTTCTGTTTCGCATAAATAAATGCGATTATGTGCAGGTGCGTAAATATGTGCGTATTTGATGGTATGTTAAAAATTTTGTATTTGAAAAGCAGAGTTTTGAACCTAGATAATTAATTTTTTGTTAATAGACTTTTTTAGCCTCAAAAATATAATTCAAATTTCCAACTTCGAAAAAAGATTTTTTAATTTCAAAGAAATAATTAAAAAATCGAATTTAAATTTTTTTCAGAAAGTTTCCTCTTGATAAAATTCAAACTTCGACTTTCGAATTTCGTAAACATTAATTCGAATTCGAAAATAAAATTTTGAATTTTGAAAACTAATGAGAATTATTCGAAAAAGTTCTCGAAAGTCATAAATTTGCATATACAATAAAAATGTTTAATTTAAAAAATTAAGTTTCGAGTAATTAAATTATTAAGAATTGTTCGAATGAAAACTTCAAAAATACATGAGATTAATAGAACTTTTAATTTCGATAAACAAGAATCAAATAAATAAATAAAATGTCAGTTTCTCATTTCGAATAATAATATTGAACGTTAATTTATTTAACTTGAAAGTAAAGATTTCTGCTTCAAGAATGAGATTTAAATTTCAAAAATAAAAAGGTCGAACGTGAACTCGAAGTTTACCTTTTTAATATAACACGTACAGCTTCAAAATTGAAATTCGAATTAGAAAAAATTTCAAATACAAAATTAATTGAAGGCAAATTTTTCGTTACAAAAGAATTTTCCAATGAAAATTTCGAAAAGAAATTCAGGGATCAAATATCTCGAAAACTAATATTTTATTTTATGATTGATTACTTTAATTCTTATAATGAATGTTTGTGTTTTAAAATTTGAGTTTGGAAATTTCGAAATAAAAATTGAAGTTTCGAGGAAAATGCGTTTGGAATTCCAAGCAAAAATCCACGACATTGGAAACCTAAGTTTTGAACTTTTTATTAAATTCCAGAAACTACATTCAAAAAGGTAGTTTCGAAAAACGAAAATTTTTGTATGAAATAGAACTTGACATTTGTAATATTGTTTTTAAAGACATGCCGAAGGCAATAAAGTGAACAACAACTATATTCGAAAATTATTCTTGAGGTCTGGAATATATTATTTCCAGTTAAAAAAACAAAAATGGGAATATCGTAATGAAAATTTTATGGACGTAATAATGAAAATTCGAAATTTTTAAGTTCAAAACCAAAACTTCCAGTTTCGAAAACAAAGTGAGAATAGGTAATTTTCTATAAGAAATTTTCAATAAAACACATAATTGTTTTTTTTTCTCTTTCAAAAAATATTTTTTATTAATTTTTCGTTTCAGATTTTTTTTTCAATTATTATTAGTTAAAGCCTTATTCTAAAATAGCTTAAAAATTAGTAGCTTACATTTAACATTAATGCATGCGAATAATCCAGCGTTGATTAATAAAAAAAAAATTGAAAAACGACGTTGAGCAGAGAGCAACTTTTTCGGGCCGTTGATTTCTTTTTGAATAATAAACAAAAATTTTTTGCCCATTTCAGACTCAATACGATATGTAGGGTTAGCCTGGGTTAGGGTGGTGCGCAAAAAAAAATTGTCAAACAACGCAGAACTTAACTTAGTAAGGCTGGGTCGTATTTTTGAGATAAGTGTAGGGGTATTAGGTTTGGCGATTGGTGTAAGAAAAGCTTTATATTTTATTTTCGATTTTTAGTTGTGTGGTGTATAAAGCGTTTCGCAGTTCTTTTTCCATTAATTATTCGCAGATAAAATTTTTGTGCGCCAATTGAGTTAAGAATTAGATTTTGGTTTTTATGGTGTAAAATCTAATGCAGGGCCGACTACTTAGCAGTTTTTAGTTTTCTTTTGTTTTTATGGATTTTTTTTTAGGTGTTTTTCATTAATAAAGCATTTTATTAATTGTGTTTTATTTTTCAATATTGCAAATTTTCTTACAGCTACAAAGTACAAAATATATTCGTACTTCAAACAAGATTAAAAAAAATCAAAAATATCCAGTGGGCTTACATACTAGGTAAAAGGCGATGTTAAGGCAGTCTTTAAAGGTAAAAAAGCAGCAGGCAACTAATATTAGGGCAAGGCGTTTATGTTTATACCATATACTGTTTTTTTTTTTTTTGTTTTTGGTTTGAGGCAAGTAAGGCGTTTAGCAAGTTGGCATCATGGGTGAATAAGCAAAATAATGGCACTAATTTTAATAATATTTTCTTAGTTTCCAAGTAAGTTAAAAATCTTTTTAAATAATAAAAATATGTTTTTTACAGCGCTGTCATACACTTCCAAAGGCTGGAACAACATCGTACAGTTCGTGCGAAAATTGTGCCTGTTGAAATTTGCATTTTGAGGTTGCCGTGCTGTGGTGAATACACACAGACTTGCATATCGTGAGTGCGGTGTGTGTTGATATACATATATGATATACATACACTCATACATACATGTGGAGAAATATTTATAATTGTGGCTTTGCAATGCATTGTGTTTGACAGTGTAGAAAACATGATTTTTATTTGCTTTTGTTAAAATAATGGTAATAATAAACAAATCAGAACAGTTGTTGTGTTGAACGCGAACTTTTTTTTTTAACAAACATTGAACATTTAGTGCGCTTACATACATACTTATATTGCATAAACATTTTATTAAAAAAAATACATTAAGCGTGTTCACACAAATGAAAAATGTGAATTTTTGTAGTGATTGACATAAAAACAGAAATCAAAAATATTTAATAAAAGATAAGTAATATTTTTATTAATTTGAAGTTAAAAAATAAATGCAAAATAAAAAAAGAATACATTTTTAGCATATTTTTTTTACGAAGTTGTCCGTGTGAAAATTCTAAGCAAAAAAGAATAGCTCTCTACGGCCATGCATATCTCATTATCTCATGGCATTTCTTTGCAGGATTAAATATTAGTTCTCACATCTAAAGAAATCGGTTGTAAGAGGTTGGAAGCTCACTGAGTGAGTGAGATTCTCAGCAACAAACCGCAAGTTTATAGAGAAGCACCCATTTGCGTTTTGTCCGGGATTACCGAAGCGATGGTGACCATACGTGCAAGTTCATCAGTATGGTGTTTTCCAGCTATTCTGCCGTGACCCAGTACCCATTTGAGTTGACCCAGTGACGAGAAACAACTCTCTTGCACAAGTTCAGAGACTCAGCATGAGTGAGCGAGAGGCTATAGTAGCCGATTGGCTCTATGAGTTAATGATAGCTTGCCTCTCGCAATTCAGGTACTGTACTAGCCGCTCGGCGTCTGCTCGGCTATACAATAATTCAAGCAGCTAGAGCTGAAATGCATACTGTTGAAAATAAAGTTTGCTTTCATTTAAGGTTGTAATTAACACAACAAATTTTTTTCCGACCGACCGTTGATGTCATTTGGAATACAGTAAAGTCGTCGCTCGAATTGTCGACACTGAAAATTTAGACGACCGACGTAAGTCATTGCATGCTATTCGGCAACGTTGGTTGATTAGTTGAAAGAGGGAGGTTGAGAAATAGACTGTAAGAAACCGCACCTTAGCCGTCGAGTAGGCTCATTGGGCTCCCTTGCTTATTCCAACTATGTATTGTATTTGCGAAAAAAATCGCCCAATTTTAGTTTGTTAGTTTCTTCCAACCATGCGTTATCACTTCCGTGAGATTGGTGCTGAGAGCATTGTGAAAGATGTTTTGTCTTAATCGGCCGAGGGCCGGACACTCGCAAAGGTAGCACTTAAAAGTTTCGATATTCTCTACGAACAGGCAATTTCACTTTATATAGCTTATGGAGTTGATATATCAGGAATAGATGTCACGTTAATACTTGCTTTAAGCAACATTCCAAAGTGCTGAAGAGTCTGCGGCAGTGAATCGAGAGCCTGCACATCGACCTGGACCTAAATGATATTGATAGCGTTTCACTTTGTGTTGACGCACTTTATTGCCGCTGACTGCCTATATGAATTCTAATAGATTTACCCATAATCAATCTTTTGGTTAGAGCGTATCAGCTGATTAGATATTAGGAGGGAATGGTACCCTGTGTCAAAAAGCATCACAAGCAGCTTGTTGGGCAGTCTCATTAGTTTATTTCTGCTTCAAAGCGATTTCCAAAGTTTTTCTTCACTTTGAGTGGCTCACAATTGAAGCTTTTTCGTTTTGGAAATGTTCCAAAAGAAGTTGAGAGATTTTAAGAGTAAGCCCTATAAATTGAGCCTAATTAAAGGTCCCGCTCCTAGAAGACTAACGTAGCTGCAAATTACTCTCTTTTGGAAAATATTGTTTGACATATGATTTTAGCCGGTTGATAATTACAGATAATAAATACTCTTGGATAAAATTATTTTCTTTAATTTCCGAATGGGTAACTTCGTTAAATTCTAGACTTTTTTTTTGCAATATTTAAAATTATATTTTTAAATGAAAAATATGCAAATATTTTTAATTTTAGAAAAAATATGATTTTAATTTATATATATTTTTTAAGTTAATTTTTTTCTAACAAATAATAAAATTTCTATAAACTATACAAAAAAAAAAAAAAAAAAAAAAAAACGATTTGGCAAAAATGAGATCACCAGTAACAATTTGTAAATAATATTTTTCTCGGTGTAATTGCTAACGGTGCAAGTACACATACAATGTACACATAGACACATAACAACAACATAAACAACTTTCAAATAGTTCTGTTCTAATTTGTGCACTAGCGATGGGTAATTCTGCGTTGAATAAAATAACTTGAGGAAAATTGAAAAAAAATATTTTTACATTAAAAATGTCAAATATGACTGAAATGCTCTCAGAGCAATATTTTTTGTTTTTAAAAAATGTCTCAGTAGCAGAATTTCCCATTCAGGTGACAACCGTTCAAGTCCATACATTTATGGCATATATATGTATGTATATTTATATATTTATTATTTTAATAAAAGCGTCCATTTCACTCATTAGCTGGCATAAATTGTTTGTATGGTATTTGAAAACTATTACAATAATACAGTTAATAATTTGCAACGGTTGTGCCTGCAACATTTTCGTATAAAATAGTGTGAGAAAATCAATCCTACCTTGTACTGGCTGGCAGCCGGTGAACGGATCACCAGTGTATCCCACTTCACATGTGCAAATGGGCATATGATTGGCCACATTGCAACGCGCGTTGAAGCCGCAAGAGCCCGCGCAGGGATCCTCACATTTCTGACGTATACACGCCTTGGTGGGCGGACATTCCGGATTGATGGTACATTCTGGACGACAATTTGGTGGTTTACCCAAGAAGCTGACTGCGCATGAACAGGCTGGACTATCGCCTATAACTTTACATTCAGAGTTTGGACCACATGGTGATGGTATACATGGATTGGTGGGTGGTGGTCTCTTCTCCTCGACGCGTTCCTCTTGATAGCAACGTGTGAAGGGATCACCTGTGTAGCCATTGTTGCATGTACAAATCGGATTGTGATTGATTACTTGACATCTGGCGAATTGGCCACAAGCACCGGGGCATGGATCAACACATTTCTTTTGTATGCAAGCTGTTTGTAGTGAACACTCGGAGCTGACGATACACTCCGGCTTGCAGGCTGGTGGTGAGCCCAACATGCCGGGTTGACAAGCGCAGACGGCTCCTTGTGCGCTGGCTTGACACACGCTGTTGGGTCCGCAAGGACTCGGATGGCAGGGATCTTTAGGTGCTGGCTCGCGTAGCACTTCAGGATGGCAATTGATAAACGGATCGCCAGTGTAACCCTTTGGACAACTGCAAATCGGTATGTGATTGCTGACATCGCACTGTGCACTCTGTCCACAAGTGCCCGGGCAAGGATCCACGCATTTCTTATTCAAACAAGCACGATTCGGTGAACAATCCGTACTGAGCGTACACTCCGGACGACATCCCACGTAGGGATCACCCTGATAATCACGTATGCACGTGCAGATACCGCCGTCACATTCCGCATTGGCGCCACATGGTTGCAGTTCGCAGGGATCAGTCGAAGCGGTTGGTGGTGTCTTTATTTCGATTATTTCAATACATTGTGAAAATGGATCACCTGTGAAACCATTGCGGCATGTGCATATAGCCAGATGATTTTGTATGCGGCATTCAGAGTTAATGCCACAGGTGCCCTCACATGGATTGCGGCATTTCTCTGCTATGCAACTCTTATCCGAAGGACAGTCAGTGTTTACCACACATTCTGGGCGACAGTTTGGTGGCGCGCCGATATAGTTGGGCAGGCATGAGCATGATGGTTGATCGCCGTTCACACGACATTCGGCGTATAGACCACAAGGTGATGGATAACATGGATTTCTGGGCTTCGGCTCATCCTTCGGCGCTGGAGGTGCTGGGTAGCAACGGGAGAACGGATCACCTGTCATATCAAGTGGGCAGCTACAAATCGGGTTATGGTTGATTACTTCACATTTAGCGTCTACGCCACATGTGCCAGCACATGGGTTTGCACATCTAAAGTTGTGACACGCTTTGTTTTGTGGACATTCTGTGTTAACGGTACACTCCGGTTTGCAATTGGGTGGTGCACCAATAAATGCGTCAAGACATGAGCAGACAGCGAGTTCATTTGCCACGCGACATCTACTGTTGGGTCCACAAGGTGATGGCTGGCAAGGGTTGCCTTGTGGTGGTGGTTGTGGTGGCGCAATTTGACGTTGACAGTTAGAGAACGGATCGCCGGTATAGCCTTCATTACAAACACAGTTCGGCACATGATTGACAGCGTAGCACTGCGCGTTGGAACCACAAATACCCGGGCAGGGATCTTTACATTTGTTGCGTATACAAGCTTTGTCTGTAGGACAATCAGAGCTGAGTATACATTCAGGCCGGCAGCCATCGTAAGGATTGCCTTGATAATCGTCAATACATTTACAGGAGGCGGCGCCATTGCGTTCAATACATTCAGCATTCGGTCCACATGGTGAAGGTTCGCACGGTTTGATGGGCTCTTCAAGTGCTGGTACACATTGCACGAAAGCATTACCCGCAAAGCCGACGGGACATGAACAAGACACAGTATGACTAATAACGCGACACTCGGCATTTGTACCGCAGGATCCGGGGCATGGATTACTACATTTGTTATTTATACACGCTTGACTTGATGGACAGTCGGGATTGATGATACATTCCGGTCGGCAATTTGGCGGTGAGCCGAAGAACTCTGGCAAACACTGGCATGAAGGGCCACTAGCACTAGCTTTACAAATCGAATTGGGACCGCATGGCGATGGTACGCAGGGATCACGTGGTACATCGGGATCGCGTGATTTTGGTGGTTCTGGTGGTGGTAAGTCCAAACAACGTTGGAATGGATCACCCGTTTTGCCTGGTGGACAACCGCAAATCGGACTATGATTGATAACTTCACAACGTGCGTCAATACCACAAGCGCCGGCGCATGGGTCGGTACACTTTTTGTTGACACAGGCTTGCAGGGCCGAACACTCGCTTGACACTACACATTCGGGACGACATTGTGGGGGACTGCCAATATAACCATCTAAGCACGAGCACACTGCATGACCGTTGACATCGCGACACTGACTATTAGCACCGCAGGGTGATGGTGAGCAAACTTGTTCCGGTTGCTTAATGATAACTTTAGGTCTGCACTTACTAAACGGGTCGCCTTCATAGTCGGGTATGCATGAGCACACTGGTATATGATTCAGTACTTCACACACGGCATTGATGCCGCAAGTACCAGGGCATGGATCCACACATTTGTTACGCATGCAGGCCTTATCTCGTGCACAATCTGCTGATAGCGTACATTCGGGACGGCAACCATCGTAGGGGTTTCCTTGGTAATTGTCTTGACAACGACACTCGCCATTGAAACAGTCCGCATTCGGGCCGCATGGACTTGGATCGCATGGATCGTTTTGCGTTTTCGGTGCTTCCGTAACTGGCGGTATGGGACTACAACGTATAAATGGATCGCCAGTATAACCGTCAATACAATTGCAAATCGGTATGTGATTGAGAACATGACATTTGGCTTCGAATCCACAAGAGCCGGGACATGGATCACGGCACTTCTGATTAATGCACGCTTCCGTGGGACCACATTCTGAGTTGAGTACACATTCGGGCCGACAGTTCGGCGGTGCGCCGATAAAGTCCTGTAGACAAGAGCACGCTGGATTGCCGCCGACAATTTGACATTTCGAATTAGGTCCGCATGGCGATGGTACGCAGGACGGTGGTCGCTCCGTAGCAGTAGGTTCATGTATGATTGCTTTAGGGAGAGAGAGAGAGAGAGAAAGTGCAAAATTTAGTTACAGAGAAGTAAATAATTAGTTCAGAAAGAAAGTGAATTTTCAGGTTATTTTTACTTACGTATTTTCGAGCATTGTACGAATGGATCGCCAGTCATGCCTCGTGCACAGGTGCAGATCGGGCTATGATTCTTCGTTGTGCAAATGGCGCGAATACCGCAGGTATGTAAGCAGGGATCCACACATTTATTGTTGACACAGGCGCGCTCCGGCGCACACTCTGAGCTAACGATACACTCAGGACGGCAGTTGGGTGGCTGATTGATGAAACCGGATTGACAGGAGCAAACAGCTTGTTCGTTTATTTCGCGACAGATACTATTTGGACCGCACGGCGAAGGCACGCATGGGTTGATTATTGGTGGTGGAGTGACAGGTATTTGTTTGCATTGGAAGAATGGATCGCCTGTGTAGCCAGGTGGGCAGTTGCAAGTAGGCACATGATTCTCCACCGAACAAATAGCGAACTCGCCACAAATATTGTTACAAGGATCTACGCACTTGAAGCGCACACATGCCTGCGCGGTGGAACAGTCATCATTAGCTTCGCACTCACGACGGCAGCCACGTTCTGTATCGAATGGATTGCCTTCAAAGCCCTCGTGACAATAGCAAGCTCCGGCGCCATTACGTTCTCTACACTCCGCGTGTGGTCCACAAGGCGAGGGCTCACAAGGTGATGTTGGCGGTTGTTTCGGCAATACTGGCTGAACTAGGTCACAACCCGTTATTGGATCACCCTCATAGCCATCAGCGCACGAACAGATTGCGTTATGTTGCACAACTTTACAGAAGGCATTATTACCGCATGAACCAGGGCAGGGGTCGATGCAACGTTCGTTCTGGCAGGACAGATTGTTCGGGCATTCATCATTGTTTGTACATTCCGGGCGACAATTGGGTGGACGACCCACATAATTGGTCTGACACGAGCATGCAGCTTGTCCGCCAATTTCACGGCACAGTGAGTTCGGTCCGCATGGCGATGGAATGCATGGGTTTTGTGGATTACGCGGCGTTTCCTCTTCTTGCACGCAAGTACTGAACGGATCACCGGTTAAACCAGGCGCACATGTACAAATCGGATTGTGATTGACTACACGACAACGCGCATTATTGCCGCATGCGCCACGACAAGGATCCGCACACTTTTGATTGATGCAAGCGCGATTTTGCGGACACTCCGAACTGACAACACATTCCGGTTTACAAGATGGCGGCGCACCGACATAACCATCGACACAAGAGCAAACGGCATGACCATTCGATTCATGACATTCGCTGTACGGACCACAAGGTGATGGATGACAGGGATTTATTGGCGTAATCGTAGTAACTTCAATAACGGCGCACGAGCGATGTGGATCCCCAGTGTAACCATCGAAGCACATACAGTTTGGTGCATGATTGAAGACTCGACATTCCGCATTGATGCCACAAACGCCGGGGCAAGGATCCTGACACTTATTATTGATGCATGCGCGTGAACGGTCACAATCTGAGTTCTGTACACATTCCGGTCGACAGCCGCTATAAGGATCACCAAAGTACTCGGGTAAGCACGAGCAAGAGCCAGCGCCGTTCCGTTCGCGACAAACAGCGTTCGCCCCACATGGGCTAGGATTACAAGGATTGCGAGGAGCTTCGGTAGGAGTCACTGTAAGAGAGTAGAAAAGAGATAAACGAGGTATAAATACGGATTTTCGTAGGCTGGTGTTAACTGCAGGACAGCTGAGGCACTTGTGTAGAGAACGTGGTTCTCTTCAGAATTTTTGAACACACATAAACTTTACTTAAACGTCTTAATAACTTCTTAACTCTCAAGTCCTCGTTTGTCCTGTAGTGTGAAAATTGCATCTATATATATACTTTTTACAATGGCGCAACCAGAGAAAGGATCTCCAGTGTAGCCAATCTCGCATTGGCACGTTGGGTTGTGCTTAATAACTGTACACTGTGAATGTACACCGCATGCGCCGACACAAGGATCTATACATTTTTGATTCGTACAAGCCAAAGTGGCTGCACAATCGGAATTACTTAGACACTCGGGACGGCAGTTCGGTGGACGGCCCAAGTATGTGGGTAGGCAGGAACATGCAGGTGAACCGCCAACATCGACACATTTCGAGTTGGGTCCACACGGTGAGGGTACACATGGATTACCAGGTTTAGCTACTACTGGAGGCACGTCCACTACACATACACAGGCAACAGGCAACAGGAAGATAGTACAACATACAGTTAGAGGTAGACAGGTAGGCAGGCAATCAGGCAGCAGGCAGTCAGTGTTGGATAGGTGTTTTCACAGTAGTGTTTTCATAGTAAGTTTTTAGATGACATAGTAGTAGTAGTAGTAGTAGTAGTAGTGGTAGGTAGAGTATGTAGATAGGATTTTACACAGGCACAAATTACATATTTATAAAGAGCACATAAAAATAGAAAAATATAACAAAAAGAAAGAAAAATATACAGTTATTATATATATACATGCAAAAGAATTGAATTGCTGAGCAGTTAGCTTGGCGCTAGAAGATCTATATTTACGAAAACCAACTCCGAGCTTTGCTCACAGCCAAACACATCATCTCACACTTATAACGCCAAGCCCACCTGCTCTGCAGCTTCGATAAAAACTACACATGCTTACTTTTAATTTTAGTACATCTACTGAAGGGATCACCAGTGTAACCTGGTGGGCATGAGCACGCTGCGTAATGGTTAATAACCTGACAACGCGCTTCGCTGCCGCAAGTGCCAGGACATGGGTCGACACATTTTTGATTTTGACATGCAAGATTTTGTGCGCAGTCTGAGGAAACGATGCATTCGGGCTTACAATTCGGTGGTGAGCCAATAAAGTTGGTCTGGCAGGAGCAAACGGCATGACCGTTAACTTCACGACATTGACTGTAGGGGCCACAAGGTGAGGGGATGCAGGGATTGGTATCTTTCGGGGCTGTGCGTGTAATAAAAGAATAATGTATGTAAATAAATTGCACAAAAGGTTTGATTGAGGAGTTAGTAGGGTTCGTACTTGGTGGCAGCTCTTGTATTTCACGGCAAGCGCTCAGCGGGTTACCCGTGTAACCCTGTAGACAAAGGCAGGTAGGCGCATGATTCGATACACGGCACTCCGCATTCAAGCCACAAACACCTGGACAAGGGTCGGTACATTTGTTGTTCACGCAAGACTTGTCACGCGGACAATCAGAGTTGGCAATGCATTCAGGGCGGCAACCGCTGTAGGGGTCTCCAAAGTACTCCGGCAGGCAGACACAAGAACCAGCGCCATTGCGCTCTTTACATTCCGCGTTGGGACCGCATGGTGATGGTACGCAGGGTGTAAGGCGTTCGTCAGGTATGGCAACCGCTAGATAGATTTAAAGAAAAGCAGACGAGCTATAGTAACTTTGCCTTTGCTTAAGAGACCGTTGATAATTTCTTACGCGTTGGATTGCAGCCGGCGAACGGATCACCCGTATAGCCAGTATCGCAGATGCATACTGGTGAATGATTCACCACATTGCAGAAAGCATTAAAACCGCATGAACCTGGACAGGGATCCTTACAACGTTCATTTATACAAGCCAAATTAGAGGGACACTCCGAGTTTTGTGTACATTCCGGTCTACAATTGGGGGCGCGTCCTACAAAGTTTGGCAAACAAGAGCAAACTGGTGTCTCACCCACAGCTCGACACTGTGAGTTCGGTCCACAAGGGCTGGGCACGCAGGGATTACCTGGACGTGTTGGTAAACGTGGTTCTTCATCTAAATATCATATGTGAAGTGATTAATATAAATGCTATAGCATTAAAATCTGGGAGGAAGGTCTTACGTTCGACTGGCGAGCAACGTATGAACGGATCTCCTGTGTAACCAGGCGGACAAGTGCAAATCGGATTATGGTTCGTCACCTTACAAAGTGCATCGTTGCCGCAAGTGCCCGGACATGGGTCTACACAACGCAAATTCACACAAGCCTTGTCCTGCGAACATTCGGAACTAACCGAACACTCGGGGCGACAAGACGGTGGGGTACCAATATAATTAGTAATGCATGAACAGACCGCATGACCGTTCACTTCACGACACTGGCTGTAAGGGCCACATGGCGAAGGACGGCAAGGTTGTACGGGTTCGAGTTCTGCGGGAAATTGATACAAGGTTACTCAAATTATGCCGTGGGTATATATTTAAATAGGAAACTGTACGTTTTGGTTGTTCGCGACAATATTCCGAGGGGTTACCCGTGTAACCCGACGGACAGCTGCAGCTCGGTGCGTGGTTAATGACATGACACTCGGCGCCAACTCCGCACACACCAGGACATGGGTCGCGGCATTTGTTATTCATACAAGCAAGATTCTTCGGGCAGTCGGTGTTGAGTACACATTCCGGTCGACATTCGGTGTACGGATCTCCACTGTATTCAGGCCTGCAAGTGCAGGCACCAACACCGTTGCGTTCTTTGCAAACAGCATTAGCCCCACAGGGACTGGGATTGCAAGGCATCGGTACTTCAGGCGGTATATTAACTAATATTTGCAAAGGGAGGAAAGAAGGAATAATAAAGCAATGTTTTAAGCGTATTTGGTAAGCCCTGACTGTGATACTTTAAAACAAAAATCTCTAGCATGTCTAATGTTAAAGCTTACTTTGCGGACTACATTCAGAGAAAGGATCACCCGTATAACCATCCAAGCAGCGACATAATGGTCTATGATTATTTACAATACAAGTTGTGTATGAGCCACATGAACCCTGGCAAGGATCTTGACAGCGTTGATTGATGCAAGCCATGTTACCGCGACACTCCGAATTCGATGTGCATTGGGGCCGGCAATTCGGTGCCCTGCCGATGTAGTTGGGCAGACACGAGCACACAGCTTGACCGTTCGTATCTGAAACGCGACACTGCGAATTCGGGCCGCACGGCGATGGTACACATGGGTTTATAGGATCTCTTATAATAGGACGTTCTACACATATATTTTTTATGTACATATATACAGAGTAATATGTATCAACATGCAACCGGAAGTTAATGTCCATACAAAATGAAGAAACATAAGCCAAAGAGAAGAGAAAACATTTGAATAATTAATGATGATATGAGATGGGTATGATGGATAGCGTGAGAGCACACCGCCCGCTGCGAAGCTTTCTACATAATGTCACATGCAATAATAATTCTAAGAGCTGCGCAGCGTGTTGTGCATCTCCCAATGCTATGTGTGTGAAAAGCACAATGATCTTACTCTCTTCATAGACGCAGCGTACGAATGGATCACCAATGAAACCAGGTGTACATGAGCAAATCGGATTATGATTGACGACGCGACAAAGAGCATTATTTCCACAAGTACCGGGACATGGATCTCGGCAGCGTTCGTTGATGCAGGACTTGTCTTGTGCGCAGTCAGAACTGCTCATACATTCCAGACGACAATTGGGTGGAGCACCTAAGTAATTCGGCAAACATGAACAGACTGCATGACCGTTGACTGCACGACAATTGCTATAAAGGCCGCAAGGAGATGGCTGACAAGGGTTGACGGGTATCTGCGGTTCATCTATATGTGTGTGGGAAAACAAAAACGCGAGAGAGGAGAAGAAGAGGGTAACGTCAGTAATGGAAATTTTGTTCAACCTAACTTAGGTCTTACGTTGTGATGGTGGTTCCGGTATAGGTAAGCAACCGCTAATTGGATTTCCAGTATAACCGTTGAAGCACTCACAGTTGGCCGCATGGTTGAATACCGCACATTCGGCATTACGCCCACACATACCCGGACAAGGATCGATACATTTGTTGTTGACGCAGGCACGTGTCTTCGGACAATCCGAATTGATAACACACTCCGGTCGACATTCAACATATGGATCGCCAAAGTATTCGGGTATGCATTTGCATGATGCCGCGCGATCACGTACATCACAAATGGCATTCACGCCACAGGGACTGGGTCTGCATGGTTGTACAGGTTCATCGGGTACTGGAAATGGGGTGTTTTTCATTAATAATTTTCTCTTCCGTCAGAGGGGTGAACACAAATTGATTCTGAACCTACTTGGTATGACTTTGTAGCAGCCAGAGAATGGATCACCGGTGTAACCCGGTTCACACATACAAATCGGCGCATGCGCACTAACTTGACAGCGTGCATTATTGCCACACGAGCCCACGCAGGGATCGGCGCAACGTGCATTCATGCAAGCCAGATGTGCTGGACACTCTGAATTGATGGTGCACTCCGGGCGACAATTCGGTGGTCGACCAATATAATTGGCCATACACGAGCAGACAGCACCGCCTCTAGAAGCGTGACATTGCGAATTCGGTCCACAGGGACTGGGCACGCAGGGTTTTTGACGTGGTGGTTCGGCTATTGGTTCTAAAAGCAAGCGAGTAAGAGACAAGTTATTTGTTTGACACATTGGGGATTCTCTACATGGGCACATACTTCTTTCGCGCACACACTGTTGGAATGGATCGCCTGTATAGCCATCTGTACAGCTGCAAATCGGTGAGTGGTTGGTAACACGACAGCGTGCATTCTGTCCGCACGTACCTGGACATGGATCTTGACAGCGCATATTTATACAAGCCCTATTCGAAGCACATTCGGAACTCAGCATACACTCCGGTTTACAATTAGGTGGATGGCCCATATAATTAGGAAGACACGAGCAAACGGCACGATTGCCCGTCACACGGCATGTACTGTACAAGCCGCAAGGCGAGGGACGACAAGGATCACGTGGTATAGGCAAATACATATCTAAATTTGGTTGGTGGTATGAAAAAAGAGAGAGGAAAAAGAGGAAGTGCTGTCCTTAGTAGGTTTTGCTCTGAGCATTTAACTTGTGTTTCATCATACTTGACGGTTTTTCGTGGCAACTACGCATTGGATTGCCAGTGAAGCCCGGTATGCAAGTGCAAACCGGCAGATGATTTGCTACGCGACATTCGGCATTGAAGCCACACAGGCCGACACATGGATCGACGCATTTCATATTAACGCAAGCTTTTTGGGATACACAATCACTATTCTGTACACATTCTGGTCGACAGTTGATATACGGATCGCCGAAGTAGTCTTGTATGCAAGTGCAAGAACCAGCGCCGTTACGATTGCGACAAATGGCATTCGAGCCGCATGGTGTTGGATTGCATGGATCGGCGGGTATATCAGGTACTACAACTATAAACAGGATGGAGAAGAGATGGATGCATAGGAGAGTGATGAGTAATATTTTGAGCGAGTGATAATACTATGGAGCATATACAATACTAATGGGTATGTAAATGTAACGGTAACGCTAAGAATAGATATAGATATACGCATACATATATTAAAAACTATACATGCGACGCTTTGGAGTAAGAAACCGAAAAGTAAAGTTCTTATTTTAGCCGAATTTAATCTGGATGAAACCAGAATTTCCGTGGACCCTAAAGTCCCAATCACTTTTGGAACGTTTTATGGATGGGTGGCAAATTGAAAATTTTCAATTTATGATAAAATAGGAAGAAATTTAAATGAGAAAAATTAAAATCAGATAAAATAATGATTGCAAAGTGGAATAAAGAGAAATGAAAAAATACAATTAAACCAAAATAAGGGATTTCAAGTCAGCTTTATTGATTTAATGGATTTGGAATGAAGCAAAATCGTATGAAATTAGTTATGAAAGAATTTTAAGGAAGATATAAAATAATTTCGAAGTGGAATGAAAATAACTAAAAATACGTTATTATGAAAAAATATGTATTTGAATTATGTTAGGTGATTTGAAATCACTGGATCCAATTCTTGGAATTGAAATGAAATAAAATCGAATGAAATTAGAAGTAAAAAAGTTGAAAGAAGTATTTATTAATGCAGAATAATGATTTCGAAATGGAATGAAAGGAATTGAAAATACGTGATTTCAAATCAACTGAAATTGATGAATTGATGGAAATAACATGAAATGAATATGAAAGTAATGAATGGGGTAAAATATACTAACAATTGCGAAGTGGAATGAAAATAATTGATATAAATAAAGATTTTAACCATCGAACATAGCTCCACTTTTCGGTAACTGACTAAAAAACGCCATAATAAACATACAAATATAAAAAGTTTATAAAATGTGAATGGAGTATTGAAAACATGCAGGAAATTATGGAAAATTTACAACATAGAAAAATATAAAAATAATAATACGCAAATAAGAACAAGATTTTCAAAAGAAACCATTAACCTTTCCAAAAACACAAACTGAAAGAAATACAACAATATTTAGAATTGAAAGTAAAAAGCTATTGGCATCAGTGAAAACCAAGCCATTGGATATGGATATATAAAATCGTGAGAAAAGTGGCAAAACGCTATAAAACTGGTACTCACTTTGCGGTGTATTGCAACCAGCATACGGGTCACCTTCGTAACCCTCTAGGCAAGAGCAGACCGGCTTGTGATTTTGCGCCACACAAAGGGCATTAAAGCCACAAGCTCCGGCACAAGGATCCTCACAACGTTGACGTATGCAAGCACGATTCGATGGACAATCTTGATGAATAACACATTCCGGGCGGCAGTTGGGCGGTGCACCGAACATGCCTGGCGCACAACTACAAGCAGCACGATTATCCATTTCACGACATTCAGAGTTCGGGCCACATGGGCTGGGTAGGCATGGGTTGACCTTCGGTGGTGGCTCTTGTGCTGAGTATGTAAAAAGCAAGTATGAGATAATGTTCCACAGTACTTAAAGAAATTATTTCTTTATTTCTATGAATACTTACGTTTCGGTATACATTGTTCGAACGGATCGCCCATATAGTCGGCTGGGCACGAACATATTGGATTGTGATTAACAACTTGACATTTGGCATTGAAACCACATGTACCGATGCAAGGATCTACGCATTTTTGATTAATACAAGCCAAATTCTGTGAACACTCGGAGCTGACAACACATTCCGGACGACAGTTTGGTGGCGCGCCGAAATATCCTACTTGACAAGAGCAGGCGGGACGACCGTCGACCACACGACAAATGCTATTAGCGCCGCAAGGTGTGGGTTCGCATGGACTAAGTGGAAGAATTGCTGTTGTGTGGGAGTTGAAATGAAATTATGTTGGAGTCAGAAGATGAGTTACGATAGGTAATTTAAGTACTTACGATGATCTTCTCGCTTGCAACCGGTGAATGGATCTCCTTCATAACCTCGCGCACAACTGCAAGTTGGCACGTGATTGACCACCACACACTCGGCGTTTGAACCACAAGTACCCACGCAGGGATCGCGACAATGCTGTTTGATACACGCCAAAGATGACGGGCATTCGGCATTGTAGACACATTCGGGACGACAGCCAGTTGTGTAGGGATCACCGATGTATGGTTCAATACAACTACAACGTGCTTCGCCATTACGTTCGCTACATAATGCGTTTTCACCACACGGGCTGGGATAGCAAGGATCGATGCGGTCTTTTGGCTCTGTGAAATAGTACAATTAGCAAACATCAAAGGTTATTATACTAACCAGTAACTTACTCTCTTCGATTTTAGAGCAACCCACAAAGGCGTCACCCTCATAACCTAGTTCGCAACTGCAGTGTGCCGCGTGGGCAATCACCGTACAACGTGCATTGTATCCGCACGTGTCTGCGCAGGGATTCTGACATTTCTCCTGTATACACGCCTTATCCGCTGGACATTCAGTATTTAGCGTACATTCTGGACGACAATACGGTGGGCTACCAATATAATTGGCAACACATGAGCAGACGGGACGTCCTTGTTTTATCTGACAAATGGAGTTGGGTCCGCACGGTGATGGCACACATGGATTTTCGGGCTTCTTAACGTCCGTACGTTCCTCGGGTATGCGACTGCATGCAACAAATGGATCACCTTCATAGCCGGATTCACACGAACAGATGGGATTGTGGTTTAAGACCTCACAACGTGCTTCCGCACCGCATGTGCCGGGACAAGGATCAGCGCAGTGTTGATTGATACAAGCTTTGTTGAGGGCACACTCCGAGCTGACAACACATTCCGGTTGGCATACTGGCGGTGAGCCCTTGAAGTTCGGTAGACAGGAGCAAGCGGCATAACCATCGGGTGAGATGAGACAACGTGAGTTGGGACCACATGGTGATGGTTCACATGGGTTTCGCGGACGATCCATTGGTCTTGGCGGTGGTAAGTAGTAGGGATTACATTGTACGGCTGCATCGCCAGTATAACCTTCGACGCAGATACACACAGGTGCACGATTGACAATGCGACACATCGCGTTGATGCCACAAACGCCGACGCACGAGTCTACACATTTAGAGTTAACGCAAGATTTATCAGCTGGACAATCGGAGTTAAGAACACATTCTGGTCGACAACCAATGAATGGATCGCCGAAATAGCCTGTGCGGCAGACACATGTCAATGCGCCATTTCGTTTCTTACAGTCAGCATTAGCACCACACCGCAATTTCTCACAGCTCGGAGATGGCGCTGGCACGAACGGCGATGGTGGTGAGCAGTGCTCATACGGATTGCCATATAAGTCCGCTGGACAACTACAGATGGGATTATGCTCGTACACATTACACACTGCGTTGTGTCCGCACGAACCTGGGCAAGGATCCAAACAACGTTGTCCCAAACAGGCGCGGTCGAACGGACAGTCGGAGTTTGAGACACATTCGGGGCGACAACGTGGATTATGTTGAGCATTCGATCCAAAGCATGGATCGCAGAGCGCCACGCCGTCGCCATATACAGAGCAAACATCTTGTGGCCCACAGGGTGAGGGTACACATGGATCGCGGGTTACGTTTCTGAGGACTCCAACAGCTATGCACTGTCGGAAAGCATCGCCGGTAAAACCATCGAGACAAGCACATAGTGGCGTGTGTTGTTGAACTCTACAAATAGCATTTATGCCACAAACTGTTCCAGCGCATGGATCGATACACTTGTGATTTATGCAAGCTTGTGCGGTTCCACAGTCAGAATTAATATCACACTCGGCTCGACAGCCGCTTTGCGGATTACCTAAGTAGCCAGGTAGGCAAGAACAAACTGCGCGGTTATTAATCAGCTTACATTCACTATTTACGGCGCATGGACTGGGTAGGCATGGATTGCGACTTGGTGTTTTGGGTATATCTAAAGCGTAACAACGTATACCCGGATTGCCCGTCAGGCCAGCATTACATGAGCATACGGGATGGTGTTCTTCCACGCGGCAATTGGCACCGTGTCCGCAAGCACCCGGACAAGGATCGTAACACTTGAAGCCCATACAGGCTTTATCGTGCGGGCAATCTCCATCCACTTGACATTCATATCCGTGACAGCCTTTACTTGATGTGGGATCACCGGAGAGGCCATCATGGCAAATACATGCGCTTTGGCCATTATCAGTAACAACACATTCCGTATTCGGCCCACATGGATTTGGTTCACAAGCGCTACGCGGTGGTTCACGACAACCCTGATATGGATCACCAATATAACCGGAACGACAATAGCATTCTTCACGATTGCTGGTAACATAACAATCAGCATTACGACCACAAGGACCAGGTGAACAGAGCTCATCGGAAACAGGTGGTTTCTCGCACGACTTGAAAGGATTACCGATTTTGCCATCGGGACAGAAGCAAACTGGTGTACGTGAAGAATCACAAACAGCGCCCAAACCGCATGGACTGGGATCACACGGATTGACAGGCTCGATGCAGCCACGTATCGTATTAGGGCTCTCCACATAACCCGGTAGGCAGGTACATTTTGAGAAACCATTACTAAGTATAGCGCATTGTGTATTCGGGCCACATGGTGATGGATCGCAAGGACTCTTAGGTATCTCGCACGGCACCAATGGCGGCTGACCTTCATATTCCGGCAGACAGAAGCATGTAGGTGAGCCACCGACTATGCGACAGCCGGAGTTCGGGCCACAAGGATTCGGACGACATTCATCACCTTCAGGAACTGTAAAGAAAAAAATAAAGCAAAAGAAATTAATTTCCAGAACACCAATTTCGACGAGGTTGAGTTAGCTACTCACTGCAATTCTTAAACGGATTTCCGGTGAGTCCCTTCGGGCAATAGCAAATCGGATTACCATTATCTAATTCACATAGCGCATTGACGCCACACGGATTCGGTTCACATGGATTGGTTGGTGGATTGCAAGCAACTTCTGGCCGTCCGGCATAACCTGGCGGACACTTGCATACACCACGATGATTGATAACATCACAGAGCGCATTAGCACCACAGCGACATGGCGAAGCACATTTGCCATTGATACAAGCCTGACTGGCGTCACACTCACTGTCGGCGCGACAACCCTGCACCTGCGAGCACTCGATGTAGGCATTACCCAAGAAACCGGGTAAGCAACGACATTCCGTGCCATGATTGACTGGTATACATTCAGCATTCTCGCCACAAGAGTCCTCAAAACAGGGATTGATACAACGACGATTAAGACGATCGCAGAGTTTCGTCGGCGGACAATCTTCGTTGTACTGACAGACGGGCGTATGGTCGAGGGCTACAGTGTGTGGAAGCCGAATGTAACGTAATGGAAAGTAGCATGGAGGGGTGAAGTGTTGCGCAACGTAGCGTAGAATACAGGTGACGTAGCGTGACATAACATAGCATAGCGGAGCGTAGCGTATGGCGCATGGGCATTTCCAAGCAGTGTCATTCGGCACGTGTTTTAAATTTTCATTTTGTTTGTTTATAAGGTATGGTGTGTTTGTGTTTTATCATATGGTGTATTTATAGTTTCGTTGGTGTGGTGAATTTATATTTTTATATATTATTCAGTTTTATTTATATTTTTGTTTTGTGGTTGCGGTGTTCAGAGGAAGGTACACATTTTTTACAGGTGAATGGTGTGAGCATATTTTACAGTGTTTTTTTTTTTTTTTTTTTTTTTTGAAATAAAGAAATTGAAGAAAAAATTGTGAAATTAGATTTGCAACAGAAACAAACTGTTATTTATTTGGTGCGTAGTTTGCACAGTAGCAAATGAAATCAAAAAGCAATATTTTTTTAGATTAAGTTGGGCGTACGTTCTAAGAGCCCTCCAGCGCAGAGACAGTGTAAAAAATGAAAAAGTCTTCTTCAAATTTTTTTTTTTTAAATAATTTTACGAACGTTTCCTACATAAACAACGCACAGTCGTAGCTGCTGGCTGGTGAGCTCCCTTCGACCTTGGCCAACCCGCACTTACCTGGTTGACAGCCAATAAAACCGTTGCCTTGGTAACCGTCTACGCAACTACAATCCGCCGCATGGTTGGCATTCATACAGACCGCATTTTGGGCGCAAGGATTGTGCGCGTCGCAAGGATGCTGACAGCGCCGATTAATGCAAGCTTCGGTAATGTCGCAATCGGAATTGTGTGTGCACTCAACTGCGCATAGAGTATGAGTAGGTGAAAATAATAAATAATAAAAATATCAGAATTAAAACAAAATTCAATTTTGGTAAGAAATTGTTGATTAATTTGGGTTTTAAATATTAAAAGTTAATAATAATAATTTTAGAGATTTATGTTTTCATGAATTGTATGCTGTTATTTCTTGTATTATTGTATTATCTTACTTGTCCTATCCACGGGCGAGCATTTAATGGACGGATTACCTTCATGCCCCTTGGGGCATGAACAAATCGGCCGATGCATTTTCGCCGCACATTTGGCGGTCGGCGCACAAACATTCGCAAAGTCGCAAGGATTATGGCATAGACCCATGTAACATGCTTCGCTCTCAATGCAATCATTATTCGACTGACATGGTTCGGGATTCTTTGGTGAGCCGGGTGATTCTACTTGTTAGAGGAGTTATACGAGCGTATTAAATGTATGTATGTCATTTGGTAAGTAAATTTTAATAATTTTTTTTATGGATTTTAATGAAAATAATGAGAAAATGCGAAATATTATTTACAAACAACAAAAAAAAAAGGAACACAAAACTCAATGGTTAATGTCAGTAAAGTTTCTGGAAATTGTTATTTACAATTGTGTTGCTTGGGTAGAAATATATCAGTAGTGGAAGCTTAAAGTTCAAAAAGTTTCAAATGAAAAAAATAATAAAGAATTAAATAGAAAACAAATACAAAAAAAAGGAAAATAGACTGCTTTTTAAAAAGGGTAAAACATTTACAAAACATATAAAAAAATGAAAAACTTTAAAACAAGAAAAAATTTTTTAATTAAAAAAGTTTTCAATAAACAACGTAAATAAAAATATTAAAATTTTAATAATTACAGAGTTTAAAAATTAAAAAAAAAACCTAATCGAAATTTCCTGTACATGTTACGACGCTGAACTAAAATCCTTAAAAGAAATACTTGGGGAACCATTCTTAATGCAAGAAAACTTTTTTTTCCTAATCATAATAAAAAAGTGTTAAGGATATTTGGGATTTACCATTTTCTATGCTCAGCGGGATAGCTTGAAATTATAAAAGCTACAAGGAGCTTTCATAGTGGATTAGCTGGTTGCGTAAGCTTTCACAACGAGTTAGTAACTTAAAGCTTTTATCACAAAAAAGCTTTAACCTAAGAAATACATAATGAATTAATAGAAAGTAAGCTTGGAAAAGGAAGTTTTGGAAAACTTTTAGTGGTTCTTGATAATTTTAATTAATTCAAATTTAAAAAGATCTGAGATAATTGACTGTGGAAAATTTTGAACAGCTTTTTTTATTATTCTATGCACCTTACACAGCAGAGCTACCCCAATTTGAATTCTGAATGAACGTATGCATTCGAATTTTGGTGCACTAAAACTTTTTGTGAAGGCCTGCGAAAAGCTTTCAGCGCACATATTCACAGCTTTCACCAAAAGCTTTCACTTAAATTTTAAGCTAAATTAGACTAGTTTATTATGCGAGCGAAAAGTATACATTAGGATACAAAATTTAAACCTATTTTATGTATATTTTTTTAGCCAAAAATTGCAAGCATTTTTGAGATTTGAAAATTTACAATATTGAAGCTTCTCAGAACTCATTGCAATTGTAATTAATGGTGGTTATTTAAACCTATTTCATTTAATTTTCTGAATGAAATAATTAAACTTGCTAGCTATAAAGGACGAAATTTCTTTAAAGAGAAAATGCGAAAGTTTCTAGAAATTTCTGAGTGAAAGTTGCAGAATTTTTCTTTTCTTTGCATAAAGCTGTATTAAAAAAGGTTAGCTATGGAATTTTCTATTCCACAAAATAACAAAAGAATACACCTAAAGATTTCAGGTATAGGAAAAACACGTTTTATAGCTATTAATAGTTTCAGGTGTTAGAAATAAATTGTAGAAAATAGTTTGAATATGGTAAAATTCAAAATAAGCATTTTGCATGGTCTTTAGAGTGAAAGCTCTGTTATTTTTTATCCTTTTAATGAAAGCTTTATATTTTAAGTGGGCTGTGAAATGTTTTCCTCTTTCAAAAAACATGTTAAAAGGGCAGAGAAAGCTTACTTAAAGCTTTTAGATATAGTGAAAGCTCTTTATCAACTTAGAAAATAGTTCTTTTTCATAGAAATATATTGTGGAAAATAGTTTTCATGCTTTTTATACAAAAAACAGGCTTTTATAAATGATACACAAGTTATCCTGGTCACTCTAACACCCAACATGCAGGATATTTCTATAAATAGAAGACTTTGAAGAAGAACATGCTATTCTCGTATTCTTCAAACTAACAGAAGAAAACCAACAGCAAAAGTATCACATACTGTATACTAATCTTATACCTTTAACACACTCCGCATCGCTTGGCTCGCCATCGCGACACTTGTTGCGACACACTCCCAGCACGCATAATTGATTAGAACCACAGTTAGTATGATCTGTACAAGGGTTAAACATTGTGATACCAGTGGATGTGCTAATTGTAGTAGTAGTGGTGGTGGTGGTAGTAGTAGGAATTGTTGCTGTTTCGCTTTCTGTTGTTGCAAAAGTTTTCGGAGTGACACTCTCAGCCGTTGTTGTTGTTATTGACGGTATAGTCGGTGGCGGCGCGGATGGTGTTGACATTGCCGTCAACGGTTCGATTGTCTCAAAAACGTAAGGTGTCGTTGTACCCGCCACCGTTGGACGTTCGGTCGATTTTTCCACTCCCGGTGGTGTTATCACCGGGAACATTGTTGTTACCAAATCACGTATGCCCATTGTTGTTTGTGCCAACTCTTTCATGGGTTCTGTGACCACTGTCACGGGGAATGTACTGCGTTGTGTTGTTGTAAGTAGTGTTGTATAATTATAATCGAATTCATTTGAGGTATCTATACGGGTGGTTTTCATTTTTGGCGTTGTTGTGCGCGAGTCAAATGGACCCTTGCTGTCCTCACCACGTCGCGAGCTGCTACTGCTCGACGAACTGGAAGAGGTGGAGCTTGAGATGGACACAGTCGTAAACGCTGGCGTCGTGGTCGCCGGCTCTGGTACAGTGCTAGCGGTTATATTATTTTCACCATCTCGATAACCCTTGGGTGGGCCCGTTTTGCTGGTGGTTGCATTCGAGTCCTCTGACTCGGTGGTGGGGCGATCAAGTAGCGTTTCGGTGGTGGTGGGGCTAGTGATTGGAATTGTGGTAGTATCTTCAATTGTGGCGCCCGTTGTTGTTTCCGCCGTGCTAGAGGTGCCCGTGGTGGTCGGGATGGTGCGCGTGGTGGTGCCAATTTTAGTTGTGTCGGTGATGTCGATTGTTACACCAGTGATTGGGTTAGATGTGGTTGTGGTGGTAGTTGTTATATTGGTAGTGGTGGTTGTTATTGTAACATTAGCTATTTTTGTTGTTGTTGTATATATTGGTTTATTGTTACGTATTTACACAGGTAACGTGGGGGTTGGGTTTGATTTTTTTTTTTGTATGAAAAATATATACAATACAAAAAAATGTGAATATACAAATATTTACAAAAACAAAAACGAAAAAACTAAAACAAAGAGGTTTTGTATCGTGAATATTCATTAAAAAATGTGTGTGTGTGCTTGTGTGTGATGCAAGTTATGTTCTTCTTGTGTAAAAAATAAATTTTGATTTAAATTATATATGTACATATATGTACAATATATACATATATACAAAAATTGGATTAATTCTTCTCAAATATATTTAATAAATTAAAGTTTTTGCTTTTTAAGAAAAAAAATTGTTTTAGTAAAATCTTTGCCATTTACATACATATGTACACATTTAAAGCTAAACTGTTATAGAAAGTATTTTATAAAATTTTAATTTAATTTTTTTTTGTAAGTGTGTTTAATTTTTTTTGTGTTATAAAAATGTTTAGTAAAATCAATGTTATGCCATATGTGTTGGTATAAAACTCACCTTTGATGCAGGCCCCGGTTGTGGGATCACAATTGGTGCCTGTTGGACAGTGTTCACATCCAGGTGTGCGGCCAGTTGCTGTAAAGAGTTGGCAAACGTGTTGAAAGTATTAGTAAGAATAAAACGTAATGAAATTAAACAAAGCATACTTTGGCGGCAGTGACAACCATCGCATTCGAAACCGGCATGGCAATCGGCTTTGCTTTGACATTCGCAAACTGTAAAATTGAAAATAAAGCAATTTTAAATAGTTCTTGTTTTCACTTCTGTTATATTTACATAATTAATTTTTATGTTTCACGTAATTCTAATTATTTTCACATATTTTTATAAGCAATATAACTTCAGTTTATTTTACTTTTTTTATTATATTATATTTATTTTATTTAATAAAGTTTTTTAATTTTACTTAATTTTTTATAATATAATACAATTATTATTTTTAGCTAACTTTACATTATCTTTTAGTTTATTTCATTTTACTTTTAATTATTTTATTTACAACTAATTTTATTTCATTACATTTTATTTTTTGATATAATTTTGTTTTACTTTATTTGCTTTATTATATTTTGCATCTTATGTTTACATAATTGTCTCTCGTTTTTTATTTAATTTTTTTTGTTTATTTCATTTAATATGCATTTTACTTTAATTGTTTTATATAACTCTATTTTTCTTTTGTTTAACTTCATTTAGTTAATTTAGCTTTTTTTATTTGATTTTAATTTATATTATTTATTTTTATCTATTTCATTTTATTTTTATTTATTTCATAAAAATTATTTATTTATTTTGTGTTATTTTATTATATATTGTATTTAATATAATTTAATTTAATTTTACTTCATTTCATCTGATTTAAGTTAATTTAATTTTATTTTGTTTCATTTTATTATTATATAATTAAATATAATATTATTTTACAATATTTAATTTCATTCCCTTACCTTTCAGATCATTACACTTCATTTCATTTCTTTTCATTTCATTTCACTTCTTTTCTTTTCTTTTCATTTCATTTTATCCAATTTAATTTAATTTAATTTAATTTAATTTTATTTTATTTTATTTTATTTTATTTTATTTTATTTTATTTTATTTTATTTTATTTTATTTTATTTTATTTTATTTTATTTTATTTTATTTTATTTTATTTTAAGTTATTTTATTTTATTTTATTTTATTTAATCTAATTTAATTTAATTAATTTAATTTAATTTAAATTAATTTAATTTAATTTAATTTAAATTAATTTAATATAATTTAATTTAATTTTGTTTCATTTTATTATATTTTTGTTTATTTTTTTATTTAATGTACTTTATTTTATATTATTTTATTTTATTTTATGTCCTTTTATTTCATTCAATTTAATTTTATTATACTTTGTTTATGAATTAAATCAAATTAATTTAATATTCTTTTATTGTATTATCATTCATTTCATTAAGGTAGCTTTATTTAATATAATTTATTTATTGCATTTTAAGTTTGTATTACTTTTCATTTATATTAATTTAGTTATAATTTATTTTGTCTACTCACCTCTTGAACAAACTGGTTGATGTTCTATCACCTGGCACTCCTGCTCACGGCCACAAGGATTAGCAATCGAGCAGGGATCCAGGCAAACGCCATTAACGCAAGCACGTTGTGTTGGGCATTCATCGCTCGAGGAACAGCCAATTTCTATTGAGGAGTACAGCGCGCATAAAACGTACAACGCAAGCGCATGTGGAAGTGAAAGAGGGATTGATTTAAAGGTATACGCGTTTAGGCGAGAGAAAGAGAGGAAGAGAGTAAATGCCAATTAATTATATGTGATTTTTAATTATATCTAGTTTTTAATTCAAATAAAATTATAAATAAAGCAGGCAATTGTTGTTAAATATTTTCTTCGTCTTTCCTTCTAAATTTGTGTGAAAGCTAATTTTTAATGCCGATTATTTTAACTCAATTTGTATTTATATTATTAAAATAGTGGTGTTTTAGAATTGAAATATAATTTAGTGATCAGTCAAGTGTTATAAGAAATTATATCCTAATTCAGTTTTCTTTTTTGAAATGTTCAATAAATTTTGGTATTTTTTTTTTTGTAAAAACAATTAGTCGTTTTTGTTGAATAAAACTAAATAAATAAAGCGTTTTCATGCAGCAGTAGTTTTTCAAACCAAAAGTAGTATTTTTAATAAAAATAAATGTGCGAAATAGCAGTACAATGCTACGCTAGAAGGTATGAGAGATATATAAATATATACAAAAGTGCCAGCATTTGTTTAGTTTACAATTAGGCTTGTGAAGCTACTTTTACTACTACGTATTTACAACAACTAAATAGCATGCAAAACCATGCAAACTACACGCATTTAAAAACTAGTAGAGTGGGATATAAATATTTACAATAAATTGTTATTATTTTTTAATTTGTAATAAACCCATCACCAATATTAATAACTGTTACTGCGTTTTAACCATTATTATATTAAAAATATTACATATAGTATATGTACCTATGTGGTACATACAGATTGCTATATTTTTATGTATTTATATTATATATTTACATTTTTACAAATTTATTTATATTAAAATTTTATTCTAATATTTATAATTTGAATTTGAATTTTAAATTTATATTTTTATATCATTTTTTAAATGTTTTAAAACAATTTTTTTTATAAAATTTTTGTTAGTACGCCTTAAATGACTTTTCGCCAATAATATTTACACAAAAATATGTTGCATGCAACAAAAATTATGCAGGGATGCTTCACAGTCAGCGTATGCGAAAGCTTTCATAAATCTCTGCGTAGGTTCAACTCCGTCTATCGGGTAAACACATAAGTGGCTTAACAGGCAGCTTTGGTGAGACAAATACAATACATTCATGCGGCGTTTGAACTTTGATGAGTGAGAGAAATGGTAGAGGGAAAGCCCGCGATAGGAGGAGAGAGAGTTTGACTTCGAGAAGACAGCTTGTGTAATGGTGAATGTGGATAATGTATGTGAGAGTGAATGAGTGACTGAGGGACTTATATATAATGAGAGTTGCATGAATAGTATTTTCTACTCCTTCTGCTCGTAGTAAATCCGTTGCATACACAAATGAAGAGCAGCTACAGGTAACACATACAATTTCTGCTCTTTAAACTAATAACCCAAACAAAACACATAAATACTGCCAAATAGTCAGATCGAGTGAAAGATTTGATAAAGAAAGAGAGAGTCTCTCGCACGTGTTTATAGGCGCTAACATGCATTATCCTACATTTCTCTCGTCAAATCCAACGTTGCAACATTTCATGGAAAAAAGGAGTAAATGATTTGGAGTCGATGAAAGAATAAAAAGAAAACCTTGATCCAAAAGATCACACATAATTTGCACTCATTTTCTCGGTGCAATTGTGCGAAAAGTTTCGCGAGAGATAGTACAGTTGGGAAGGTTGAGGTGTGATTGGAGTGTGTTTATATGTGTGTAGAAGGAAAACAGAGAGGGGAGAACACAAAGTTTAAAATAAATCAATTTTGACGAAGAGGACCCAAAGCGGTTTTTCACATAGAAAACATAAAAAACACAAATGGAAGGAAATAATAAAGTAAGAAATACTTATAAAAAGAGCGGCAAAGTACATAAAGACATAAATGAGAACACAATTGAGAGGACGAGCAAAATAGAGCGTGAGATAAAGAAAAAAAAAACGAGTACGTATAAATAATTGCTCCATACATGCATGACACCTTAATGATGGATGGGTGACCCTGATCCGATCAACAAATATTTTAACCCCAAAAAAATAAATATATTTGCATTGCAAAGAAAAATTGAAAACTTTGCCGCTCGCAATATAAATTTGTACGAAAACATATATTCAGAAAATGAAACATAGAGTGTACAGACAGTAAATAAAACTAAATATAGAGGAAGATAGGAGACGTTCTTGCCATAAGACGCCGACCGTCCCTATAAACCGCAACCCCGCATTGCAAAGACAATCATTCCGTCGAAGACACAGAAAATGCTGATGTCTCCGATTTTATTTCAATTTCATTTTAATTTGACTAACAAAAACGAGCATCATATATACACACTTATGAAGTTACCTGCTATAACATGACAATCGGGAGTATTTACATCGGCTGCTGTGTCGCAAAAGCACATGGGCACATGATTGATTGTGCGACAAATCGAAAAGTTCGGACTATACATGCGACAGAAAGTCGGTAAGAGCAGGCACGGGTTAATGCATTCCCCTCGTAAACAAAATTCTACTTTCGTACAGTCTCGGTCTGTCGCGCAAGTGGTCGATGGTACCAATATTGGTGGCATTGTACTGGGTAGTAGAGGATATAGGGTCTGATTTGCAAGTAGCGTAGGCTCAGTCATTGTGTTAATCTGCTTAAACTCAGGTGTAGTTAGTAAAAACATTTCAGGGGTGGTAGATTCTACATAGATTGGCGTGACTGTAACGGTCCGTTGTGTTACAGGTGTTTCTGTGCCGTAACCAGCTGGTGTCACTATATTGACTAGCTCTGTGGTTTTCTTAACAAATGTCTGAGGTGCAGTTGTGACGTTAACACCAGAAAGTGTCGTATAATCCAACGTTGTTTCTAGCGGAGAAACCTCTGTAATAGGTCCTGAAGTTGTCACAGCTCCAGATATTGGTGAGACCTGCTTTCCAGCGACTGTGGTATATCCAATGGTCGTTTCCACCGAAGGAACTTTGGTAACTGGTCCTTCAGTTGTGACAGCTGCGGGTGTTGGTGTATATTTCACACCAGGAACAGTAGTATATCCAATGGTCGTTTCCACCGAAGGAATTTTGGTAACTGATCCTTCAGTTGTGACAGCTCCGGGTGTTGTTGTATATTTCACATCAGGAACAGTAGTATATCCAATGGTCGTTTCCACCGGAGGAACTTCGGTAACTGGTCCTTCAGTTGTGACAGCTCCGGGTGTTGTTGTGTATTTCACACCAGGAACAGTATTATATCCAATGGTGGTTTCCACCGAAGGAACTTCGGTAACTGGTCTTTCAGTTGTGACAGCTCCGGGTGTTGTTGTATATTTCACACCAGGAACAGTAGTATATCCAATGGTGGTTTCCACCGAAGGAACTTCGGTAGTTGGTCCTTCAGTTGTGACAGCTCCGGGTGTTGTTGTATATTTCACATCAGGAACAGTAGCAAATCCAATGGTGGTTTCCACCGGAGGAACTTTGGTAACTGGTCCTTCAGTTGTGACAGCTCCAAGTGTTGTTTTATATTTCACACCAGGAACAGTAGTATATCCAATGGTCGTTTCCACCGGAGGAACTTTGGTAACTGGTCCTTCAGTTGTGACAGATCCGGGTGTTGGTGTATATTTCACGCCAGGAACAGTAGTATATCCAATAGTCGTTTCCACCGTAGGAACTTCGGTAACTGGTCCTTCAGTTGTGACAGATCCGGGTATTGGTGTATATTTCACACCAGGGACATCGGTATATCCAATGGTCGTTTCAACTGAAGGAACTTCGGTTACTAGTCCTTCAGCTGTGATAGCTCCGGGTGTGGTTGTATATTTCACACCAGGAACAGTAGTATATCCAATGGTCGTTTCCACTGAAGAAACTTCGGTAACTGGTCCTTTAGTTGTGACAGTTCCGGATGTTGTTGTATCTTTCACACCAGGGACAGCGGTATATCCAATAGTCGTTTGCCTCGAAGGAACCTCGATTATTGGTCCTGAAGTGGTAACAGCTCCGGGTGTTGTTGAATATTTCACACCAGGGACAGGGGTCGTTTCAACAGGAGGAACTTCGGTTACTGGTCTGGTAGGTACCGCTTCAGGAGTTGTTGTATGTTTCTCAGCAGGGCCTGATGTATATCCAATGGTTGTTTGTACTGGGGGAAGTTCGGTAACAGGTCTTATAGTAGTTACCGATTTGGATGTTGCCACTTCTTCTGGTGTAGTTACTCCGGATATACGTGTGCTCGGAATTGTCGTGTCTTTCGTTGGAGCTTCAGTTACAATGGCTTCACCAGTGACGTTCATATTAGTTAGCGTAGTGTATTCTACTGAGGGAATTGTTTTTTGCTTAACAACACTTGAAGTGGTTCTATCACCACTTTCAGTTGTCGTACGGAAGGCTGTTGCCTGCGTTGTACTGTCATAAGACTCTGTCTCTGTCTCCGCAACTATATCCGTATAATGTGTACGCATTTCTGTTTGATTACCAAGATACATAGTTGTATACCTAACTGTCGTCGCCGTCGTATCTGTACGGTCAAAGAAGGGTATGGGTTGTGTGGTATTCTCAACGGTCGTGGGTATTTCAAAGAATATGGGAATGCACTTAACACTCGCGTTGCCTACGAAACTATCAGCGCAAATACAAGTGGCCACACGGTGTGCTTTTACAATACACAGTGCAGACTCGGCACAGACGACTGCACAAGGGTCTAAGCATTGTCTGGACGTGCTGCTGCACTGTAGCGTTTCATCGCAATCGGCGTCTTGCGTACAGTTGGCGCTCGCCTGTGATGTTGGTGGCGTTGTAGGAGACGTAATGCTGGCGGCCGCGATGGTAGTTGTAGTGGGCATTTCTAAGGCTGCGCGTGTTTTTGTGCGTAGATTTTTTTTAGTGTTTTTAATTAATTTTTTTTTGTTTTGTGTTAGAGTAGATTTGGTATTTGTACAGTTTGTGGCGTAGCGTAAAATTTTTACATGTTGATAAGATAAAAAATATGTTAGATATAAAGTAAGATAAATATACAAATGGTAAGTAAGTAAGTAAAATATTTTTTGGGAAGGGCTTAGGGGTAGGCTTTGATATAAATAATTTATTTGTTCTGTAGGGAAATATATACAAAGGGGTTACGAGTGACTAGTTTTGTAACGTTTTGACTAGAATTAGAGGTACAGTATATATAGGATATGTATATATATATATATATGTAACTATTCGGGAGTGGGGAACGGGGTATATACCAGTGGGGTTGTGGGCTCATATATTGTATGTAGGTAAGTATAATAAAATATATATTAAATATTATTTATAAAAATTTTTTGGTAGTAAATTTTTACTTTGTACAAAGGTTATTAAATATGTATAAAACATATCACAGTTACTTCCTGTATGTACATACTTTCTTCTTTTTTTTTTTTGTATTACAAATTAGTTAGCTACACTGGTTAACCGTTAGTAGGTATTACTTTCGACGTTTATATGCAACAAACTAAGGTTTTTTTTTAGTAAATTTATTATTTTTAGAAAACTAAAATTTTTTTCTCTAATGGAAATATTAATTTTCGATTAATTGCTGTTTATTGCATTGATTAATTGTTGTAGTTGTTGTTTTGTTTCTCGATATATTATTAATAAACTGTGGCATGAGCGTGTGTGAATGTGTAGAGGATTCTTTTTATTGTTGTTGTTGGTTAGCTTGAAATTTCGAAAAAAAAAAATGTCGAAGAAAACAAGTTTCGAATGAGTGACAGTTGTTTTTGTAATATTAATAACTCGCGATTTGTTGTATTTTTTTATGTGTTAAAAAATGGCGTTTAAAAAAGCTGTGAATTATTTTTGGAGGCTTCATTTGAGTCCTCAGTGGGCTTTAAGTTGGTAGTGAAAAAAAAAACATTTCTATACAAATAAATAATTAAAATTGAAATGCGTTTATTGGAAACATGAGAGGCGCTCACAAAATTTTTATTTCACTTCAGTGAGTGATGTGAGCACTAAGCGCTCTCTTGACGCTAGAGAGCAGCATTAGTGCAGCTTTTGGGTCACTAGGCATTATTAGAGCGTAAAAATGTATAACATTTAGAGAGAGAAAGAGAGAGAGAGAGCGAACGTGAGGTAGTGAGTACATAAATTTAAAGTAATATAATTTTTTTCTTAGCATATTCCCTAACATTTTTCTGGGTAGTAGTATAGTAGTAGTTTATATATTTTCACTTTATGATTTGTGTGTTTTTTTTTTTTTTTTGGTTCACACTTAAGTTTGTGGTACTTTACAACTCTAGACGTGTTTGCTTTACCTTTTTGACATCCATTCTTGGCATCGGCTATAAATCCGGGTGGGCAGAATTTACATATCGGCTTGTGATCCTCGACGATGCATGGCGAGTTGGGCGCACACGTTGCAAAATCACATGGATTCACACACTGATACGATCGACAAGCCAAACCCGATGGACAGCCCGCATCGCGCAGGCAAATCGAGATTGATGGTTGACAATCCTTCATACAAATACACACCGCTTTGTGATCTTGCACCTCGCATGACTTATTCTCTGCGCATATGGGTTGACGACCCACAGGCACCACACACGGACTACGGCATTTACCCTCACTACAGGCCATATTCGAGGCACAGTCATCATCACGATAACAATCACGTTTCTCTGGCGCACACGTCAACTCACCATATTCGTTGACGATGAAACCCGATTTACATACGCACACCGGTTGGTGGCGACGCGTCTCACATTTCTTACTGCCACCGCAAATGAAGAGCGGATTCTGGCATGGATCCGTACACTGACCGTAGTGACTGCACTGCTGGTTGTCGGGACAATCGTCGTGTTGTGTGCATGGTATTTGTTGTTGCGGATCACGTGGCTGCAACGCTGTGCCATCGGTGCACTTCGGATCCGGTTTACAATCCACTTCGGGGCGTCCTATATAACAACTGGGGCATGAGCAACGCGGACGATGTAATACGCTTTTGCAAAGCGCATTTGCGCCACAAACGCCACGCACCGAACAAGGATCAATACAGTGTCCTTGTAGGCATGATTTCTCACTGGGACATTCGACGTCTGATGTGCATTGTTCGGTGTCTAAAATGGAATTTCAAGTGACCGGGGGGAGAGAGAGAGAGAGCGTGTGAGAGAGAGAGAGATATATATTTATGTAGAGAGGCGGGTTGACTGGTATTGCGTTGAGTTTATACAAAAAAAAAAAATATATTTAAAAAATATTAAGACAAAAATTAAGACATGGTGCATATACTGGTTTTATGGGAGAGGTGTCAGGAAATTTTGCATTCAAATGATTGCAAAAATTACAGTAGGACAAAATGGTAATAAAGACATGCGTGCTGAGAAATTAGACAATATAGAGAACGCTTGACTAGAGACAAGTTGAGAAACATTTAGAAACTCAGAAGGAGTGTTTGCTAAGCGAAGGGACTTAGTGCTTTTAAAACAAGAGAGCACAATTGAGTGTAAAATAGCGCACGAGATAGTAAATTGACAGCTGAAATTTATATACATGCAATTTGAGGTTGTAGAGAGAGAGAGAGAGAGGACTAAAGAAAGAGAGCTTAATTTTGCTCTGCTTCGCTAGCAGCCAAATTGAGGTGAAATGTAGTGAAGAGAGTGACAGGTGCATGAGCAATACATATTAGTATGTATTTGCTCCAAAGGCTGATACACGAAAGGTGTTTCAGAGCGTAAGAGTGTATAGTTAGGCAATTTTGGGAAAGTGTGGGGAGTTTTTTTTTTGCGTATAAAAAAATACTTAAGTGATAAACTTAAATTAAACCTAAATTTAGTGTTTAAAAGGATTTCGGTTTGGTGTAAGTGTGCTGTGGTGAGTTTTGGAGGATATGGTGGCAACTTGAGTTTACTTAGTGGAATTTTCATTCGGGTTTCGCTGTTGCTTGGTTGTGAGATTAATTTATGAAATTAATTTGTTTTGTCAGTAAATGGATTTGTTTTTGCGTGTTTAATACTGGCTGCTACTGCGTGTGGGGAAAAGGTTTTGATGTATATTGGATACAATTGGATATACGGGGAACTTTGGGATTACCTTTGGTATTTTTTTTGAGGTTAGGTTTCTATTTGGGTAGAAATTGTTAAGCTAGAATTTAATTTAGAACCAATTATTTGTTTGTGTACATTTATACTCGAAACAATATTCTGAAGATTTGAGATTATTATATAGAACAAAAAAATTTAGAAAAATTTAAAAACTTGTTTATTTTTTTTTTCAAGTTTCGATGTTTTTCTGCCAATTTTTGTGTAAAATACAAGCAAATTTCTTTGAAAATAATAAATACCGATGCTGTAATGGAGAACTGTGAAGGGGAGACATCTCACATTGTCAAGAATTGTAGTGTTTTGTTTTTTTTTTTTGGATATTTGATATTGTAGTCACCTTGTGACTTTGTAGTTGTTGTTGTTTTTTTATATTTGTTCTTGATTTTGTTAGCGTTGGATACAAGCGAGTTATTGGTTTTATGTTCTTTGTTGTTATGGGAGTGAATGAGACGTATAATTTTTCCATTCGTATTAATTTCTTTTTCTATAATTTTGCCCAATTAACATTTTTAGTAGTGAATTTGATATTTCATGAAAATGAACAGTTTTAATATATAAAAAAATAATTTCAATAATTTCATTTCATTGGCACATATTCGTGAATTACTCAATGAAAGCTCTCGAAACCGTACGCATATGTGTTATTACCACACATATATAAAAGCTCTGGCAAGTCATGTTAAAAATTCGAGCACTACATGATAAAATCTCTGATAAATTACGTGCATTCAAAATGTTTGATTTATGAAAGCTCAGGAGTATTGGTGAAAGTCTTGCGCTCGAAAGAAAATGAGCTTACATTTGTTTTGAAAGTGAAACTTCAAAAGTAAATTAATGCTTTTATGTAACTCTCATTTATAGTTGAATTAAAGTTCTCATAGACTCTCTAAATCTCCATCAAAGTAAAGCTTTTATCTACTTGAGTAATTAAGAACTCATATTTGTTCGATATTTCTAGAGTTTTTCTTTTATTTTTTTTCGTTAAGCTTCATGAAAAGTTAAACTATGATGAAATGATATTTTCATATTGATAATGCCGTGGAGTTGTAAAATATGGGTTAAAATTCAATTAATAATAATAATAAGCTTTCATTTTAGTTGAGTCTTCTTCTAATATGCGAAGCTTACAAAAAGTGCTTTAAAGCTTTGGTACACTTAAAGCTATTTAAAAACTTGCGAAATTGTGGCTCGCGTTGAAAACTTCACCACTATATTTTGTGAAAGCTTTACAATGTTTTGCTTGGAAAATTTACTTTATGCAAACGTCGATAAAATTTTGTTTACGGGACATTGCAGAAAACTTCACGGTTTGGTTCTTTGAAAGCACAAATTTAAAAATTCACTTTTATGAAAGCTCTGTAGAAAATTTTGTATTTATGTGAAATTGCTGTCTACAAACAGCTTGATTTAATTTTTTTTTATGAAAGTTCAAACTTCATAGTTTGATTTTATGGAAGCTATATTTATTAATTTCATAAAAACTATGAAACAATTTGTGAAAATGCTGAAATTTTCACGGTTTAATTTTATGAAAGCTCTGTAGGGCTTCATTTCTTAAATTTAGTTTGCGTCTAACGGTTTCATTTCATGAAAGCTTTTCATAGCTGTAATACCAATCACTTTTATGGCGTAAAATCTCTCAAACGAGGTATATGACGGTTTGAATATGCGCCAATTTAAAAAAAAATATGTATATATTAATATGTAAAAAAATTTATAAAAAATTTAAAAAATTAATATTAAGATTGAAATGAATAAACTTTTGTATTTATTGAAAATTCGTACGACATCCAACACATGCGCTCTGCCCTATGATGTACACTAATTTTTGATGCTTTTGAAAAATGTTTTCTCTTTTTGTATGTATGTAGGCATTGTTTGCCAAGCAAAATGCATTTCATTTGTAAAAAGTTATATATAAAAGGGAAATTATGAAGAAAGTTTCTTTATGTATAATTTTTACACTTTGTATTAGCTATATATTTCAATAATTTACAAATTTGCAAAAAAAAAAAAATCGTAAAAAATAATATTAACACCGAAAATAATTTGTACAAAAATTAAGAAAAAAGCTTTCGCTTAAAAATATGCAATATTTATAAATTTTTGTGATATAATTTTTTAGCTATTTTTTTTTTATAGAAATATACAACTATTTGCAGGTGTGTGTGTTTGTGTGCAACAACACAGCGTATTAAAATATTTACAAGTGTTAGTAGTGGTATAGTTCACTGCCAAATATTAACAGTTAAATTATTTTTTTATTTATTTTTTGTTTAATTATTTAAACATATTTACAACTTACTAACTAATGCAAAATACCGAAAACTTATAATTTGTGGTTAGTGAATTTAGTTACAGCTAGCTGGCTGGCTAAGGAACCCTATGCATTACTTATTATTATTAATAAATAAAAAAAATTTAATGCTGCATAATATTTTTACAAATTTTTTTAATGTGTTGTATGTTCGTTATATTTATATAAAAAAAATAAAATGCCAATATTTATATTGGAAAATAATAAATTTGTCATAGATGTAGAGAGGTGTGAGAGAGTGAGTCAGTGAGAGAGCGAGCAAGAGAATGAGAGACGATTAGTGAATGAGTGTTTTTTATTTATTAATTCTTTTTTTTTTTTTATATTTTGAATATATTTATTAAATTTTTATTTCACAATTTTTTTTTCTATACAAATGCCGGCTTTTGGGCGCCAGCGCGCACTGTTTTGGTGTTAAAAAAAAAATGATATGAGAGAATTGAGTTAAAGTTATGTGTATGTAAATGATTTTCTAAGTATTTTTTTTATTTATTGTTAAAAACAATATATTTTTTTTAAGTTTTCTTTTGCATTTTTTCATTTATGGCTAGTCGATGGAGGCAAGTTGTTGGTGCTTAACGTAATAGCGAGTAATTTGTTGAATTTAAAAATGAAAAAATTAATTATTTCTTCAAACTATTTAAATAACTTATTTGCTGGCATATGTATCCGAACCATGTGAGAATTGTCCCGTCCACAGTTCCCAATCTGAGACTAAACGGCATATGTATGTTTAAACGATTTGGAAGAAAATGTATGTATGTATGTTTGTAGATAAAATAATTAATATTACTTAATTATTGCACTTGTAGCTTTTCACTTATACTTAATTAATTAATTATCTTTTTAAATTAAAAAATAAAAAAAAACGTATTTTTTCCTATACAAAGTAGTACCTAACAGCAGGGGGTGGGGGAGGGGTGTGTTGTTCCAAAAAGCTTAGGAGCATATGGATGTTGGCTATTGGGGAAAATATGTATGTACCTAATTGCTAAGGTGAGGGTGCGTGGTTGAGGGCGGGCAGAACACAGTAACATTAACCAGTTTCTATTTGAAGGCACTGTGTCTTTGTGCTCGTGTGTATGTGTAGGTGGGTATGTTGGTATAATTTTATATATATATATCTATATATATATATAAATATATAAATATATCGTACATATATTTTCACAATGTTTGCTTGTTTTTGTTTTTGCTTTCTTGCCAATTGCTGCATATAAATTTGTTGTTGGCTTTACTTATCGCTATCGCGGCGCTTGATCCAGTTTTATTCTATTATGCGTGTGTGTGTGTGGACGTTTGTGTGTTGTTTTCGAAATTTTTTGGTTTTGTTGTTTTTTTTTTTTGGCGCAAGCTATGTTAGCTTTTTTGTTTTAGTATTAGCTTAAACTGGCATTGTTGTTGTTCTTGTTCGCGTTGGTAGTGGTGTTACGGCTGCGGCTGCTGCATAATTTTGCTACAATTTGGCACTCAATATTTTACTTGGTTATTTTATTTCAGTTAGAAATGCACTTATGCACATACATAAATTTGTATACATGTATATATGCTTGTGTATGTAAGTATAAATAAGTAAGAACTAAGAATTTAGTTTCATTTTTCTACTGCATTGATTTGGTGTTGTATTAATAGGGAGCGGGTTGATTGGATTAGGAGGAGCGTACGAGAGAGAGAGACAGAGGGAGAGAGATTTTGCTGGCGTTCAAGGTTTAGGATATATGTATGGGGGAGTTAATACACAGTTAATAAATTGTTTTTAATGAGCTGATAATGCACTAATGGCAATTAAAAAAAATATATACTAAAACTAATAATAATGAAAATGTTTTTTTGATGATGCTGAAATAAATTTCACCCTCTAGAAAGTTACAAAAAGCTTTTGAAATTGCGTTTTCACCCAATTAAAGCTTTGATTTTCCGAAAGCTTTTCTTTATCAAAATATGATCTAAGCTTTTAAGTTGTCAAATAATGTGTTTATTAGTTAGAAATTTTTGTCTATGTATTATTTCTAAATGATTATAACACAGTTTTGAATAGCTTCAGTGGACTATTATATTTGAAAGCTTTACTTATTGTGCTTAAAATTCAAATTCAAAACTGTTTCATTGATTTGTATGGTAAAATTGTAGCCAATAACTAAAGTGGGCAGAAAATCTCACTGGTTGCGTAAGGCTCTTAACATAAACTGTTCTGAAATTGCCATGATACTTATTATAATAAAAGCTCAAAGGAGAGCTTTGAATAGCTGTTGTCTCGTTTTGAGCACAGTTGACGACAATAAATGCTACAAAAATGCACCGTAGTCTAGCGCATCTAAAACTGTATGGTTTTTATATAATAGTAATCTTTACAAAAGTTCGTAAGACTGATTCAAAGTACAGTATTTCAACTGACTGAAAGTTGTGAATCTCGAGTACTCTAAGGGCATTAAAATATTTGTAATAGTAATAACATACAAACCTTTAAGCTACAAAAAGCTCAAAGGCGAATAGAATATATTTAAATACTAGGTATAAGCTCTCTTAAGCCACTTCGATAAGAATTACAAGATATATTATTCTTTTGAGGAAAGCTTTTGGAGCTTGAGGCTTCAAAAAAGTCTATGGTATTTAAAATTTACATATGTCTCTTTCGGCATGACAATATTGTTAATTAATAAAAGAACTTATTCAACAAAAACTTTTGAAGCTTTAAGCTCTAAAAAGTCTGTGGCATTTAAAATGATGGTATATTATAATATAAAAGCTCTTTTTATTAAAAAGCCTGATTTTTCAACGAAAGCTATTGAAGCTTTCAGCCACAAAAAGCTACGTGGCACTTAAAATGTTTTTATAATGAACGAAAGTAAATTCTATGAAATATATTTTATTTGAATTGATCAAAATTCAATTTCCAAAGAATCTTATTTAGCTATTTTGTGAGATTTGAACTCAATGGTTTTTGCTTCACTCGAGTTTGTGTATGGCTCGTGCCTGTTTTTTTTTTTGGTGGAGTTTGTGTTAGTGATAGCGGTTTTTAGGTTGGAGGATAAGGAATTGTTATGATAAGGAATGTTTGTATATGTATTTTGTGTATGGTTCTATGAAGTCTTTGAAAAATTTTGAAGGATAATTGATTTTTATTGCGTAACGGTATAAGTAAAAGGTATGTTCAATGTGTTTATTTGTAGCATATGTTTTACTACATTTTAGTAGTTTTGAGTTAGATGCATACTGGATATATGATGAAATTTATTATTATAAATATTATTAATTGTTCGTTTCTCCTGCTTAAAACAACAATGAAAGCATATTTCCAAACTGGTAGTTCTACATTTTTTTTGTTCTGCATTGTTATTGTTTTTATTGTGGTACTATTAATAGTAAGTGTGTATATGTTAAACGAGTATTGATGTATGTGGTAGTATGTAGCAAATTTAATTAAATTATATATGTATGTATATGTGTTACATGTCTGTAGGCACAGATTGGGATACCGCGATAGCGACAGCGACATTCCACGAACTTCCATATGCGTGAATTTATATTTAATTTTGTGTTTTATGCAAAAAATTTATGTTCCAAGCCTTGAGCTCTCTTACTTTCATTATTATTTTTTTATTTTTTTGTATCAATGAAATTTCACTTGAGACTTGGCCTATGTTTGCATACGTAATATTTGTTGTACGGATAGCTTAAATGCACTTTGATGGGTAATGTGACTTAGAAAAATCAGGTAATAAAATAATTAAAAAAAAACAACTAAAATAGTAAAAATAAAAAAAAATTAAAAATTGAAATATAAAAATTTTAAATTAAAAAGACATCAATAAAAAAATTTAAAAAAACTAAAAATAAAATAAAAATTCAAATTAAAGAAAAATTAAATTTATTGACCTAACTTGGGCAACAAAAGGGTAACTGAAAAATTTGAAATTATCAAAAAAAAATGTAAGATAAAATAATAGTTACTAAAAAAAATCAATTTATATTCTGTGTTTTTTTTTTGCTAAGAAATCACTTTTCTCATATCTAACCTAAAATCAAGAGCACACTAAGCGTGTAAACAACTTATTTTGTATTTGTTTTTGTATGTATGCGCGCTTGTGTGTGTGTGTGTGTATCTGTGGAAAATTAAAAGAATTGCTCAAAAAACCCCAACAACTAAATTTTGTTTTATTTTATTTGTGGATTAAACTCAAAATATAAAAATATGTTTATATTTTATTGTATTTACACACACTACACTGTGAGAAATATGCATTTATTTGCTTAATAACAACTGTTAACCGCAATGGTGTGATTTATTGATTACTTTGTTGTTGTTGTTGTTGTTGTGTCAAATGTTAAATTAAAAACTCAAATATTATTTAATAAACAATTAAACAAAATTATTTAAAACATTTGCAAATTAAAGTTTAAGTAAAAAATTATTACATGTCATTATTAATTAAAAACAATTGTTAAACTAATCCAAACAAAAAAATTATTTTGCATAATTTGGGGTTAATAAAAATTTCTAAATTATTGTTTTTGCAATTATATAACATAAAACTCAAACGCAAACAAAATTGTTATGCACAAGAAATAAATTCAATTAATTTTAATTATATTTTTTGTTTTTATTTCTCAAACTAAATTTTAGTTATTAAACTCAGTTCTCTAACATTTATATTGCACTAAATAAGAAAAAAATATATAATATAAAAAATCATGTGAGGCTAAACAAAAAAAAAATTGCAACAAAAGAAAAACGTTTTTCAACTAAACTCAATTCTAAATTTGCTAAGGATTTTTATTAATCGTTTTTGTCATTAAAAACTTCGTGGCATTATTTGAAGTGAGTGAAAAATTATGGTACTTACCGTGTCGGCAAACGTAGTCTACTCCTTGGCGTACACATTCACCTGTAATGCAACCCTGTGTGCGGCAGTCTTCTTGTGGTGGTGTTAAGTAACCTTTAAGTTGAAACAAATTATGGTAAGTTTCATATTCTCAGAATTAATAAAAAATATAGCCTACATTCAGGCATAAGCTATTAGCTTCAAACATTTCCTATATTCAAGCGTATAATATTAGCAATAAACACTACCGACATTTTTGCGTAAACTCGATATTATATAACTAGGGGAACTTGTCGTCTGGCTCCACTTACTATTTTAGTAAATATTTTTGAATAATATAAAACTGAAAAATACAGTTTTAATTAATCAGTAATTCTTCTCTACTTTAATACGTGTATGCAATACTTTTACGCTGGAAAACCTTGCCTACATTTTTGCGCAAACACATTAAGAAATGTAATAAAAAAGCAAAGGTGGCCACATTTAGGCGTAATGTTTTAGAAGTAAGCTTCATTCAAAATCAACAAAAGAAATTCGAAGCATGCCTTAATATGTGCGACCCTCCTCTTTTCAACAATGCCTCCCACCATACTCACATTGCACATACGCATCGCCATATGGGAATTCCTCGGGGCAATAACATTGCGCCTCGTTATGCTCCAGCACACGGCAAGCAGCATTCTGTCCACACGGTTGATCAGCACACGCATTCACCAATTGTCCTTCGCAAACACAACCTTTATGTGCATCACCCATACAACCATCCATGCACGTGCACTCATAACCGCCAGGTACCTCAATACATTTCGAATTAGCGCCGCAGGGGTGATTGGCGCAACCGCCATCCAAGGGTCGACATTCCGTTTCGGGCGTACCAAAATAGTCGGGTGGACAGGAGCATTGTGGCTTGCGATCGACGACACGACACTGTGCGTTAACACCACACGCGCCATATTCCAAGCATGGGTTGCGACACTTGCCTGCATCACAACGTTTGTTCGGTTCACAATCGGCATCTTGTGCGCACTCAAATTGCACACATTCCTCGATGGGTTCACCCTCATAGCCATCGGGACAATAGCAGAGCATACGATGATCGGAGACAGTGCATAGCGCATTGCGGCCACAGGCCGATTTATCAGCGCACGGATCAGCGCATTTACCTTTGATACAACTCTGATCGTTGGTGCAGTCGTTGTTCGTCTTGCAGCCAGCCAGACAGGTGCCGCGTTCGCAGAGTTGACCAAGTGGGCAATTACGGCCGCCTCCACACTTCTGACGACACTTACCTCGTGTGCACACCTGACCGCAAGCACACTCGTCGGTACGCGTGCATGTCTCGGCGCAGTAGGTATTCGTTTCGTCACATTGACAATTGGAGTTACAACGTTGTGGTGGCTGTTGACAGCCGCTGAGGCCATCACCGAGAAAACCATTCGGACAGCTACATTGCACGCCGTGATTGACCACCAAACAGTTGGCACACTGACCACATTGACCGGGTGTGTCACAGGGATTCTTACACTTTTTGTTGATGCACGCCTCTTCGCTAGGGCAGGTGAGATCGTTGCGGCAACCAATTTGGCAGACGCGATTTTCGCAAATTTGTCCTTGTGTGCATGCAGAGTCGGTGTTGCAAACGGTACGGCAGGTGCCGCGCATACAACGCTCATCCGCCAAACAATTCTGATCGTTACGGCATTTACCTTGACAGCTGCCGCCATAACAGAGTTGATTTCCTTCACAGTCTTCGTTGCGTGCGCAAGCTGTACGTGGCGCTTTGCACGATACCTCGGCTTTGCCTATAAGACCTTGGGGGCATGTGCATTGCTTACGGTGATCGACCACTGAACACTCAGCATTTGTGCCGCAAGCAGCGGGCTCGGCGCATGGATTTATACATTGTTGATTGACACACGACAAGTCATGTGGGCAACCCTGGTCGGAGCGGCAACCTGCCACGCAGGTTAGTCCTAAACACACTTCACTGCTGCGGCAATCATCATCGCGTCGACAAAGCGGCTTACAAACTCCACCTTGACAGCGTTCATTCGAGAGGCAACCCGCATTATCCGCGCACAGCGGACGACAAGCAAACTCGAAGCAAGCAAGACCATTCGGGCAATCGCGGTTCTCATTACAATCGAGCGGTGGACTGCGTACACAGCCGACTTGTGGCGTCGGATTCGGTACCATACCATCCAGACAACTACAGATTGCACGATGATTGGAGACCGAGCAGGCAGCATTCGGTCCACAGGGATTCTCCGTACAAGGATTTGTACACTTATCTTGACGGCACGACTCGGAGGCGCTACAATCGTCATCGGTGCGACAACCGTAAACGCATTTATTATGCAGGCAAACATGTCCCAGGAAGCAGTCATTGTCCACACGACAAGTCACTGAAAGTAGAGCGGTTTGAACGTGTTCGTTATTATCTTGCCTGGGGATAATATTTCTGCATTTGTTACAGAACGCATGTAATACTTACGCATACAGCTACCATGCAGGCACTTCTCGTTCAACGCACAGTCCTGATCGCTATGGCAAGCCGGCTGACACATTGAATCGTGACAGTTGTAACCCTCACGGCATTCCACATCACTGTTACAAGCCACGGGTATGCGTACGCACTCGACGTCTGGATTGCCGGTAAAACCAGGTGGACAACTGCACTGCTTATAGTGTTGTTGTATGTGGCATTCAGCATTCATGCCGCAAGATTGAGCCTGCAGACACGGGTTCACACATTGTCCCCCCTGGCAAACCTCTGTGGTGCCACATTCGGTGTCGAGCAGACAAGCGGCTGTAAATAATTTGGTAGAAGATTAGTGGCGCTTGGTCACACATCAGTTGTAATTAGTTCACAGTCCTTATGTCATCGTAAATGTAGTACAGTACATATAGTATGTGGTCCGGTTGTGTTGTTGCTATAGCTTGCTGTTTTTCTTGTGTTACTATTCAAACTATTCTTATTTCTATGGGGAGAGTTCCTGTAATGTTTTGAATTCCTAGCTGGTAGTGCTTTCGTGTGTTTGTATCCCGAAAACTCCAGCTAAGACGAGGGATCTGCTTCTAAAAACCTTCACTTAGAAGATTTGTACTCAAAGCTGCTGGGAGTTGGAGCAGATATGTCAGAGAGTGGTGTCCTATTCGATCTAAAGCTAGCGTTCCCGAAATCCTGGTAAAGGCCGATAGTTTCTGAAGTAGCTACAGTCTAGTTTAAAACACTTTTGTTATGGGTAAGCAGTGCTTAGAGAGAAATAAAGCTATAGTTTTTAAAAACACTTTCTTTGGCTAGTATTGGCTGAAACTGTAGTCGGCCAAGGAGAAAATTTTTCGATAAAGTTAAAAATTTTCGCTAAAGCGTTTCCGTGTCAAATCTCTCTATTAATTCCATACTGACGCTTTTCCGCCTGCTGCATTAACAAGCCGAGTTTCAAGCTCTGGAAAGTCTGACTCTGAAAAATGAAGGCCTGGTTACGAAGGAACGAGTGCAAAAATATTTAGCTGTTATTGCAGGCTCGAAAAGCTTTTGTTTAAATGAAAATTATGGGGTGGATCGAAGAGTCGATACATGTAGACGTGGAGGAGGAAATGTTGGCTTAAAAAAACTTGTATGTCTGAAGATATATGGGTATTGGCATGTGAGGCTCAAATCATTTGAGCCGATGATAAATTTTAGGGACACATGAACGTCAAGATCTTTTTGATGAAAACTAGTATAAAGGAGTGGTGTAAGATTTCTAGTCTACAAGGAAAGTTCTCCAGTGCTCTGTAATGATCCGAGGTCCCATTAGTGTTTCTTAGGTTGCGGGAGTTTGATTTTTCTAAAAATATGAGGCTTGGATTAAGGGAAATATACATGGTAAGATCATCTTCAACTCGAAAGATCTTAATTAAAAAATCCCACGTCTCTCAGGGTCATGCGAGGTCGTAGGATAATTTAAAGTACAGAGAGGGTCTTAGCATATTTGTTGAGTTTTAAGTATGAGACTCAAATTCTAAGAGCTCGTGGCGAATTTTTAAGGACAACTGAGCTTAAAGATTCTGTATTCCATGATTTCAAAGCTATAGATCTTCTTGCGCCCTCCAGCGAGCCAAGCACCTACTGGTGTATCTTCTACGTGAGCAGAAATTTCCTAAATGTTTGCTTAAGAAAGAAGGAAGTAATCGTATGACGGTGAAATCGTCTTCAACTCTGAAGATCTTAATTTAAAAATTTGAAGCCTTTTACAGTGTGGAGAGGTCATTGGATATTGGAGTGTGTAGTTCAAACCCTAACAGCTTATTGGCAATTTTTAGGGAGAAGTAACAGCCAATGTCCTGTATTTGACCACGAGTACATCATTGGGCTCAATTTTTCGACCTATAGGGTGGTCATCCTGCATTCTGTGCTCTATGAGCTTGTGATCGATTTTTTGATAACGGTACTTCGTTGAATTGAGATTCCGAGTCTATGGGGTAAGTCTCTTGTGGCCTGTAACGAGCCGAGTTTCCGTTGATGTTTCTTAGTTGACGCGACCCGTGTTATGTTTCTCCCCTGGGCAAAGACACGGTCCAGCACCGTTGTTTGTTAAGCACTTAAACATAAAACATTTATCCCCACCAGGGTCTAATCTATTTCAGGTTTGTAAGTACTTAGTATCACATTCCCTGCACACATAAACATTTAGATTTTACACATTCCCATGTGCGTGGCATTATTGTTGTTGTTATTTTAATTAAATATATGTATGTATATTTGAGTGTAAAAGGCAACTACAAGGTTAGCTCACTAAGAGGGTTACGCTAGGTTCTTGTTTGTTTTGTTTTTTTTGTTGTTGTTTTTGATTTTTTGATTCTTGGTTTAATATCAAAATCTAAGCCGTACCAAAATTAGAGTTCGTTAATCTTAATTTTGTTTGTTTGTTTTGGAACTGGTTCGAGGAGGTACCTCAACTCATGTTATCTTTGTTAGTACTTACGTTTACATATACTATCCGAACAGTAGGTATTTGTCGGGCAGTCGCTGGTCATTTGACATGGTACGGGTAGTGGCTTACAGCCGGCAATCCGATCTTCCGGATTACCATCGTAGCCATTACGGCATGCACAATGAGCTTGATGACCCTTAGGTATACATTCGGCATTCGTGCCACACTTAACATTCGCACATACATCTTGACATTTGGATATACCGTTAATTTTGGTGCATTCGGCATGCGGGGGACAATCATCGCTAGTTTCACACTCCACCGCGGTGCGACAACCTTCATTGTAGGGATCACCAACCAAACCGGGCGGACAAGTACACTTGAATGAACCACGCGAATTGCGACAGCGTGCGCCGGGACCGCATGGCGCATCCTTACAAAAATCGACGACATCACAACGTACACGCGGATCGCCGGTAAAGCCTGGCTGACAGTGGCAGACTTGTTTGTGATTTTCCGTTGTACAAAGCGCATTCTCACCGCACGGTTCGCCAATGAGGCAAGCAATTTTACACATATGATCATCGCATGTCTTGTCATGCGAGCACTCCGCGTCCGTTGAGCATTCGATCTTGCGGCAACCACTCTTCGGATCACCAAAGAAGCCCTCCTTACACTCACAGTCGGGAGCATGGCTACGTGCAATACACTCGGCATTACGACCACAAATAGCGCGACCTAAACAAACGTTCTCGCACGAGGCACGTCCATAGCTATCCTGTACACAACTCTCGTTCACACCGCAATCGTCGTCGTCGCGGCAGATCATCTCTTTCGTGCAAATGCTGTTGAGACAGAACTGGAATTCGGGGCATGTGGAGTTCGTACGACATGTAGGTTGGCAGACGCCCTGTATGCACAGCTGATCGGAGATACAATCACGCACGGAACTGCACAGCGTTGCACAGATGCCGTTGGTACATATGGTACCCGAAGCACATTGACTGTCTGCGTTGCAATACTGCAAAGCGACACAGCCGAGCTGTGCATCGCCAGTAGTGCCTGTTTCACAAGTGCAGACACCGATGTGGTTAAGTACAGCACAACGCGCGTTGGCGCCGCAAGCATTGGGCAGTGTGCAGGGATCCACACATTTCGCGTCCAAGCAGGCCTTGCCGTTGGCGCAATCCTCATTCTCCGAGCATTCGATGTAGACACATTCGATGGATGGATCGCCATGTGAGTTCGGTGGGCACGCACAGATGGCGTTGTGCGATTGGGCCAAACAAGTTGCATTGCGTCCACATACATTCTCGCGTTCGCACGGGCTGCGACAACGCGCATTTTGACAGCTTGCAGTGGACGGACAATCCGTGTCGGTCATACACTCGTTGGGATCGCGACAACCCACATTGACGGGATCTCCTATCAGACCTTCGGGACACTGACATTTGTAAGAGCCGGGTTGATTTTCACAGAACGCGGTGCTATGGCAGGGCTGGGACAAACATTCATTGATATCTTCGCAAACATTTTCGGTGAGTTGGTAGCCTTCATAACAGTTACAGAGCGCTTGATGATTAGCAACATTGCAAATTCCTTTGCCGCAAGAGATAAGATCACAAGGTTTGATACAACGATTCGTTTCACTATCACAAGCCTTGTCGCTGGCACAGTCTTCGTTAGTGATACATTCGACCTTGAAGCAGCCGACTGTATGCTCACTGGCATCACCTAAGTGACCAGGTGGGCAGTAGCATGAAGCTTGATGATTTTCCGCATTGCAGAGTGCGTTGGGGCCGCAAGTACTGTTGGTGCAGGGCTCGGTACACTTATCATTGATACAAGCCAAGTTATAGGCGCAGTCGTCATCCTTATAGCACTCCTTGGGCTTAATACAACCCTGTTGAGAAAGACCATCACCCACTGTGCCTTCAGGACATATGCAACGGTACGAGCCAGGTAAGTTCTCACAGCGCGCTGTGTTGTGACACGGTTGCTCTGTGCACTCATCAATATCCGAGCAGCCGAAAGGAGTGCCAATGAAGCCAGAGGCACACTTACATTTACCGCTGAGACAGAGCTCTGTGGGCGGGCAATCAGCATCGGAATCACAGCCGGGCTTGCAAGTGCCATCATTATTACAAATTTCGCCAGGCAAGCAATTGTTACTCGTATAACAGACTTTACGGCAGACATTCTGGTAGCAGCGTTCGCCTATGGCGCAAGCGGTTGTCTTCTGACACGGCAGGTTACATTGATTACCGATGCACATGTGACTGGCGGGGCATTGATTGGTGGCCAAGCAGGGCGCTGGCACGCGCACGCAACCTTGATCGGGTGTAGGGTTGCCCTCGAAACCTTCGGGACACGTACATTGCGTGAGATGTTTATCGATGCTACAGAGTGCATTAGGACCGCAGATGCCACCTGACTTACAGGGGTCGGCACATTTGTTGTTTATACAAGACTGATCCACAGCGCAGTCTTTATTGCTGCGACACCCTAAAACGCAAAGACCTTCTAAGCAAGCCAAGCCGGACGTACATTGACTGTGATCCAAGCAGGGTATTACACATATACTATTTAAGCATTTTTCGCCGCTCGAGCAGTCGTCCGTATTACGGCAGGCCACACGGCATTGACCATTGTAGCATATTTCGCCGCCACAGTCGACATCCGACCTGCATTTGGAGACCGAGCGTACACAGCCATCTTTAGGTGACTCCCCATTTTGTTGGAACTTCAAAGGGCAACTACAAACTGGTTTACGATTAACTACTTTGCATTCAGAGTTCTGGCCGCACGCGTTCACACATGGATCGATACAATGACCACCCGCACAGATGGTATTCGCTGGACAGTCGGCATCGCCGTTCGGACACTGACCATCTGGACGACAACTCATCGTCTCCGGATCGCTAATAAAGTTTTCGGGACAGCGACACGTTGGGCCCGAGGGTGTGATTTCACATATGGCAGAATGATGACAAGTGCCAGGTACGCAGCCGCTAACTTTGGTGCACTCCACCTCCGGCATGGGATTGCCTTTGTAGCCTGGTGGGCATTGGCATACCGCACGATGATCTTCAGCAATACAAATGGCATTCTCACCACAGGATTCCTCATCGCAGACATCGTAACAGGTGTGTGTCATGCGGTTGCACATCTTTGTTGGTGGACAATCGTGATTGTAGACGCAAGGCACGCTCTGGCAACCGTTGAAGGGGTCATTCGGATCACCAGCGTAAGGTCCTGGTGGGCATTGACATTGCGCCAAGTGATTGTTGGTGATGCAAACCGCACGCGGTCCACACTTAATGCTGTCACAAGCTGGACGACAGGTAAGACTTCCACTAGGGCCATATTTGACACAAGCTTCTGATTCCGCACACTCGGCATTGGTGCGACATTGGTTCTTCGCCACAGGTTGGCAGCCATTACGATCGTTTGGATTTCCGACATAACCAGGGAGACAGTCGCAGCGACCTTCATGATTGCGAGCGACACAAACAGAATTGGCGGGACATGTGAACTCGTCACAAATCGAAATACATTTGAGTACGCCAACCACATCGGACCGACAGGCATATACAACAGGGCAGTCCGCGTCCTTAGTGCAGTCAGGGAGCGACGGTTTCTCGCAAGATGAAGTAACGGGGTTCCAAACAAAACTATCTGCACAGTTGCACAACGCATGTCCATTGGCATCGATGTTGCACACTTCGTTTGTACCGCAAACGACCTTCGAACAGCGATTGATACATTCTTTTGTGCCTTGCACGTCGGGTGCGCATGAGTAGCCAAGTTCGCAGTCGTTGTCCGATTTACATTTATCCTCTACATCCGGCACTTTACGCTCGGGTTGGCAGCCCACTTGCAGATTGCTTGGGTTGCCGAAATAGCCGTCGGTACATATACAAGATGAACGATGATCGTTGGAGACGCAGAGGGCATTAGGACCGCACTGAATCTTCGAGCACGCATCGACGCACTTCCTCAAGCCTTTGCCTAGCTGGAAGCATATTTCTGAGTGCTTGCAGTCTGCATCATTGTTGCACTGACCACGTATGGTGCAGCCGTTTTCCGCGTCGTAAGGATCACCGATGTAACCAAGTGGACAAATGCATTTGCCGCCATCGCAGGCAGCTCTTGGTCCACACGCAGTCTTCGAGCAAAGATTTTTACATTTACCTTCCTCGCATGTAAAGCCATCTGGGCATTCTACACGCGCGTTGCACTCGCAATGGTCCGCATCAGTACAGAATACAGTATCGACCGGCTGACAACTACTGAATGGATCGCCAGCAAAACCGGATAAGCACAGACACTCGAAGCCACCATGCGTGTTGAGACAAGCCGCATTCAGGCCACAGGGTTTGTTCACGCACTCGTCCACATCTTGACAGCCGACATAGGCATTGCCGGTGAAGCCTTGTGGACAGATACAGCTAATTTGTTGGCCATCAGCGCGGCATTCAGCATTCGGACCGCAACTATTAGGCGCGCATATATTCTTGCTCTGTGGGCCACAGCCTTCATAGGGATTACCAGTCGTGCCAGGATTGCAAGCGCATACGCTGTTGCCAAAGCCATATTCACAATGCGCATTCTCGGCACACTTAGGCTCGCATTCGGCATACTTAACTGGAGGCACGCACACAAGATCTGGATTGCCAATAAAGTTAGGTTCACACACACATTTGCCGCTATTCTTGTCACAGGTGGCGCCGATACCGCAAACAACACCGTCACAACGTTCCTTACAACGTCCATTAATACAAACCTGACGATCGGCGCAGGGACGCGAACCGCTGCATTGATCTGTTGAGCAGGCACCGCCTGGGAATGGATTGCCGAAGTAACCTTGCGGACATTTGCAAGTGGGACCTTCCGATGTTGGTATGCAGAGTGCGCCCTCGCCGCAAATTATATCCTTACATTGAGAAACGCAATCACCGTTCGGATCTTTGCTAAAACCCACACGACAACGGCACCAGCCAGCATGGTTTTCAGTCTCACAGAATGCATTCGGTCCGCACAATAGGCTGGCGCAGGGAGACACACATGTGCCCTCCACACAAGCCAAATTACTGGCACAGTCTTCATTGGTTGTGCACTTACTCTTTGGCACGCCGGTTTCCAAGATACATCCACTTTTATATGGATCGCCCGTAAAGCCTTTAGGACACACACATTGGTAACCACCTTTCTTATTAACACAGTAGGCACCGTAAGCGCAAGGCAAGTGCGCACATTCGTCCTCATCGGTACAGCCCATAAGCGGGTCACCCTTGAAGCCCGGTTCGCACATACATTGTGGTGGATCTGTTGGCGTGCATTTGGCATTAATGCCACACGGGAAACGTTCGCAGGGGCTCTTACATTTATTGTTATCGTAGGGATCCAAAAAGAATGGTGGTGGGCAAATACATTCACCAGGCTGTACGCATTTCTCATTAGTGCCACATTCCTTGTCAGCAGCACATTTGCGTTGTGCGGGCGCGCAAAGTCCGTGGTAAGGATCACCGTTGTAGCCCTCAGGACAAGCACAACTAAAACCGCCAGGTATGTTGATACATTCCGCGCCAAAGGCGCAAACTTGCGAGTCGCGTTCCACACATTCGTTGACATCGATACATGAGCCATCCGGTCCAGTCTTATAACCCTTTGGACAAGCGCAGTAGCTAACACCACCAGCAATGGAGATACACTCTGCGCCGTTGGGACATTTCTTATCTTTAGAGCAGTCGGCAAGTATGCAGCTATTGCCCACTAGCTTGTAGGGTGGCTGACATTGACACTCCGACGATTTACATTGTTCGCACATAACGAAGGGATTACCGCTAAAGCCTTGCGGGCACTTGCATTCATAGCTGCCCGGTAGATTCTTGCAGAGCGCATTGAGACCACAAGCCACTTTCGCGCGACTAGGAGAGCATTCATCCACATCTTGACATAGACCAGTTTCCGCATTACGTTCATAACCTTGACGACAAATACACACGCCACTGCCAGTATATGAGTCCGTGACGCAAGTTTCACCAGGCGAGCAGGGGTTCGAGTCGGAGCAGGTGAAAGCCACCTTACCTGCTGTGCAACCTTCACGGTAGGGATCGCCACTGGTGCCACTGGGACATTGGCAAAGATAACCACCGGCGGTATTGGTACAAATAGCATTCGCCTGGCATGGATTGGCCCTACATTCGTCGATATCATTACAACCGCCAGGTGTGTTCGGACTACCCGTGTAGCCCTCGACGCACAAGCACTGTGCTTGTCCATTGGCCAGCATACACTGTGCGTGTGCGCCACAATTGACCTCCTCGCAAGGATGCCGACAATCATTGCCAATATTCGGTTGAGGGCAGAGGCAACGTTTCTCCGTATCGCAAATTGCATTGCCCGGACAATCGTTGTTCGTAGTGCATGTAACAATCGGCACGCAACGTATCGTGGGATCTGGATCGGCGACTGTGTCAGCCGGACAGCGGCACGTATAACCGCTATTCATATTTACACACTCCGCGCCTTCGCCGCATTTGTTGCCAACATGACACTCGTCCACGTCCACACACTTGGCGTGGGGATCACCAGAAAAGCCTGATGGACAGGCGCAACTAAAGCTGCCCAAAGCGTTCGTGCACGTCGCGTTGATGCCACAACTGCCAAAGGGTCCATGTACCACATCACATTCATCAATATCCACGCAACCGGCTGAGATGTCGCTGGGGTTATACGTCCAACCGTCTTCGCAAATGCAATAAGCCTCATTGCCATCCGGTTTGCAATATGCATGTTCGCCGCAGCGCACATCCTCGCACGGCTCCTTGCAGGCAATACGCGGTGGTGTGCCCACGAAGCCCGCTTCACAATCGCATCGGAACGAGCCGGGTGTATTTATACATTGCGCGTGTACACCACAGGCATCCGCGTGTGTGCGACATTCGTCGATGTCGACACAACTGGAGCCGATCGGCTCGAAGCCATCTAGACAGAAACACTGATTCTCAATACATTCGGCATTGTTGGTACAATCGAAGCTGCTGCGGCACAAAATATTCACATCCACTTGCTCGCAAGCGACTTTTGGATCCGGTTTACCATCGTAACCCTGTGGACACTTGCAATTATAGCCGGGTACGGCATTTTCGCAGATCGCATGTGTGCCGCAAGGCTTCTCCAGCGCTGCACACTCATCGATATCCACGCAGCCGCGGAAGGGATCGCCGGTATAGTCTTGTTTGCAAGTGCAGACAAAGCTGCCGACGGTGTCGGTGCAAATTGCGTTCTCGCCACAAGGATTGTCCTGACATTCGTTGATGTCTAGAGTGCGTTACAAATTGGTGATTCGTTGTTGTTGTTGTGGTTGTTATTACCGTAGTAGGTGCGGTGCGGAGTGAGAGATTCACAATTTTCGAACGTAAGATTCGGTGGTTCGCGTGGTGTTTGGTTGGTTATTCCGGTTTGGTTGGTGGGTTGGTTGGTTTGTTGGATGGGGTTTCAGGGTTTAATTGGATTGCAGGTAGGCGTTGGTTGCAGTGACGGTTGGTGTTTTTGGTTCGTGGTTGTGGTGGTGGTGTTGGGAGAAGGTTGTTAAATTAGTTAAAAATTAAACAAAGAACAAAAATACTCGGTTACAATGTAATCATGATAATAATGATTTCTATGAGGAAAAATTTATGTGTTTGTATGTATGTATGTATATGGAGGAATAGCGTGAAAATAGGCAGCAGTAGAAGGAACGGAAATAAGTGAAAAAGCGTTTAGGAAGCTTTACTAAAGCTTTGACGTAATAACCCTTTCATAGGGAAGTACGAACATAATTTGCAGAAAGCTTAAAGTACACTTTAAAAAGTAATGTAAGTTGAATTAAATTTTTGTAAGTTAAAGTAAGCTCTCATAAGATAAATATAGCCTATGCAAGTTAAAGCTAGATTTCATTATTTAGCTTATTTTGGTTTAAGCGTTGTGTATTTGAAAGCATGTAAGCAATTTTAATTTGAAAAGCTTTCCCAGCAAACGCCTCCGAAATAGAAAACCTAAAATTTGAAAAGCTTTCTCGGAAATTCTCTTTTTTAAAATTTGAAAGCTTGAAACCTTTTTATACATCTAATTCGCTAAGCTTTTACAGCTGTTACTAGTTTTGTCTGTAATAGCTTTTTATTGCTTAATAGTGTAAGGTTGTCCACCACAATAAAAGCTCAAAGGTGCAAACATTTTTGGTGGATATAAATGGTTTTTCAAGCTTTCATATGTTGAAGAGATAGCAACAATTTGTCACCTTTAATATACGCTGAGTTTGAGAAGCTTCTAACTTGAAGCTGAGTGAGCTTTAAAGCTCTCAACTCTTTAAAATCGCTTGACTTCAGTCTATAAAAGCTTTGTAACATAAAACTGAATGTAAAAACTAATAAAGATAAAAGATGTTGACTCTGAAATGTTATAATTATCTATGAGAAATTTCAAAGCTTTTTGTTTGCTGGGCTACATTTTTGACAAGTGTTTAAAGTGTAATAAAGCAAGAAAAGTTCCAGTGTTTTTGTTGAAATCATAGCATGTATAATGTGTACATTAAAGTGTTAAAAGCTTGCAAGCTTCGATATAAAATTAAACGAGAAAATTTTGCAGTAATTTAACATAAGCACAGATTTACCGTATTTATTTAAAAAAAATTGAGCTTTAAGCGCAATTAATAAAAAAAATTTGTATTTCAAATGTGATGTCGATTAAAAAGCTCATTGGAATTCATTCGCAAAACTGTTACACTTATTCTTCTAACTTTGTTCTGAGCTTTCAAAAGCTTTTGAACTTCAATAATATTTTAATTTCCTGAAAAAATCTTGAAGTTTGTAAAATTACCTTCTATTTTGTAAATTGTAATGGACAGCTTGCAAGCTCTTAACGAATCTAAATCAAAGCTTTCTTATGTTCTTTTTTTCTCCAAAATATCTAAGCAACTAAATAGCAATAAGCAATACTAACTTTCACAATGCAAATAACCCTGTCCTTGAAAGCCACTCGGGCACAAGCAGCGATATGAGCCGGGAAAATTAATACATTTCGCATTCGTGCCACATTTGGCCACGCCATCATCCATATTACATTCGTCGATATCGACACAAGCCAAACCGGCGCCGGTCACACGCAGCGTTGTGCCATTACCGCCATAGATGCCGCCGCCACCCAGACTATATTCCCGTTCGAATTCGAGCGTATAGCCCGGCGGACAGTTGCACGCAAAGCTACCGCCAATATTCACGCATTCAGCACCCAAACCGCATGGATTGTTAGTGGAGCATTCGTCGACGTCTGAGCGATGGCAAACACAATGGGTGCACGTGGGTGTATGTGTTTGTGGGTGTGTTTGTGTGCACGTCGATGGTATGCGGTGAGCGGTTATGATTACACATAACATATAAATTATGTAAAGCACCAAATGTTTATTGTTTTTTAATTTTCATTTATTGTTAAATATTGTTGTGATATTTTTTTTCCATATTTTGTTTGTTATTCCCAAATGTGTGCAACAATAATTTTGGGTTTTACGATTTTATGTGGTTTGTTGGTGCCACCAAATTAGGATTAGCAAATTAGTGTTCGTTGTTTTTTTTTTTTTTTTGTTTTTTAGTGAGCGTGAAAGTGCAAAATGTTAAAATTATTTATTGTTTTTTGTTTTTGTTTTCCGTGAGTGATGCAAATAAATAAAGAGAATAACAAATGAATACAAAAAACTTAGTAATGAAATTTCTAAAAAATGTATCAACTAATCTTCTCTTCTCCATATTCATCATCTTCAATTCACAGCACTTACCTTCACACCCATGACTGGGATCACCCGCATAGCCATCGGGGCAGATACACTTGAAGCTACCATCCGTATTTAGACACTGTGCATTGCGTCCACATGGCGAACGTGCGCACTCATCATAATCCACACATCCGCTGGCCGAGCGCGCATCACCATCGTATCCCTCTGGGCAGTCGCAGCGATAACCGCCCTCGAGATTCGTACAAATTGCGCCGGGTCCGCAGGCATTCGGATGTGTGCACTCATCAATGTCTGTACAGCTGTAGTACGGGTCTCCATGGTAACCTTCGGGACAGGCACAGGTGTAGTTGCCGGGCGTATTGATGCATTGCGCACCCGTACCGCAAGCAGTGGGACTTTGGCACTCGTCGAGGTCTAGAGTGGGTGGGAGGGGAGAGTGAGTGAGTTTTGGTTTTTGTAAATAAATGTGGTTTGTTGTACTATAAATAATAGTTTGTCATGCATATTTTACTAAATAGTTATATTGAAAATGTCGATAAATTTAATGATCAATTATCGATAACTTTTTAAAAAAATTTTACATGAGACAAAAACTTAAAGTATTTTAAAATAAATAATAACAATAAATTTGATTGATAACTCAATAATACATCGATAAAGTAATCGATAACTTATTAAGTTTTTTTTTGATAGTGCTTGGAGGGAGAGACAATTTGATTGGTATTTTCTTTTTTTTTTTCGCTCATGGAAAGTATTATTTTATCTTTCAAATATGTATACAGGAAAAGTTGATAAATCTAAGTTTAAAAATAATTTTTAAATGCAACACAAAATCAAACAGCACATTTTTTGTAACCTCCTTTTCCGCTGGCAACAAAATAAACTCAGAATACCAAATTAAATTTTATTACCTCGACAGAAATGGCCTGTTAACCGACAAATAATTCGATAAATTCTCCGATATATTCACGAACCGATTTGTTATCGAAATTTTTCTAACATTGTTATCCCAAATTTAATTTTTTTAACGCAATATTAAAAATAAGTTTTTTTGGAATAGCAAAAATTGAAATAATCGACTGTTAAATCGATTAATTGTATACCTAACTAATGCTTTTGCGAAAACTTAATAAAATTTATCGATAAATTTGTTATTTTCAGCAGCCTTTTTAACTTGCTACAACATTTTAAACATTGAAAACTCTTTTTCGCTTTACTGTAAATAGAATTTGTTGATCGAATTTTATCGATAAATATATTTCGCTTCCTAAATTAAGTAGTGACGTCAAGATTGTCTCTTAAAACAGCTCTTCAATAACCTTAAATCCTAAACTACGTTATACATACCGCCCGCAGCAAATTCTATTGTTCACAGAAGTAAAAAAAAGTCAGGGAACATATTCCCTGCTTAAATGAATATTTGCGTAAACTTTCAAATCAAATAATAATGAACAACAGGCAGTCAGTGGTGCGAGTTTACCTTTTCTACGTGTCAACCTTTTAATATTAATCCATTTTATTTTTATAATTGAAAAGAGTAGAAAAATGTTAAAAATCTATTCTTAGTTAGCTAAAGCATACCATGCACCAATAATAAAAATCATTCAGCATTCCAGACTTACCTGTACATAGCACCTCACCATCACCCTCATAGCCGTCCCTACATTTGCAGAGATAATGCGCTGGCAGATTGCAGCATTCGGCATTCTCGACGCAACGCGCTCTTATCGTTGGATCTTGGCATTCGTCGATATCTACAGATGTATGTGTGGTTGTTCGTGTGTGTGTGTTTATTTTTATTTATTTTGTTTTGTGAAAAGAGAAGAAGCAATGTGTTGAGGCAAAAATATTAGAGGATTAAGGCGTAGCTGATTTACTATATTAAATTATACTATTAAATAATGTTATATGTATCAGTGTATGAGTGTATGTGTCTATGTGTGTGTGTGAGTTAAAGGGATTAGACATTTTATTGTACGCTTCAATGATTTGATTAATGTTATGAATGCCAAGGTCAGTTTCTTTGAAGATTTTCTGCCTTCACTTCATTTCATTTCATTTCCCCTTTTTGTAACATACACACGAGTACATATATGTATATAATATTAAATATGCTGACAGCGGCAACTGTGTGATATATTTTCAAACATTTATCGATAGCAACATCAATGACAGCAAGTCATTAAGTATGTCTTTTATTTACGCATCAAATTGCACAAAACTAGTAAAAAACGAAAGACTTAAGCGACAAACTTGTAGCGGTGGTGCATGAAAGCTTGGCTTTATATTAAACTATTACGCAGTTTACACGCATCGCTGCCTTCTAATGCGTATGTTGCACGTTGAATGAGCAAAAAATTTAAAAAACGGCAATAACAACAATCAATGGCTTTTCAAAATGTTCCGCATGCGTAATTGCCATTGAGGTTGTGGTGGCCTGTGGCCTGTGGGCTGTCAGCGCATCATTATTTGGCATTGATTATGTTAAATTGAAGGTGATTACTTAATTTCTTATGTCATTTTTTTCACTTTGTTTTGTTGGAATATGTTGATTTGTGCACAGACATTTCATTGTCATTTTGTGGCAAGTGCAGTTTGCATGCCTGTAAGCAAATGCAATGTCAATAAAAAATTGGTAAACAATAAATAAAACAAAAACAAACACATGCAAATTGACATGTTTGTATGAAAAAAACCCTCTTTCACATGCGTTTGAAGGTCGCATTGTGGTTTTGCATTTAATTTGCTTCTAATGGCGTTTTTATATGTACGTAGAAATATATGTATTTATGTATTTTTTTCAATCTTTTATTCCAATTTATTTTTACCTATTTTTTCAGAAAATGCTTTTATTAATAACTCTATATTTTATATTTTATATTTTATATTTTATATTTTATATTTTATATTTTATATTTTATATTTTATATTTTATATTTTATATTTTATATTTTATATTTTATATTTTATATTTTATATTTTATATTTTATATTTTATATTTTATATTTTATATTTTATATTTTATATTTTATATTTTATATTTTATATTTTATATTTTATATTTTATATTTTATATTTTATATTTTATATTTTATATTTTATATTTTATATTTTATATTTTATATTTTATATTTTATATTTTATATTTTATATTTTATATTTTATATTTTATATTTTATATTTTATATTTTATATTTTATATTTTATATTTTATATTTTATATTTTATATTTTATATTTTATATTTTATATTTTATATTTTATATTTTATATTTTATATTTTATATTTTATATTTTATATTTTATATTTTATATTTTATATTTTATATTTTATATTTTATATTTTATATTTTATATTTTATATTTTATATTTTATATTTTATATTTTATATTTTATATTTTATATTTTATATTTTATATTTTATATTTTATATTTTATATTTTATATTTTATATTTTATATTTTATATTTTATATTTTATATTTTATATTTTATATTTTATATTTTATATTTTATATTTTATATTTTATATTTTATATTTTATATTTTATATTTTATATTTTATATTTTATATTTTATATTTTATATTTTATATTTTATATTTTATATTTTATATTTTATATTTTATATTTTATATTTTATATTTTATATTTTATATTTTATATTTTATATTTTATATTTTATATTTTATATTTTATATTTTATATTTTATATTTTATATTTTATATTTTATATTTTATATTTTATATTTTATATTTTATATTTTATATTTTATATTTTATATTTTATATTTTATATTTTATATTTTATATTTTATATTTTATTTTTTATATATTATATTTTATATTTTATATTTTTTATTTTATATTTTATATTTTTTTGTTAAGTTAATTTTATTTAAAAAAAAAAAAAACATTCAAAAAGTATAAACAAATTCGGAAGGTTCTTGGGCTGCCAGAAAATTCCTAAAAAATATTCGGAAAGTTGCTTAAATGCGTAAAGGAATTCTTAGCACATTGTAAAAGGTGCTTCACATAATTTATTAAAACCATGAGCCCTCAATATGTACACAATGTTGCCAATATCATTAATTTCCTGTCAAATTATTTAAAAAAGAAATACTCGGTGTAGGTAAAATTTTGGTCTTCATTTATGAGTTTGTGTCTATATTTTCTAGCTTTCATATTTTCTTAATGTGTAAATATTTTTTTATTCATGCCACCTGTTTATTTTCACGCTTGTATTCTACCTGTTTTGATTATTTTCGGTTAATTGAAATTTTCTTTTATTTTTTTTCGGGTATTTGCGCCATGTGAATCTTCACGCCTTCAATGATGTTGCCAATTTTTTCTATAATATATAAGCATCAAATACACGCTCCCTTCTAAACACTAATGAATGACCTCGAAAAAGGCCGCCGCCACCTGATGGGCCGCGTGCTAGTTTCCAACGGTGTTCATACCAACTATGCTCGGCAACGTAAGATGAGCACAAATTAAATGAAAGAACAAGAAAAAAGATTTGCCGGTCTGCTATTAGCCTACCAATTTCTTGTATTGTATGTGGGTAAATGTAAAAAATTTATGTTTTAGAATTGTAAAAAAAATACATGTTTTTCTAAAAAAAAAATAGTATAATTATATTTTCATACAAAATGTTCTCCAGTCAAGCATTTTTAAGTTAAATCTGATTCTTTTATAGAAGATGGCTTCTTTATTTTTTGTTTATTTAATCAAAATTTTGCTTTAATCAGACTTCAAACAATATTTTTTGAGGTAAAAATAATATAAGACTAGAGAAAAAAGTGCGAATTAAAAGAAATAATTATGGTCTAAAAAAATAATTTTGTTCAACAAAAAATATACGTCTAAAAATTTACTCAACATATTTTTATTTAATTTTCTTGCTTAGTAGGGGTATTACTTTTTGATTGTACATTCTTATATTATTTTCATTGCTGACCTTGATTAGTTGCCAGCACGCAGTTGTTTAAAAGCACGTCTTTTTTGTAATCCAGAATGTATAAATGTACTTGGCTCTTTAATCATAAATGGTGAAAACAATGTTTGTTTTGTTATACCTTCACAACATACCTATGAACGTACATCTGTGTTGGCAGTAATTAATTGAAATATGCTTTGGCTCTCCACTGTTTTCTGTAGCAAGCTGTGGTATGCTGCTGGTTTCTAATTTTCATGCATGAACTCATCAAACAGCTTGAAAATTTTTTCATTTTCTTTATTTTTAATTCACGTGTTATAAAGTATGACATGCAGGAAAAGAGCAATTTTCAAGTTATGACACTTCATTCATAAGTTTACAGGTCTGAAACAAAGACCATTTTGATTTCAAACGTTGGAATATAGGAAAAAATAAATAGTTTTAAAAAGAGCAGAATCATCTGCCCTTTTGTAGTCTTGTATGTATGTATTTCCAATAATCTTAGCATAGGTACAGAAGGCATTTTTAATGAATTTTTGATCTTTGATCTTTTGAAAAAAATCTTAATGTCCGAATACTTCTTTGTTAAATTCATTTTAAATTAGCTTTTAAAACTTTTGTTTTTATTTTTATGTTGAGTATTTCTACTAGGTATAAAATTAAGCTTCTTTTTCTGTTTCATATATATAATTTTTTAATATCAAAAAAAAAAAATTATATATATATATATATAATTTTTTTTTTATATATATATATATTCCAAAAAAAAATAATAATAAAAATTAGCGCATTACTTATTATTTTGCTACCACATTTTTCGGTTTTTTTTGTTTTATGTTACCACCTGACTTTAATTCTTTGCATGCTTCTCGCTATAATTCTTTCGCACAGTTTTTCATTATGGCCAGTAATCATTATTATGATTGTCGTACGGCCTGTCATCATTAGCGGCACATTAATTAAATGAGCCGCGCAAATTTGCACATTTAAACGGCCAACCAGTGAACAAGCGGGCGATAAAGCTATACTTAGCTAGGGTAAAACTATGTTAATATATTGTATGTAGTTCAAAGTGTAGGAAGTTATAAAAAACATGTATATTTTTTGACTTGTTTATATATATGTGCAGATAGTATAGGGTTGTATGATGGGCATATGTTGCAGTAGTGGTGTTAATTATGCGTGACAGTACCGCAGTGCCATGCTTGGTCTAGTAGAAAATCTTGATAATTTAACATTTGTAGAATCTAATTTAATATAACTCTGTTTTATTTAATAATTTTTATTTTATTTTATTTATGTCTATTTAATTTATCTTACTTTATTTTATTTTATTTTATTTTATTTTATTTCATTTTGTTTTATTTTATTTTATTTTATTTTATTTTATTTTATTTTATTTTATTTCATTTTGTTTTATTTTATTTTATTTTATTTTATTTTATTTTATTTTATTTTATTTTATTTTATTTTATTTTATTTTATTTTATTTTATTTTATTTTATTTTATTTCATTGTATTTTTTTCTAATTTAAAGTTAAATTAATTCAATTTCAGTTTTTTAATATAATTATAATATGGTATTATGTTTTACTTATTTACTTTTTTGTATTATATTAATTTTTCTTTTATTTATTATTTTAAATTATTTTATTTTATTTTTTATTAATTTTTTGTTTTATCTATTATTTTAAAGTTTTATTTTTATTTTCGTTTACCTTATTTTATACTAAATAATTTTAACTAATCTTTTTTTCGCAAGTTGCTAAATGATATGCAAATATAACGCAAATAAATTAATGGGACGTCTATA